CTTTTCCTAGCCAGGCACCAGGTGGTTAACATCCTAGCCTTAGGTGAAACAAATGGCAGAGTTATCTTTGGAAACACCCACTTGACCATGACGTAAAAAGTCTGAGCCAGAGTTTGACTGATTTTGTATAAATAAAGCGGACAGCTTTTGTGCGTAGTCCATTATGATGATGAAGAGTTACTAGTGGTCCGTCTCTTTCTTTGCGCCTCATCCATGCACCCTTCGCGAGTTCCGAACTTAGCTGGAGCTGGACTCCGGCAGAAGCCCAGTGCTGTTGGGGCTCTAGCCGCTGACAAGCCCAAGATTCACCCACCATTTGACAGCAGTGGCTGGGGCTAGGTCCCCAAGCACTGAATCTGCCCTGGCTCAGGTCCTCCTAGCAGCTATCACACTGCCACACTGCCAGGTCTGTCCACCCAAGTCCTGAAGTCAAACTTACCTGGGCCCATCCCACCAAGATAATGGTGATAAGCAGCGACCCGAACTGCTAAAATACCTTCGTGGTAATTACACTGTGAAGCGAGAAAACTCAGGCCCAGGCAAGCCCTGAACCTGACACCTACCTGGAAGGTGGGCCTTCAGACCCGGGTCAGATGACCTAAGCCCCTCTGAATCCCCCACCCATGGGGCTCATGAACCTGGCACCCACATAGAAGGTGGGCCCCTAGATTTGGGCCAGGGACCCAAGCCCCACCATATTCCCCACCCATGGGTTCACAAAACCAACACCCACCTAGAAGGCAGGCCCCAGGATCTGGGCCAAGTGACCCAAACCTCACCAGTTCCCCTGTCTCCAGGGTTCAGGAACTCAGCCCCCACCATACAGGTGGGTCCCAGGACCTGAGCCAAGCTACCCCATCCCTGGGACTCATGTACCTGGTCCCCACTGGGCTCATGCTGGCATGACTCACCTTACCTCCGTATCTGCAATCTTGTTGTACAGTCTAGTTGGTTCCCTGTTCCAGCTCCTGCTGGTGGGTGCTGCAGCCTATCCCAGCCCAGCCTGATTACTCTCCCAGTCCTAATGTGAATTGGCTGGTTTTGCGGCTCGATCTGGCTCCTCCTGCCTCCTGCTCGGTTCTCAGATCTGTCAATGAATGCTATGTGCTCGCCCAGACTCATCTGCCCCCAGACCTGACCCACATGTGTGCTGATGGGTACTGTAACCTGGAATGGTCTGGGGTGCTCCTTGCCTTGCTTCTTGTGCTCACCTGCAGGGACTGCATCCCAATGAAGGAGTTTCCCAAGCTCCTCCATCGAGTCTCCTCCCAGTGGCAGTTCCTGCACACACCAGTGGGTTGTTGGCCTAGGTTGACTTTGTCTGCCTCCTGTCCTGAAAAGAACAGTCACCTTACTCAACTGGCCACACCCATTCTGGTTCTTATTGTTGATTTTTGCTGTCTAGCAATACCTGGTCCACAACCAGATACAGCTTTCACATAGTTCAACAGGAGTCAAAATCTAGTCTATGTTAATTATTTAAAACAGTTCAAGTTCTAGTTCATTCAATATTACAATATTATTACATGCAGCTAATTCCCGCAACTGGTTCTTTACCGTGAGCCAAAAATACCAGACGCAACCAGGTATCTTAGGAGGTTTATTCCAACGGGGCAGGAACAGGACGGTTTGGTGGGGAAGCAAGGAGGAAGGGGTGGCAGGCCGGAAAGAGAAGAGAGAGACAGAGCCCACCTGGAGGCCTTTTTGTCACTCAGGTGAGCCTGAAAAGTGTGGGGGGGCGGGGATTGGGAGAGATTGAGAGCAGGCCCCAGGGGATTGGTGCCTGAGACTGTCACAGGTGATTGCCCAAGACTGATAGGAAAGTGGGCAGAGCTGGGGAAGGGGCTGGGAGATTGGGAATGGGATTCTCAGGTGAAATGCAGGGTTATATCTGATTGGTGGATGGTTGGACTGGAATGAGTTTCATGAGCCAGGAGGAAGAGAAAATGGTGCTGGGTCCAGGGTGGGATATTCGAATAACTCCTTACAGTCTGGCCTGTTCTATACCCAACCTGGCTCTCATGAGTACCAGTTGGGACTGGAATCTAGCCCAATCTGACGCTCCACAGTCCCAGTGCACACCCACACTGGTGCAGTCTATAGCCATGTACAGCCATGCCTGCTGCCCTCAATCCTACTCTCCTCATCGGTGATAACCCCAACCCAGTTGGGGTGCCCCCTTTTGCTCCCCAGGAAGGTCTAACCCCATCTGCAGTTCTTGGGCAAGCCAACAGAGATTGCAGTTCCATAGGGGTGAGCCCACATTGCCCCCACAGATTCTGCTATCAAACCCACTTCTCTCATTTTTGTTCTACCCTCCAAACCACTTTGGTGTCACTCCCCTACGTATATACACATGCCGTGGACTTACCTATGGAAGTCCCTCGGCTGTAATTATTAACCTGGTCATAAAAAGCACAGGTTATCTCTCACTACCACCTGTGTGATCCCATCATCCCTTAAATCAAGACCCTGTAACCGGGAGGGTGCACCACCAGGCGGCCTGAGGATCCTTGCCCAATTCCTTCAGTGCCTGGGCCTCCAGAACCCCTGAGGGGCTGAGGGGAGCCTCATGGCCCAGCTACAGGCATCCATGTAGGTCAAAAAACCTAACCTCCTGGATGGGTTCGTCCCAGAGGCCCACTGAGCTTCCCTCCCCCCTCCCCCAGGGAGCCAGTGTGCTCAGCTGTACATGTCTGCACTGGATTGGAAGTGGAGCAGCCAGGACATGAACCTGTGCCCCTAGGGGATGCTGGTGCCACAGGACGACGCTTAGCCTGGTTCCACACTGTGCCAGCCTCTCAATCTGAATTTTAACCTGTAAAAATTGACCACAGATGGGATTTTGGGGAGCTAGAGAGTTAAGTCAAAGCTGCCTAGCTCCTTGCTCCTTCAAAGTAAACTTTCTTTCACTTTTGTCAGTGACTGGCTTACTGAACATTGGGCAAGCAGAGCTATGAAACTTCTTCATTTTCCAAGGCAGGTGTAAACCCACCGCATTGCTTCCACTGCTTGTTGAAGGGACACGCTCATTCATGTGAAGCACCTTCTGTAAGAGTCTGTGAATTTCCCGAGAGTAAATCCACATGCCTTATTTATGTTCATATTCATAGTACCTAGCCCAGTGACTGGCATACAGGTGGTGCCAAGTAAAAGTTTATAATGTAGCTTGAGTGTTTCATTCATAAATCACATTTTGATGCTTCAAGATAAATATTCATAGTACACAAGCTTATGATTTTGACAGACATTATGTTAAATATTGCCAACTTACTTTCAGAATGCTTTTAGGGGGCTGTTGTTGTGGCATAGCAAGCTAATCTTCTACCTACAGTGTTGGCATTCCATATGGGTACTGGTTCTAGTCCTGGTTGCTCCACATCTGATCTGCTACCCACTAATGGCCTGGAAAGAAAACAAAGGATGGCCCAAGTCTTTGGCCCCTTGGATTCATGTGGAAGATTAAAAAAAAACAAAAACAAAAACAAAAACAAAAACAAAACTCCTGGTTCTTGGTTTTGGACTAGTCTGGCTTTGTCTGTTGAGGATGCTTGGGGAGTGAGCCAGCAGATGGAAGATCTCTGTCTCTCTCTCCCCCTCTTTGTAATGCTGACTTTCAATTACAGTAAACAAATCTTTTAAAAAATAAAAAAGAAATGCTTTCATTCCTAATACAACCAAATTTTAGCTTATTTTTTAAATCTTTATTTTATTTATCTGAAACACAGAGTTGCACAGAAAGCAGAAGAGAGACAGGGAGATCTTTCATCCACTGTTTCACTTCCCAAATGGCTGCAATGTCCAGGACAAGACCAGGTAGAAGCAAGAAGCCAGGGTCCTTCTGGGTCCTCTTCCTGGGTGCAGGCACCCAATGACCTGGGCCATCTTCTGCTCCTTTCTCAGCCCATTAGCAGGGAGCTGGATTGGCAGTGGAGCAGCCAGATCTTGAGCAGGCACCTGTATGGGATGCTGGCATCACAAGCAGAGGCTATGCTACGATGCCAGCCTCCATAGATTCACGAGCTTTCTAATGCTGCCAGCAGTTGCCCTGGCAGGGCCAAACCAAGTAATTCTACGGCCCTTACAGTCCCTGCAGGCCCCATGTTCCCGTGCAGGAGCAACATTGCCCAACAGCCCAGCTACCTCCTGACAGCTCTCAAGTGACTCTGTCTTGCTCACTGCCGGGACTAGGAGCCCAGCTTCCTCACCTGCTATGAACTTGGCAGTCAACCTCCTGGAGTTTCTTTCCTCATCTGTAGAACAGAGGCGATAATAGGGAGTGTTTTAGAGGATTTTCTTCATGGGAGTGAATAGAATGGAATGCCGGGTCCAAGGTGAATGATAGTGTTTTGTATCCTGTCTCATTCATTCAACCAACACACATTGATGTAAATGTGGCATGACGGCAAAGAAAGGCACTTGCCTTTTTGAATGCCCAGGAACTGAATGTAAAATTCTGACAGGTGTGTGTTTGGAAGGGTTGTAACAGAGGTTGAATACAGATTGATTCGCAGTTTTTACCCCAGCAGCCTGATCACACATCCAACACGTGTTTGTTTTTCCCGTGTCTATGTCACGCTGAGTTGAAGTAACCAATAAGAAGAGATAAACATTTAAACCCGCAGTGAAAAGCTAAATCGCGCCCTTGTTATTCTGCACCCGCCCAATCAAGCGGGATAATGCTATCCACTCCGTTCTTTTCCCTTCAGGTTCCAACTTCAGGTTCTGGGATTAGAAACTATTGTTAATCATTGTATCGCAGGAGGTTGGGGGTGTTAAGATGAGCTAAAGCATGCGAAAACAGTTTCACATTTCAGGCGGGTTCAGAAACGCTGGTTAGCGACGACGATTACGTATTCAGCCCCAGGGAAAAAGCTACAAAAAACACCCAGGGTGTTTCGGCGCTGGGAGGAAGTTTGGTGCTCTGAGGCTCCCGTACCGAGGTTCATCTTAGGAGCTGAGGTAATTCCGCCGGCCGGGCAGCCCACGTGCCGTTTCCGGTCACACGCGGAAGTGCCTGGTCTCTGCTGCCGTGCGTCTGCAGTCAACATGGCCAGCAGAAACAACAACAAGCTGCCCAGCAACCTCCCGCAGCTACAGAATCTGATCAAGCGGGACCCGCCGGCCTACATCGAGGAGGTGGGAACGCGGCGGGGCGTGAGCTGCAGCCAGGGTCTCCCTGCGGAGCGGAGGAGCGCCTGGGGAAAGGCCGTCCCCGGGTTCGATCCCCGTCTGCGGAGACAACGCGTTCGGGTTCAGGGTTTATCTGCTGGCAGACAGGCGGCCTCCCGGCTGTCGCTGCCGTGCTTTCGGACGCCTGCCCCTAGGCTGGGTCACCGACTCTGGAGGAGCCCTCTCTGTGTCCCGGGCTGTGTGGGGGAGCGGGGAGGACCCGAGTGTCCTGTGTCCCAAGGAGGCTGGCGTGATCGGCATGTCAGGTTTTGCTTTGGGAAAGACGGTTGAAAAAGGAGGCCAAAATTATGATGGACTTCTTGTACTCTGCCCTCATAGAAGTTATGGGTAATTAAGAGCGTTTCGTCTGCCACTCAACAAACTCCAGGTGGCGGTTTAGATGAGTTAATCTGGCAGGTGCTTCTTTCAGACTCGTGTCTGTCTGACAAGTATTACACGGGTATCGCTGTAGTGCGTTTTCCGCAATGGTCTGGACTTCTTTCTCACTAGGGATTTGTTCAGCGGCTGGCACAATTACTCGTCTTTTGATTGTCTTTCTCAATTCTGCCCCTCTCCCAGTGTTCACACCCGAGGACTCACAAGAATGCGTTTCGGCACATAGGCATCCCCAGTGGTTGAGGTCACCAGTAGGGAAACCTTTTCCACTTAGGAGCAGTGGAAATCCAAAACATGTGGATCCCGAAAATGAAGGCTGGGGCGGGGGAAGCGGTTACTGCTCAGCAAAGAGCCCGGAGGGAAACGAGTGGACAGCTGGCTTGGGAAAGTGGTCTGATGGTGTAGACCTCGTAGCGCAGGGGAGATGCATGACTCCCAGGACCTGGGTGGTCCAGATGCGCGGAAGAGGAGATTGTCCTGACCTTGCTCATGCCTGTTAGTGAAATCAGAGCGTCAGCCGAGAGTGCCTGGGGCGAACATAGCAGAGGTTTAAGGATAGAATACAATGTATGTCATGGTTGCCTAGGAGTGAGGGAAGGCTAGAAGCCGGCTAAGGTCCTCAGCAGACACCATGCTGTGTGTTTATTTCAGGCTTGTAGTTGGATCAAGATGAGGCCTTAAATAGCTGACAGAAAGCCTAGAGTGGAGAATGGAAGAAAGGGGCAAGCCAGTTGAAATGCATGCATGGAAGTTACTAGAATGATTGGCCATAGGACTGGGCTGGAGGGGAGGGGAGCAGGGAAGGGACAGTGGGAAGCTAGTGGGCTCGGCGGATGTAGCGCACACTCAGGAGAGGATGCATGCCTTTGTCTGCCTCCAGCAGGTGCACACCAAGGCCCTGAACAGCACACACAGCCAGGGGGAGCCCAGGCTTGCCACTCAAATGCCTGCTGCTTTCCACTTCGCCGTGAACCTCTGACTGTGTGCGTAGTGGTGTTTTGTTTTGGTTAAGATTTATTTTATTTTTATTTGAGAGGTAGAGTCACAGAAGGAGAGAGAAATTTTCCATCTGCTAGTTCACTCTCTAAGTGATTGTTAGGGCCAGAGCTGGGCCAGTCTGAAACCAGGAGCCAGGCGCTTCTTCCGTGTCTCCCACATGGGTACAGGGACTTTGAGCCAGTGCCCACATGGGATGCTGCAGCCTCACCAAGAGGCTTAGCGTACTGCACCACAATGCTGGCCCCGACTGTGTGCTTTTCACTCAAGATCCTTCCCGCACCGTCTGACCAGTCAGTCTTCCCCTTGTGGAAATGTCTGCAGCCTGTTGTAATCATTCACCTTCCAAAGCATCAAAGACATTTTGGGTTTAATCTTTTAATTTTGATACTTTTTTCCCCAGATTTACTTTTTGCATTTTTTAAAAGATTTATTTGTTTTTGTTGGAAAGTCAGATATACAAAGAGGAGGAAAAACAGAGAGGAAGATCTTCCCCAGTCGGCTGCAATGGCTGGAGCTGTGCTGATTCTAAGCCAGGAGCCTCTTCTGAGTCTCCCACACGAGTACAGGGTCGCAAGGGTTTGGGCCGTCCTCCACTGCTTTTCCAGGCCACAGGCAGGGAGCTGGATGGGAAGCAGGACCACCAGCATTAGAACCGGTGCCCATATGGGATCCTGACCCAGGCAAGGGGAGGACCTCTAGGCTACTGTGCCGGGCCCTGGTTCTGTTTTAAAGGTAGAGAGGGAGATCGTGCATCTGCTGATTCACTCTCCGGATACACAGTGCAGCCAGGGCTGTACCTGGTAAAAGCCAGAAGCCTGGACCTCAGCCCAGTCTCCATCCCAGGTTTCCACGGGGGCAGCACAGACTCGAGTACTTGGGTGTGCTGCTGCCTCCCAGGATGTACGCTAGCAGGGAGCTGGAACAAGACTGGAGTCGAGACTGGAACCCAGGCGTGATATAGGGTGCTTGGGATGTCATGTCCTCGGTGACATCTAACCTGCTCCACTTGGTGCCTGAGCCTTAGTTGTTGTTTGTTTGTTTTTGTTTAGTTTTTTTTTTTTAAGATTTATTTTTATTATTTTTTCATTGGAAAGGCGGATATACAGAGAGAGGAGAGACAGAGAGGAAGATCTTCCGTCCGATGATCCACTCCCCAAGTGAGCGCAACGGACCAATACTATGCCGATCCGAAGCCAGGAGCCTCTTCCGGGTCTCCCACGCGGGTGCAGGTTCCCAAAGCTTTGGGCCGTCCTCGACTGCTTTCCCAGGCCACAGGCAGGGAGCTGGATGGGAAGCGGGGCTGACGGGATTAGAACCGGCGCCCATATGGGATCCCGGGCGTGCAAGGCAAGGACCTTTAACCACTTGTGCCACCGCGCCGGGCCCCTTTTGTTTAGTTTTTTAAAGACTTATTTGCAAGACAGACATACAGAGTAAGGTGAGAGATCTTCCGTCCACTGATTCACTGCCCAGGTGGCTGCAAGGACTGGAGCTGGGCCAGTCCAAAGCCAGGAGTCAGGAGCGTCTTTTAAATGTGCCACTCCAGTTCAGGGACCCAAGTACTTGGACCACCCTCTGTTGCTTTCCCACACCACAAGGTGTAGCTGGATTGGAAGTGGAGTGGCTGGGGTCCGAACTGGTGCCCATAGGGGATACCAGAACCACAGACAGAGGCTTAATCCACTATTTCATAGCTTCAGCCCCTTAATTGACATTTTTAAAAGGAGAGGAATTTTGACTGGCAAGCTTCATATGCTCGACTTTTGCATCCCGTTTTCTGACTTGTATATTCCTACTGGCTTGAGTGCTCTGTTTACCTAGACTGGAGTAGTTGGAGTCATTAGAGATGAAGTGACAGGACAGCCAGAGTGGCTGACCCTTGCTTGACTGTCCTTTATACCACAGCATGTAAACTCCTAATGACACTTCTAAGGGACCGCTCTTTAGATTCTCCATGATGTGCTTGAATTTTTGAAAACTCACTTTGAGCAATTTAGGTAAGGGGGGAAACCCTTGTGCCACCTTCTCCAGTCTGCTTTCAAAGGACTTTTACTAAGAAGTGTTTGATTCTTTTTCTGGTAGTCATATAATAAGATATAATGCATTTAAATTATTTTCTACAGTTTCTGCAGCAGTATAACCACTACAGATCCAATGTGGAGATTTTCAAATTACAACCGAATAAACCCAGCAAGGAACTAGCAGAGCTGGTGATGTTCATGGCACAGGTAAGGAGATCATCTTTAATCATTAATTTATTGATTTTTTTGAAAGAGTAACAAAGAGAGGGGGAGAGAGAGGGATCTTTGCAAATGGCTGTATTGGTTAGGATTGAACCAAACCAAAGCCAACTGCATGGAACTCTGTCCAAGTGTCCTGTGTGGATGTAGAGGCCCAAGCACTTGGGTTGCCTGCTGCTGTTTTCCTAGGCATGTAAACAGTGAACTAAATTGAAAGTAGAACAGCTGAAACTGGAACTCATGGTGGTATAGTATGCTGGTGTTATAAGGTGCAGCTTAACCCACTGTGCTGGTCCCAGGAATATAGTTTCTCTCCCCAGTTTATTTATGTATGTATGTATGTATTTTACTTGTAAGTCAGAATTACAAAGAGAGAGGGAGAGATGGGCAGAGAAATTTTCTACCCACTGTTTCATTCCCCATATGTCTGCTGTTGCCTGAGCTGGACCAGGCCAAAGCTGAGTATTGTTGCTGATCTTTTTCCAAAAATCTGAGAAATACTTCATAAATATTTTTCTTTAATTTTATCACAAGGTAAGTTCTTTAAAAAAAAAAAGATATGTTGTACAAAAAATAGTATATAGCAGGGTTGGAGGGGCAGGTGGTTTGGCACCATGTGCCTCCAGTCTGGTTTTGCAGAAAATCTTGAAACTATGCGTGTGAATTGCATCTGGGAAGCCTGAGGTGCCTTTGCTTTGTTGCAGATTGGCCACTGCTACCCAGAGCATCTCCGCAGCTTTCCCCAAGAGCTCAAAGATCTCCTCTCCTACAATCACACCGTCTTGGACCCAGATCTTCGGATGGTGAGACACAGTGTTGGAGTCAGCAAATTATGCTGTAGTCCTGTAATGTGTGTTTGAATAAGGGCAGCCTGTATGCTGAATATGTGTGTGTGTGTGTGTGTGTGTGTGTGTGTGTGTGTGTGTGAACATACACAATATATATATACACACACACTTATATGTATATGTATATATATGTATTTTTTTTAATATTTATTTACTTTTGTTGGAAAGGCAGATCCACAGAAAAAGGGAGAAACACAGAGAAAGATCTTCCATCCGTTGGTCCACTCCACAATTGGCCACAGTGGATGGAGCTGAGCCAATCTGGAGCTGATCAGATTGTCACTGCACAGCCAGGGGAACTTTTTAGTCCCGTTAGCAGTGTCCCTGATGTCTTGTGGTCTTGTGTGTGTGTGAGAGAGAGAGAGAGAGACACGGTTGTGTGGGGTAGTGTGCGGAGACCGTCTCTTCGCCTGCCTGCAGTAGTGTGGAGTCACAGAGCTAACTTTGGGATGGATGGGCTTCATTCTGTTGTGTGACTAGCTTTACCGTGGACTGAGTTTGTTTCTGTTCTCCTTTGAAAGACATTCTGCAAATCCTTGATCTTGCTGAGAAACAAGAATCTCATCGATCCTTCAGGGTTACTGGAGCTCTTCTTTGAACTTCTGCGTTGCCATGATAAGCTGCTGCGAACGGTAAAGGACACGGAAAATGTCCCTTGCTGCTCCTTCTTTCCTGAGGGCACATAAAGCTTGCAGCATTTGTGAGGCCATTTGAATTCTCAGGATTTTCCATTATTGAATCACTTAGTAATGATTTTAAGGGCTGCTTTTGTAGTGGAGTGGATTAAGCCACTGTTGGGAATATCCGCTGTCTATATCAGAGTACCAGTTTGGGTTCTGGCTCCTCTGCTTCTGATCCAGCTTTGCTGTCACAACCTGGAAGGCAACAGTTGATGGCTCAAGTGCTGGGGTGGCTGCCAGGCACAGCTATGGCATTCCGCGCCCCTGGCTTTAGCCCGACCCAGCCCTGTGTGAGCATTTGGGAAGCAAGCTGGTGGATAGGAGATCTCCCTCTCCCTCATTTTCCATCTTGTCTTTTTCAAATGAAAATAATGAAATCTATTTGGAAGGCAGAGTAAAAGGTGTAGCAAGGTCAGGAATGTTGCCTAAGCTTAATGTACATGTTTTTCTTTTTCTCAGACTTTATACACACATATTGTGACTGATATCAAGAATATAAACGCCAAACACAAGAACAATAAAGTCAATGTGGTAAGTACCGCTTTGTTTTCCATGCTTCCAGTCTTGTAGCGGCAGAGTATGGTAGCTTCTTTCTGTTTCCCTCAGGTCTTGCAGAACTTCATGTATACCATGTTAAGAGACAGTAATGCGACTGCAGCCAAGATCTCTTTGGACGTGATGATCGAACTGTATAGAAGGAACATCTGGTATGTCTAGATAGCTATATGGATGTTTCTCTTGGGAAGTAAACCCTTTTTCATTTACACTTAATACAGAGCACATACATCTTGAGGTGGTTTTGTTGTTGTTGTTGTTGTTGTTGTTTGTTTTTTTTTCTTTTTTAACATTTATGTGTTTTTATTGGAAAGTTGGATTTACAGAAGGAAGGAAAGACAGAGAGAAAGATCTTCCATCCTGTGCTTCACTCCTTTAGTGGCCACAACAGCTGGAACTGAACTGATTCAAAGCCAGGAGCTTCCTCTGGGCCTCCCTTGGGGGTACAGAGTCCCAAGGCTTTGGGCCGTCCTTGACTGCTTTCCCAGGCCACAAGCAGGGAGCTGGATGGGAAGTGGAGCACCTGGCACACAAACTGGCACCCATGTAGGATCCTGGCACTTGAAAGGGGAAGGATAGCCAGTTGAGCCATGGCATTGGGCCCCAGTCTTTAATTCTTTAGTATAGGAGTATAAACACATTAGTCTAGCGGTAGGAATGCAAAGGCAAACCAAATGACTAATGACATTGGCTGCTGTTTCTTGGATATCTACTAAAGTCAGATTCTTGACCTTGTTCAACTTTCGGAACAATGTGAGAATAAATGTAGATTGCCTGGAGTTAGCCTTACTTACAGATACGAAGTCAAAGTTCCTGAAGGAGATATTCACTGCTATTAGGAGGCGGACCTGAAGTTCCAGCCCAGGTCTTCCCTTGAAAGCCTTCAGTGCAGCAGTTGGTTCATCATGTATGTGTGAAATACCACTGCAAGTATTCCAGCTTGCATTGCTTTGCTAATCACTATTAGTATGTTTTAATATTTCCTTTATTCTTTTTTTTAAATAATTTTTTGAATTATGTGGTACAATTTCATATAGCCTGGGATTCCCCCGCAAGCTCCCATTGCCTGGCAGATTTTCCCCATTTTACTACAATTGTATAGTCCTTCATAAGGAATCACAATTCCATCTTATTTAAGTGTACCCAGACATTGCTGGTACAATATCAGACAGTCCAACATCCCATTGTCTACATATTTCCAACAGTTTCATTGGAAATCCATTTTTCATCTGGAAGCAGGAATGAATGTAGCATTACACCCCCACATCTGGATATGGTGAACCCCAGTACTCCGTTACTATATACATTCCCATAAGTGAGAAGCCATGAAACAAGGTCAACAACTGGGATGAGTTAGAACAACCGCAACAACAACAAATTACAGCACCATGAAAAAATGCACCACTGGGTAACCAGCGCGTGGGTGACTAAAAGGAAACACGAAAGTCTCTCGGGGAAAAATAGTGCCACCATGTAATTCATGAGCCAGCAATGAATCTGACAAGAGAAAAGAAAGTCTTTGGAATAAATAAAACTGAGATAAAAAAACATCAAAATACATAAGATACAGCCAAAAAAAAAACAGCATGGATCGGATTGTTGAAGTTACTCTTTCCATGCTGATTTTCTTATTAGTATGTTTTAATATTCCCTTTGTTCTTTAATGTGCATTTCAATGTGTTTGGAATTTTGCATATTCTACCTTTTTATTTTGGATTGTTTTTCCCTCCTTACTTTGAATAGATTCCCATGTCCTTAAAAATTCTTTGAAAAACTCCATTGTGATGGCTGAGCTCAAATTTAATTAAATGCTTTTCTTCTGGTTAACTATTTCAGTAAACCATAACACTTTAAAAATGTAATTAATTAATTTGAAAGGCAGATTTATGTAAAGAGAGTAATCTTCTGTCCACTGGCCTACTAGCCAAATGCCTGTGAGTCCATCCTGGTCTCCCCATGACAGAGGCCCTCAGCTGCCGCCTTTGCCACGTGCATTAGCAGGGCCTGGCTCAGAGCCACAGAGCAGTCGGGGCACAAACCAGGAGTACCCCAGTATGGATGTGGGGGCTCGAGCCACCAAGCCACAATGCCCACCTCCTACAACTTTTTAAAGTGCTGGAATTATGACTTCTAATGTGCCAAGAACATTTGTTTATATGGATAAATATTTATTTATTTATTTTATGCCACAGTCTGTGCTTCAATATAATAACAGTAAAAATTTAGTTCAACACACTGATTGTCTTCCCCCCCCCCCCCAGGAATGATGCTAAAACTGTCAATGTTATCACGACAGCGTGCTTCTCTAAGGTGACCAAGGTGAGGCCACGAGCGTGGACGCACAGGGCGGGTGCTCTGTGGCTGTGATGGTGTGCGGCCTGCAGGGAGGGCTGTGTGGACACACAGGGCGGGTGCTCTGTGGCTGTGATGGTGTGCGGCCTGCAGGGAGGGCTGCGTGGATGCACAGGGCGGGTGCTCTGTGACTGTGATGGTGTGCGGCCTGCAGGGAGGGCTGCGTGGATGCACAGGGCGGGTGCTCTGTGGCTGTGATGGTGTACGGCCTGCTGGGAGGGCTGCGTGGACGCACAGGGCGGGTGCTCTGTGCCTGTGATGGTGTACGGCCTGCAGGGAGGGCTGTGTGGACGCACAGGGCGGGTGCTCTGTGACTGTGGTGGTGTGCGGCCTGCAGGGAGGGCTGTGTGGATGCACAGGGCGGGTGCTCTGTGACTGTGATGGTGTGCGGCCTGCAGGGAGGGCTGTGTGGATGCACAGGGCGGGTGCTCTGTGGCTGTGATGGTGTGCGGCCTGCAGGGAGGGCTGCGTGGACACACAGGGCGGGTGCTCTGTGACTGTGATGGTGTGCGGCCTGCAGGGAGGGCTGTGTGGATGCACTAGGACCTGGGAAAGCAGAAGATGGTGCAAGTGCTTTGGCTGCTGCGTTCATGTGAGAGACCGAGATGAGGCTCCTAGCTCCTGGTTGCAGCCTGGTAGCCCTGGCTGTTGCTGCCATTTGGGGGCAAACCAGTAAATGGAAGAATTGCCCCCTCTATGTCTCCTCTCTCTGTATCTCTGTATCCTTACCTTTCAGATCTTTTTTTTTTTTTTTTTTTTTTTTTTAGTGCATGTAATAAATGACAGCTGAAGATTTTTTTCTCTGAGTCCTTTCTTTTTGGCTCAGTATCAATTGAAAGAGTGATCGTTTTTGATTTTCTATTGAAGACTGTAGTGTCTTTTTAGTGGGGGATGTAGAAGTGCTTGTGGGTCAACGTGAAGGGTAACTCTAGAACCTAAAGGTGTTCATCTAATAATTATTTTAAAATTAAGTACATATGAGACAACGTAAAAACTTTTTAAATTAAGGATAAGAAAAAATCCACTCTTTGATTTTTCTTTTTCATTTTATACAAATGCATTTTATACAAATGTGTAGGTAAAACACCTGGATTTTATAACAATATTTTCCTCATTGGTCTTCAGATACTGGTTGCTGCTTTAACATTCTTCCTCGGGAAAGATGAAGATGAAAAACAGGATAGTGACTCGGAATCTGAGGTAAGTGTAATTATGGCTGCTTTTCAATCTAGCAATCCATTAGATTCTGTTGTTGCTTGGAGTACCAGTTGTAAAGCATCTAACGGCTTGAGTCAGAAGTTTATATATATAACAAAGGAACACCTTTGTTCCTTACTGAGTTCTGCCATTCTGAGGGGTTTTTTGTATTTAATATATGCATCCAGTGAGACTATATCTTACTCTATAAGTTATGAATAGCAATTACCACTAACATATTTTTGAGATATTGTCAGCATCATAGAGGTTCAGGGTAGAAGGAGAAAAATATATAACATTGTGAAATTTTTAAGGAAATATTGCAAAGAAAAGAATTACCATCATTTTAGTGATTTGGTAACTAACTCTGGAATGCGTTATGGCACCTGTTAAACAGTGTGGCTGGTAGATTTTTGTATAGATAAAATTAAATTTTTCTTGGCCCTGCCTTACTTCTACTCTGGGTTTCTTCTTCACAGGTAATCACTTTGTTTCTAGATATTTGTGTTTGGTGCACAAAAATACATTCTCATATGTGTAGGAGGTTTCTCAGAACTATCAGTGCCATGATTACTCTGCACCTCGCTTCCATCGTGTCAGTACACACAGATGCACCAGGACAGCTAGATCTTTTTGGTTAATATATAGAAGTCTGCCTTGTTTTACCACCTACATATTAATTTTTTTTTTTTAATTTTGACAATCCTTACATATTTAATTGGGGTAAAAAAGGTTCGAGGCCTAAAGGGGGATGTAGAGGAAGAAGCCCCACCCAGTTTCCCACCCACCCTAAGTCCCAGATGTGGGGCATGCTCTGAGATACTCGATCAAGTGGTTCCAATAGTTCACCATTCATGGGTCGCTGCCAGTCTCGCCACTCCAAGCACAATGTGGTCGTTGAAGAATCCATTGATTGACACAGTTCCTTCTAGAGTCTCCATTTGCCCAGTATTTTGCTGCCAACAGATAGCTGAGGTTGTTGCTTGACTTGTTCTGTCTTTTCTTGGTTAGGACTCTTAAGTCCGGTGTCTCGACTGGGGAGTTTTTGATTTTCTATTGAAGACTGTAGTGTCTTTTTAGTGAGGGATGTAGAAGTGCTTGTCTAACACAATGAATAAAAACTTTTTAAAGAGCAAAACAAGAAAGATCTGAGCAGTGCGCATTGTCTGTGTGCCTGTGCATGCATGTGTATGCATAATTTTTAGTTGTTTGGGTTTTGTTTTTTGTTTTTTTATAGCTATGGGCAGAATATAAGGGAATTTCAAAGAATTTGTGGAAAATTGAATTAAAAGATGTTTATTTTGGTGCAAAAACTTTGGAGATACGTGAATAATTCTTTTGGTCAGACACACTTCCATGAACTTTTGAAGACCTGTGATACAAGAACCAAGAAGTGGATGATGAAGAGATGAGTCTGCTCCCTGCGTACAGTCTTTCTGGCTGACAGTTTTCTACAATCACTTCTTCTTTAGGATGAAGGGCCAACAGCCAGAGACCTGCTGGTGCAGTACGCCACAGGGAAGAAAAGCTCCAAAAACAAGAAGAAGTTGGAGAAGGCAATGAAAGTGCTCAAGGTAAGAGCTCTGCTGGGATTGAGGTAAAATTCAGGATGCGGAACATTGCACTTTTTAGTCAGAGCTTTTGTGAATTTCAAGTTAAGTAGCTTTTAGAAAGAAATTATTGATAAATTGTTTTTAGCTTTAATTTTACTTTTAATATTGCTTATGTAGTTGAGAAGGATGCATGCCCATTTGGACCTCGAATTATGAGAAGGGTTGAGGTACGGAGGTAGGTGGGTGGGACAAATGTTTCGATTTGTTTCTCTCCTTTGTCCCCAGTGGGGGAATATGAATTTTCAAGTATGAATTTTTTAATAGATGTATTCAGCTCTAGAAGATTTTGTGATTTGATCATATTAATTCACTTTCAGTTCCTGTGGTCAAGATGGTCTGTGTTGGGCCTGGCACAGTAGGCTACTAGCTAAAGTCCTCTCCTTGCACACACCGGGATCCCCCGTGGGCTCTGGTTTGTGTCCCAGCTGCTCCACTTTGCTTCTAGCTCCCTACTTGTGGCCTGTGGCCTGGGAAGGCAGCTGAGGATGGTCCAAAGCCTTGGGACCTGTAAGACCCATGTGGGAGACCTGGAAGAAGCTCCTGGATCCTGGCCTGGCTTAGGATCAGCTGAGCGCTGGCCATTGTAGCTGCTTGGGAAATGAGCCAGCAGATGGAAGATCTGTCTCTCCTTTTCTGTAAATTTGACTTTCCAATTAAAAAATAAATAAATGTTTAAGAAAATAAAGGTGATTTTTATTAAGAAGTATTTGCCAGACAAATTTCCCGAGAAATACCAAGTAAAACATATTTGATATTTTCTTTAATGCTTACTCCAAAATTCATTACTTTGTCACCTCTGTGTTTTTTAAGGTTTTTATTTGCAGATTCCTTTAAGTTTTATGGAATTAAATTATTTCCAAGGCTTAAGACAAAACCACCTTGAATTCTTCCAACTGGAAGAAAGATTTTAAACCAATTCTTTTTCTTTTTGAATAGTCTAGTGGACTTGAACACATTAGCACTTTGAATTCTAAGGGCATCATTACTATATTTCACAGTGGAAACGTATATCCTTTTCCTTTCTTTTAGAAACAAAAGAAGAAGAAAAAGCCAGAGGTATTCAACTTCTCAGCTATTCACTTGATTCATGATCCCCAAGGTACTGCAGCACAACTTCCCATGGTCCTTGTTGGCCTTGGATCTCCCTACTTTGTTGAGAGGTTAACAGGCGTTAGAAGATCCCTGGCACTCCTAGGCAACAAGGAGCTTGCTTGTTACTCACTGGTTCAAAGCAATGGCTCCAGTCCACAGCAAAATAAGAAAAGTATGAAAGACAAGTCGTTTGAGAGTCATGGCTTTAACAGTACAGTAATGGTAGGACAGTATATCTGACCAGATGAAAAATTAGTATTCTTTTTGTTAGTCTTTAAAGTAAAAACTGAAAACAAAAGTAACTGATCTCTTGAAATCAAAAGTCTACAAACTTTGTTCTCAGGCTGCAGATTGGGATTGCATGGAGACTTTTTTTTAACAGTATTGATGCTTGGGTCTGTTATCCCAGAGATTCGAATTTAGGTCATATGGGGAACACTGGGCAGCAGGACTTGTCAGCCCTGCATGTCTCTAAGGCACAGCAACGTTTGCCAGCCATTGCTGTAGAACCATGCTTCTCAAATGTCACCTGGAGAGCCTGTTAAAGTATAGATTGTGATTCAGTGGGTGTGCCTCTTCGGAGGATGCATTTCTGACCAGCTCTGGGACAGCAGGCCTCACCTCTGAGAGCTACTAGTGGCGCAGATGAACACCTGTCAGTCTAGAGGCTGATGTTAAATATCCCATGGAGGCCGAGCACTTGAGTCTTTTCTTTGGTGCGGCTGTCGCCTCCCGGGCCTGTTAGAGGAGAGTCGCACAGCCCCTGGATGATCAGTGTGTTTCTTTGATCTTCTTTCTTCCAGACTTTGCTGAAAAACTCCTCAAGCAGCTGGAGAGCTCCAAGGAGAGGTTTGAAGTGAAGATGATGCTCATGAACCTTATCTCCAGATTGGTGGGAATTCACGAGGTTTGGGAATCATTGTGTTCTCTTGGATTGCATTAGCACTGACTCACTGTGGTAAAGCGGAAGCCACTGGGGAGAGCAAAGATTTAATTTTATCGCCCAAACCACTTAAACCCATAGAATTAACCAAAGCTAAGCTCTGCCAAAAAATAACTGTCTTCATCCCTGTTGTGTTTCTCTGAAGTATTGATGTCACTTTGGGCTTGCATCCAGATAGACTGTTTGGGGTTCTGCTTGTCCGCTTTTGTTGGATTCACTTTGTTTACGTCTACATCCTCTGGAGACATCATGACCCACAATATTTCTGTGGACCCTTATATGTCCACAGAATAAATAAATTCTCCGTGGACTTCCTGATTTCTAGATCCCTCTGCTCGGAAGCTGTCTTGTTCGCAGAGCTAGATTCTCTGATTAATTTAACTAATGAGATTAGGCTGCGAGTGCTCCTTGGTGGTGGGGGTGTGTGTATGGTGTCTGCAGATGGGCACATCTTAGACCAGCTGCCGTTGTCAATACCCTAAAATCAGACTGTGAAGAAATGACCCATGAGATTCATCTTATTTTGTTTTACTGTCACTGAACTCTGAGTGAACATTTTGCTCTCTTTAAAAGAAAGTTTTGGGAATCAATATTTTTTTTCAAATGGAAAGATATAAGGATTTTCTTAGAAATAATTTTTAAAAACAGAGTACGTGGTGCAGGAGTTAAGATGCTGCATGACGTGGTTTGGCCCCCATTTCAGAGCTCCTGGGTTCAAGTCAAAAACTGAAAGCATGTGTGAGGCCTCACTGCTTTTTCTGCATGGGGTGGGGTCCCAAAGTGGAGTCTGCAGTCCAATTTTTAATACATTTCTGCAATAAATTAATGTGAAATTTGAATTTGAGCTTGTTAGGAAAGCGACTTGCAGTTTGAGCATGGTTTGGTGGACATGACACTGGACGTTCACTGTTAACTGTAATGAAATAGCTGTGTTTAGGTTGGTCGAGTGTCTTCACTTATTCAAATGACCATTTCCCCGACAGCTGGACACCTGTTGCTGTGCTTGAGGCCGACTGGGAGTTCGTGTTTTCTCTGAACTACCGAGCACATTCCTCCCGTGTGGTTGGACTGGGATACAATAAATCAGGACTTGGGATCTTTAATAAAGAGATTGTACTAGCTGCTACTTCACATTGAAATTTATCTGATCCTTTGTTTTGGAATCCTAATACTTAAATTGATCATCTCTAATTTGAAATTCCATAGTTAGAAAAGAAAAAAAAAATGCTCTGAAATGCTAACCTTTCGGAGCATTTTGGAAGTTGGCCCTTCAAGTTAGGGGTGCCCCACTGGCAGTGTGCACAAATGCTCCAAGCTCTGGAGGAGGGGAGTCTGCCAAGCCCCGCCTCTGCTGGAGTACATTTCAGAGAAGGGGCAGAGGGTCGGCCTCTGTGGGTACGCCCTCTCGCCCCAGGGTCCTCTCTTTGGACTTAACAAGTCACTTCTGCAGTCACACCAATTTTAAAGATAGGAAAAATACCGTGTTTTGTTTGCTACTCCTTGCCTTGGTTTGTTATGTGTGCTCTTTTTCTTCTTCATTTGCATAATGAGGAGAGCTTTGTGGCCTCAGTTGAGGAAAGAGCCTCCCCTTGGCGATTACATCCCGAAGCTTTGCTTCTGAGAAAAGGCCGAAGTTCAGCAGGACTCCCGGTTAGAGGGGCTTGGCGGTAGTTGGCTCGTGGAGACGAGCAGTGCTGCACTGCAGCTGGACGGGTGCTGAGGTGGCATGTTCCTCTCTCCACAGCTTTTTCTCTTCAACTTCTACCCGTTTGTGCAAAGGTTCCTGCAGCCCCACCAGAGAGGTAAGCAGCTAACTTGCCGTGCATTGGGATAGCCATCCACAGGGTTCTGTCCTGGAGTTCATCAGAGGCAGAGGTGGAGTGAGGTGAGCTGTGTCTCAGAGCAGGGCGGAGGAGCCCTCGTGTTCTTGTGGAGGATGCTGCGGGTTACAGGATTACTTGTGCTCACCAGCTGTAAAAATTACTGTTAAAAAAAAAAAGAAAGCTGTTGTTTCTGGGGAAAAAAGTAGATTGGTTTCTCAAAACAAGCCTTTTTGCAATACCATGAAATATCGTATGGAAAATTCTAGAAAAGGAGACTTGACTTTTGACTGTAAATGTAATAAATAACTGGGATTTATAACTGCCCTCATTACGCTCATGAGTGTTCTTAGCCAAAACATGAAAGCAGAAAAAATCATTTTGTGTTTGAATTTGAAGCAAGATGGGAAGGACACTAACATGTGCTGAGCGTCTCGTGTGAGCACGCCGGGCCCTCTGCCAGGTGCCTTACATCCGTGATTCTGTGCTGTCCTCGCATCGCCAAGCTCACGCAGTCAGTAAACAGCCAGTCAGGCTTCATCTCCCTTCCTTCTTGTGCCCAAGACCTTGTTCTGGACACACTGTCGCCCCACCGAAGGGAGAACAAGTGTTGTATCTGTGCTTGTATTTATCTGTCTAGTCAGGAAGTCCTTTGCATAGTGACTTCTGTGCAAGGCTGCATGTTAGACAGAAAGCATTCTACAGTGAGCATACAGTCCTGTGCTGTGTGTAAGGTGCCATTTGAAGAAAAGGCCATTTGCTGAGGACGTGAAGGAGTGCTGGAGTGGGCTCTATTTTAGATGGCAGGGTTAGGATGGCACCTTTGATGCGGTGGCTGCAGAGGAGGCTGAGCTCCAGGGCTGCCTGAGGGCTGGGTGTTGCAGGTGAAGCGGCGGCCGTATGCCTGCTGTGCTGCCTGATGGTGACCCTTCTGACCTCTTGTGTTTTCAGAAGTAACGAAGATCCTTCTGTTTGCTGCACAAGCTTCTCATCAGCTTGTGCCCCCAGAGGTGAGCCCCTTGAACCTTACTCTGGCCCCGGCGCCTGCGTAGCAGTATAGTGCTGGGAACCCTGGATTCACTTGTCCATAGAGGTTACCTTCAAATCTTGAGGACCTTTATGAAGAGACTTTAAAAGGTCATGAGGAAAAATGGCAATAATGGATAAGTAGATTTTGCTGCAAAAAAAATTTTAAAGAGTTTTCTTTGTTTTGTTTTGTTTTGATGATGTTTACGTAGTTGATCAGGGTGGAAAGGATACAGGGTTAGGGAAAAGTGGATGTGATCATTGTTTCTGAATTTTCTATTTCTTCTTTCTGTTTCTGGGGGAAGGAGAGATAAGGGGAGAAGCCATACTCAGCCTCCCAGCCGCCCTAGTACCCAGGGATGGGGAATGGGCACCCGATATCAACCCAGGGTCCCAGTGTGGCACATGCTCTAAGGATTCGGCCCAGGTGGTTGCAGTAGTTCTGAAATACTGTCGATCTCGCCGATCCATGCATAAGGAAACCCTCCCAGTGTCTGTTGGCTGACACAGTCAACCTTAGAGTCACTGTTTGCCCAGATATTTGCTGTCATTGTTTGTCCGGGGTTTGTCCAATCTGTTCTGTTCTTCTGCTATGGTACAAGATGTGCTCTGTGGACCCGAGTGGGCTGCCATATTCTCCGTGTGCACCAAGGCCTGCTGTCCATTACTCTATCTTTTCCACTGAGCAGGACCTATTCTCACAAGCAGGCCCAAGGACCCCTGCCCCTGAGACTCACAGACCTGGTGCCCACTGTGCAGGCAGGCCCAATACGACCCAGGCCCCGCTAGACCCTCTGCCCCTGGGGGGCTACAGACCCGGCACCCACTGTGTAGGCAGGCTCCACCAGACCCTCCACCCCCGGGGCTCACGGACCCAGCACCCACCACCCCCACCGTGGTATGACCTATCTCACCTCGGCATCCACCACTGTGTGTTTCAGCCTGGCTCAGTCCAGCCTGCCCCAACTTGCAGTTCCTGCTGGTGGGTGCTGCTGCAAAAAAATATTTTTAACTCCATGCATATGAAGGGTCTTTAAAATATTCATAGGAATTGCCTGTTATAAAAATGCAACACATGGATTTTAAAATTGTTTTGCACCAAAATTACTTAATGTTTTAATTCCATGTTTAAGGGTTTTTTTGTGGGGTGGAATTTTGTCATACATTGGAATTCAATTATGCAACTTGTAAAAAGTGAAGTTTGTTTCGGACAGGTTGTTCAGAATTCTGAATTTTATTTAATAAGCAAGTTTTGGCTCAGCAACCAAATAAATAAATGGTCCAGTAAGCATTGCAATGACATAAGTTAAGCCCAATGCCTGCAACTGTGACATCACATCCTGAAGCACTGGTTAAAGTCCTGGTTGCTCCATTTCTGATCCAACTCCCTGCTAAAGGCCTTGGGAAGGTAGCGAGAGACGGCCCAGGTGCTGGGGTCCTGCCTACCACGTGGAGACCTGAATGGCTTTCTAGGCTCCTGGCTTCAACCTGCCCCAGCCCCGACTGCTTCAGCCATTTGCAGTGTAAATTAGTAGATAGGAGATCTGTCTCTTCCTTTCAGATAAATAATAAACCTTAAATAAAAATTGTATGTGTAGGGAGATTGTTGTATTTCTCAAAAGCTGGTAATTGTTTTCTTTGATTGAAACAGTGCTGGATTATCCTGTGTCCAAGCTGGTGGTGTTTTCTTGTTTTTTGTTTTGTTTTTTTTTTCTCATCTATATTGAAAAATGTTGAGAGAGAAAGCTTTGGTCTGATCATAGTGCAGAAACCAGACTCCAGTGTGAAGTGATTTCAGCTCTGTGTTTTGCCTTCGTTCTCCTTCGTCCAGTATGCACGCTGTGTGTGCAGCCGTTTCCCTGTGCACAGCCGGTGGTCCTTAAGTCCTCAGGTGGCCAAGTGAACACAGATGCTTCTCCTACAGCTCTTTTCTCTTGTTCCCAATTCAGATCATTCAGTCCTTGCTGATGACCGTGGCCAACAATTTTGTTACTGACAAGAACTCTGGGGAAGTCATGACAGTAGGGTATGTACCGCCTGGTTGGGGGGCGGCAGGGGTGTTTTCATTCAGCTGGTGGTGTGGCCTCTGGCAAAGCAGCTGGAAGTAAGCTTCCACCTTCTCAGAGGTTTCATATTTTTATTCTGATGGGTAGAATTTTGAGGAGGGAGCCAGAGAAGAGATACTTGTCCTTACTCGTTTTACTCCCTGAAATAAATGATTATTTGGCAATCTGTATTTTTTCTGTTATCTTCGTATCCTGAATTCCTGTCCTACCTTGGAACAAATGATTTATTCTTGACAGGTAGTCCTGGGGCCCTCTTGGTTACTTTGGAAATACTTAAGCACTGCTTTAAAGATCATCTAATTGTTGATGATAAGTAAAGAATACACTAAAAAGTTGGCTTCTTATCTCCTTTGGAATAAACTAGTGGGATGGCAACTTTTCTGGCTGACCCCATTTCTTCTCGTTTAATTAGGGGCTAGTGTCTGTCTTGATTTAGTGTGCCAGACACTGCTCCCGGTTCCTTCTCCTACCAGCAGAGGAAATGATAGTAACCTAAGAACCAAAGCCAACCCTGCCCTATCTCGTGTTGTGCCATCTAAAACCACCCATTAGATCTGTTTGTTTGAACCATTTCTGCTTTGACTTCTTTAAAGTTCCTTTTCCTTTTGTAGCATCAACGCTATAAAGGAGATAACGGCCCGATGTCCTCTGGCCATGACTGAAGACCTTCTCCAAGACTTGGCTCAGTACAAAACCCACAAAGACAAGAGTAAGATGTGCGGTGTTCTCGGGAGACCGGAGGGCGTGTGCTTGTGGCCTCTGCGCGCTCTGCTCCAGAGTTTCTCATGCAAGGTGTCATTTCACAGATGTGATGATGGCTGCTAGGACTCTGATTCAGCTCTTCCGGACACTGAATCCCCAGATGTTGCAGAAGAAATTCCGCGTAGGTGACACATGAATGTTTGACAGGAGGGCTGTGGTCTCAGAAAGTGGGACTTAATTCCTGCAAGTTGATTTTTAGTATTTATGGCAGTTCCATTATGAGTACTCATTATGTATGTGGTCTTATTGTGTAGATTTAGATTACAGTTGGTTGAATTCCAAGACTGTTGTATTAGTGGTATATGCTCATTGACAATGACTGAATTTTTTTTTTTAAATATTTATTTACTTGAAGGCAAAGTTACAAAGAAGGAGGAAGAGAGTTTCTGAGCGTTGGTTTGCTCCTCCAGTGGCCACAATAACCAAGGCTGCCCAGATGCAATACAAGGCAGCTAGATCACAAGTAGAACAGCCAGGACTTGAACCAACAGGCATATGCTGCTGTCGCAAGGGATGGCTTAACCCACGGCACAGCTCATTTCAACTTGAAGGCTTTTTTTTTTCCCTTAAGATTTATTTATTTTTACCAAAGAGAAAGATCTTCCATCTGTTGGTTCACTCCCCAAGTGGCCGCAAACATCTGGAGCTGAACCAATCCAAAGCCAGGAGTCAGGAGCTTCTTCTGGGTCTCCCATGGGGGTACAGGGTCCCAAGGCTTTGGGGCATCCGCAACTATTTTCCTAGGCTACAAGCAGGGAGCTGGAAGGGAAGTGGAGCTGCCAGGATACAAACCGGTAGCCATATGGGATCCCAGCGCATACAAGGCAAGGACTTTAGCTACAAGGCTGCCTGCCCAGGCCCAAGGCTTTTTAACGAAGTTGGTAGATTGGAACCTCGAAAGGTCAGTCAGTAGCTTGTGCCAGCACTGAATAGACTGTCCTTCACCCGGAAACTGACTCAGTGCATTTGGAAGGGACAAAAGGATGTGTGTATACAAAAGAGAGGTGGTATTTTCCTTAACAACCTGCCAGCTTCCTGGTCTGCATCAGAAGAGAGTAAAGGGTCTGGTGCGATAGCATAGTGGTTAAAGTCCTTCCTGGCACATACCGAGATCCTATATGGGTGCCAGATCTAATCCCGGTGGCCCTGATTCCCATCCAGCTCCCTGCTTGTGGCCTGGAAAAGCAGGCGAGGACGACTTGGGGCCTTGGGACCCTGCACCTGTGTGGGAGACCTGGAAGAGCTCCTGGCTCCTGGCTTTGGATGGGCTCAGCTCCAGCCATTGCGGCCACTTGGGGAGTGAATCATCACACGGAAGATCTTCCTTTCTGTCTCTCCTCCTCTCTGTATGTATGCCTTCCAATAAAAATAAATAAATAAATAAATAAGAAGAGACTAAAACAGGGACAGCGTCCTAACTGTGGTTTTACTTTGGTCTCAGACGTAAGCGGGCAGGTCTTGTCATTTTCTTCCCTCCTTTTTATGTGGCGCTGCCTGCAAATTCAGAGTCCTTAGAGAATAAATACATGCTGCAGGTAATACCTGTGATCTTGGCACCTTATACTAAACAAATTTTCCTCCCACAGGGGAAGCCTACAGAGGCTTCCACAGAGGCACGGGTACAGGAGTACGGAGAGTTAGATGCTAAAGATTATATTCCAGGAGCGGAAGTGTTGGACGTGGAGAAGGAAGAGAATGATGACAATGAAGAAGGTGGGTTTTTATTTCACCGTAAACCAGCACAGTCACTCCTGCTGTCTGTGTTGATCTTTAAATTTGTACACTGTTGGAACAGATCTCGGCAAACATTTACCGAGACAGTGATGGAGCAGTGAGCATGGAGAGCGAGCCAGTGATGGAGTGTGAGCGAGCCAGTGATGGAGTGTGAGTGAGACAGTGATGGAGCAGTGAGCATGGAGAGCGAGACAGTCATGGAGTGCTGAGCACGGTGAGAAACAGTGATGGAGTGTGAGCAAGGCATTGATGGACCGGTGAGCATGGAGAGCGAGACAGTCATGGAGTGTGAGTGAGACATGATGGAGCAGTGAGCACAGTGAGCGAGCCAGTGATGGAGTGTGAGCGAGACAGTGATGGAGTGTGAGCGAGACATGATGGAGCAGTGAGCACTGTGAGTGTCCTGGAGCGAGCTTCCTGCTGTTGGGGCGCTGACTGTCTCGCGGAGGAGATGTGTGCTTTAGTGCTGAATGTCTCTTCATGGCAGGATCATGTTGTTGGCACTTGAGAAGATAATGGTTTTGTGTTTGCTGCCTGGAAGAGAAGTGTGTGTTCATTCTTGGAATAATTTGCAAACTCTCCTTGTTAAAGAAAAATTCTTATTGAAAATGGAGAATCTGAAGAACCCTCTTCTGCTAAGAAACTCTTATTTTTTACATTCATTCATTCAGTAAAGCTTTCTGAATTTATTTTATTTATTTGAAAGGCAAAGTTATAGAGGAGGGGTGATAGAAAGACAAAGATCTTCTGTCTGCTAGTCCACTCCCCAAGTGGTCACAGTGGCTGGGGCTGTACCAGGCCAAAGCCAGGAGCCTGGAACCCTCCTGTGGGTGGCAGGGGTTCATGTGCTTGGACCATTTGTGCTGCTTTCCCAGGAAAGCAGGAAGCAGAAGGCTGGATTCAAAGTGGAGCAGCGGGGGCTTGAACTGGCTTTCATATAGATTCCAGCATTGCAGGGATGGCTTAAGCTACTACACCTTAGCCTTGCCCTCAGCAAAGCTTCAGCATAAAAAAAACCAACCACTGTGAATACCAGGAAGAAAATACTGCATTTGTTCTCGAAGGCCTTTGTTCAGGCAGTCAAAGTAAAGGTTTACAGGCAGTAAAATTAAAGGATTTATTATTACATTGGTGGCTTAAGGGCAGAAGAGGCCTGGTCCACCTGAAGGCTTGAGAGAGTTGCTTGCTGATAAGCCAGGAGTGCAGGAATAGTGCAGGCTTTGCCGGGCAGAGTGAGCCAAGCCCTGAAGGATTTGAGAAACTCTCAGAGTTTGGGATGGAAAGTGGGGCAGCATGGGAAGAGGCCAGAGATAGAGCATGGGTGTGTATGGCAGAGCAGAGAGCTGGGGACCCCCAGGAAGGAGCAGGTGTCTGGAAGTAGAATGCTTACCGCCATGGCGGCACTATGGCCTTCTCCTACCTTTGTTGAAGCATCTCTGACATTCTTCTACGTACAGAATGTAAGTATGCGTAGATGAGTTAGGTGCTTGCTGTGTGGCCAGGACAAGTGCGCAGTGCAGGTTGGCTGGGTGCCAGCGAGCCTTAGAGTGAGACGATGTTTTCATGATTGTGGGGGATGCTGCTGGCATTGTGGCGTCACCCCAAGAGTCTGCCCTACCTCTGCTGAGTCATGGCGATTAGAGATGGTCAGGTTTTAGCATGTGATAGATTCTTGGCCAGTGCTTGTTCTCCATTTGATATTTAAGAATGAATATTGCTAACTTCTTGGCCTGTAGATATGCGAGGCTTGGATTGCTTGATTATCTCGGCTTGCCGCCAGTACTCGGCTTGAAGTGCTGGCGGTAAGCTCGTGCCCCTTTCCCCACAGACGGTTGGGAAAGTGCCAGCCTCAGTGAGGAAGAGGAAGAGGAAGCTGACGGCGAGTGGGTCGATGTGCACCACTCTTCCGATGAGGAGCAGCAGGAAATTGTAAGTCTTGATATCACCTCTCCCTGGTGGTTTTGAAGGTGTGTTTTGTGCGAGGCCTTGCTGGGAGACTCAGCGGGGCAGCCGAGTTCTCTGTTGAGCCAGGAGCCATGTCAACCTTTCTGTGTGTGCTTTCAAGTCCCGGAAGCTGAGCAGCATGCCCATGGAGGAGCGGAAAGCCAAAGCCGCCGCCGTCAGCACAAGTCGAGTTTTAACTCAGGAAGACTTCCAGAAAATCCGCATTGCCCAGATGAGGAAAGAGCTGGACGCTGCCCCAGGGAAAGCCCAGAAGAGGAAGTACATTGAAATAGACAGTGATGAGGAGCGCAGGTAGATCGGCTCGAACTCCGGTCTCAGCTCGTGTGGGAGACGTGGGAAGGAACTCCTGTCTCATGCCTCCCATGTCATGTTTCCCTCACCCCAGGGGCGAGTTGCTTTCCCTTCGGGACATTGAACGCCTTCATAAAAAGCCCAAGTCTGACAAGGAGACGAGGCTGGCGACGGCCATGGTGAGTGGAGCGTCTTGTTCCTGGTTCTTCAAGCAGCAAGCCAGGAAGGCCATGTCTCAGAACTTGTGTGGTCATGGCATGACCCTAGGTTTTTTAAATGTGGGTACAAGTAGCAGAGAGCAAAACACACATACACAGGTGAATTTTAATTGTGTAGCTGTGTAAGCAGCATGTGAAACAGGTGCAGGCTTAAAGGGCAGTGTGACATGGTCCTGTGTCAGGAGGCTCAGTGTGTTCACCCCGCTGCTAGGAAAGGGGGACGTGTTGGCCTTCACCAGTGGACAGCCCGGCCAGGTGGAGTGTGCCAGTGTCTTGGGCCTTGGCTGGCCAGCGCTACCATTCTGCCTATCTTTCCAACTTTTCTGTACCTTTATTGGTTTTAGGCACTATCTTTTCTTTTTAAGATTTATTTTATTTGAAAGGAAGAATTACAGAGATAGGGATCCTCCCATCTACTGGTTCACTTCCCAAATGACTGCAATGGCCAGAGCTGTGCCAAGCCAAAGTCAGGAGCCCAGAAGTTCTTCTGGGTCTCCCACATGGGTACAGAGTCCCAAGCACTTCTGCCTTCTCAGGCACATTAGCAGGGAGATGGATCAGAAGTGGAGCAGCCAGGATGTAAACCAGCATAGTCGCTGGTGGTTTAACTCATTAGGCCACAGAGCTGGCCCTGGCCACCATTCTGTACTGACTTCACCTTACCCTCTCCTTTCCATTCACACTGAAAGTTGTTACACTGTTCTTTGCCTCCACACTCCTGCACCCACTCTCAGTACTCACTCAGGTCTCTGCGTCTTCTCCTCCTTTCCCCAACATGAAGGCCTTCAGCTGCAAAAGCCGATACCCCCCTCTGAGCAGCTCCCCTGACCTCACCGGACTGACTGTGTACAGGCTTGAGCCCTCTGTCCTTGTCTCCTGGTCCCAGCCGGGAGCGGCAGGGCTATGTTCCAGCTATCTCGTGGCCCTGGTGTCCGGAGCACTTGGACTCAAGTGATGGTGATGTTGGTTAGGTAACTCCCGATATATGCCATTTAAAAAATCTTTGTGCCAATCTGTTTGTGCTGTTAGGCTGGGAAAACAGACCGAAAGGAGTTTGTAAGGAAAAAAACCAAAATGAATCCATTCGCTAGCTCCACGAATAAAGAGAAGAAGAAGCAGAAGAACTTCATGATGATGCGCTATAGCCAGAATGTCCGGTCCAAGAACAAGCGTTCCTTCCGAGAAAAGCAGGTGAGTTTTCCTTGTGATGTGGGCAGCACTTGGAAGGATGCTGTGAGCTGTACTGGAGCCAGGTTGGGCTTTTTGGTGAGCGTATGTGGACACGCGTGCACACACATGCACTTCAAGGTGAACAGGAGCACACTCAGTGTGTGTGTCTGTGTTTCTTCTCTGAGTAGCAGAGTCCAAGCTAGGTCATCTCTGAGTGAGGGAGTGCAAGCTAAATTGTCTCTGAGGCCTTTGCCCAGCCTGGACTTTTCTGATATCTGCCCCATAAAATAGTCTCCCAGCCAAGTCCGTGGTTTATGCCTGGTCCTTTTCCACAAGCAATTGTTGTATACAATGCTATCTCAAAAGCAGATTCAAGTAGGGAGCTAGATGGGAGGTGGAGCAGTTGGGACACAAAAAACAGCACTTGAAAGGATAGGATTAGCCAGTTGAGCCATCACGCCACGTCCAAAATGACCAAATTTTTAATATAAATTGTTGAAATCGAAGTGAAAGGACCGGTGTCACTTCAGATCTTTAAAATTCCACATTTTGCCAGAGTCTCCTAAATTTATAGTTGGACTTAATTAATCCTTTAGGTTATCCTTCAGTGGCCCTTAGTAATATTTGGGAGCTGAGGAAAGTAATAACCATTGAGTGGGCAGGCCTTCTGTATCATGAGATGTGTGTGACTGTTACGTTTCGGTTCAGGGCATGCCCCCACCACTTCCTTCCTGTGGGACAATCGGGGTTGGCACAGATGTGAAGTCTGTCTTTGTTGCTCGTCAGTATATCATTGTCATAATTGAGGAATTTTTTTCTATAAGAGGCTCATTGGAAATATGCACTTGTTGGTTTAAATGTGCTTTTCCCCTTGTTTACTTGCCTTTTAGAGGCTGAAACTAATTAGAATCTCCGTGTGTGTTTCTTTGCCTTTTGTTTTCCTCAAGCCCTCTCCGTTTTAAAATGTCAATCAAGGACACTCATTTTTCTATGATCTCCCCTCTTTGTTCAATAGAAATATAGTATGAATCACATGTGATTTCAAGGTGAAATTAATTTCAGTAATTATCTTGTTATACCAAAGTAGTATCATTTTGACATATAAAGCAATATAAAATTGTTAGTGAGATGTTTTACCTTTCTTAAATAACTGAAATCCCACTTATGTTTTATCCCGAAACATTATCACCACTTGGCCTAGCCTTGCTGTACCTGCTGCCCAGGCATCTAGTGCCCCTGCTGGCACAATTTCACCAGGTGCAACTTACTGCAATACATAATCGTTAGCATTTGCTTGTTGCTTTAAATGTCTTGATCGTTGGGTACATTAAACAAGCCCATTTGAAGACCAGCAAACAAGTTATCTTAAATCAGCTGGATGGGTTCAGGTGGCCCCCACGTGCACTGTTTAATGGATTTAGTTGTCTTAGAAAAGGTGGCTGTGAAGCAGAAGCTGAGGTGTTGGTGTTTAGACAATGTATTTCACAGTGTGAGAGCCATGTTCAAAGCAGGGGCATGTTGTCCCTGGAGCCGGTGGTGCTGCGGGGTCTGCAGCCTGTAGTCTGTATTGCCCTCCATAGCTGTGTGGACGCCCTCCTGGACACAGGATTGTTGTGCTAAGAAGCATCCACACGTCCTGAAGTAGTTCCTCAGGGTGAATCCTTGTTGATAAACCTCCTTATGGCCAAATTAGCTTAATGGGATACCCGAGAGATGCCATGCTTAAGTAATTTTTTTTTTCTCATCTTCCAGCTGGCGCTACGAGATGCACTTTTGAAAAAGAGGAAAAGAATGAAGTAACTTCCAAGCAAGTTTTCCAATCCAGAGAGAATACTGTTTATAATGTTGCTCTGTATATTAGTAAAGCAAGAATGTCGGTTTACATAAAAGAGTCCAGAAGCGTTCTATTACAAAGCCTGCAGTGAAGTTGGTGATCACTCAGTGTCTTAGATTTCAGGGATGGAAAGTGGTGGCGGTGGAATCATGGTATCATGAAATCATTTTCATGTAGCGCTCATACCAAAAAAAAATTGTTGGGTGCCTATTACCTGTCACTGTACATACAGAAAATAATGAGCCATAATCCCTTCACCAAGCCCAGTGGCTGCCTGGTGGGTCGGGTGCACACACATGTGCTTCCAGTGCAGTGTAAATAATTCTCTTGTGGAGATGGCCCATGTGTGCAGAGGCTTTGTGGGCCGACTCTAGGAAAGGAGTTACAGAGTCTCTTAAAACAGGACAATGTTACAAGAGTAAGAGGTTCTTACGTGTCAGTTGACTTCCCTGCTGCAAACAGGTTTCTGTCCCGCAGACTTGGAGCGAACGGTGTAGCTCCAGGTGAAGGTTTTTTGGTTAAGACCACACTGTTTAAACTGCCTTAAATATAAATAATAGTGTGGAGTTTTTTTAATTTACCACTTGAACTCGTAATATTGTCTTCCCCAGCCTCCCTTCCTCCCACCGGATTTTCACTTCTCTGCCTTGGCTCCATAAAAGGTTCCAGCATGACATCCTTGTGCCCAGATGTGTGGAGGCGTGTGTATGCTCTCTTCCACTGGCCTGCTCTAGCTGATTCCAGGGGTCAGTTGTTTTGTATGTGAATTGTTGCACCCAGAAGCAGGCTGGTGCCTTTTGTTCCAGATTTCTTAAGTAATCTGTGCTAGTTGAGAAAATTGTCACAAGTTACTCACAATTAGAGTAAAAGGCGATTTTCTGCCCTCCCCTAAAGCAGCTCCTAGCATCACTTTCTTAGCTGCCTTTCCAGTTCCTTTGCTCCCTTTAAGCTTGTTTAAATGAAATCTCCCATCACTGCTGGGTGATCAGTCATGCTGTCAGGCTGCTCCTGACCACTTGGTTGCCTCACAGGAAGTTCCCAATGCAAATTGGTGTATTTCAGACATGAAACCGCACCCTTTTGTTTGTGAATTTTTGAACCAAGTGCTTTCTGTGTGTCTGAGTTGAGAAAGTGATAGGATGGCATAGCAGCCACAGCCTCGCTGCATGAGTGTGGAGGTCCCTGGAGGTGTGGGCCTTCCCCTGAGCCACACTGCACTGGGAGCGAGGAGGCCAGAACTCTGCTTGCCCCACCGCCTGTTCCACTGCGGCCTGTTCTCTTCATAGCCAGAGGTTTAAACTCAAGGTGGAAAGGCACCTGATTTTAAAAGGCTGGTTCTTAACTATTTTATTTCCTGAATTCCTTAGTATCTCTTTTAATCCAGTTTCTTGTTATTTTATAAATCTTTGCTTGAGAATATTTCCTGTTGTCAATTTGAAAAAGTTGGCAGTGTCTGGACTTGAGCTTTTTAACCTTAAATGTCTGTCAACATGAGAATGGGTGCATTTCAGGGTTGAGTTCATTGTCAGGGTCATAGTACCTGAAGTGATGCTTCAAGTCAGGATGAAGGAAATAGATTTCCACAGTGACTCTACAACAGAAAGTACCTTGTAGAGCTGGCGAGAGGCATACTCACACCCAAAACGGAAGTATCTTAGGTGATGGGGGTATTGAGTATTGATTCATTTTACAGTCTAGACATAAAGTGTCATATTATATAATATCATAAATAGATTTCTGGTCAGTTTACCAAAGGAAAAAAAAATAATCTCCCAGCCTTGGGTGGGGACCCAGAGGAGGCAGCAGTGCAGCTGGCCAGACCGGGCAAGGCCTCTGTGCTGACCAAGTGATGCGGTGACAGACAGGTGGACGGTAGGGAGCCCATCCCAAATTTGACATTGTTTTAGTAGAACTTTTGAGAGGTTATGTTGTGTGAATTTTGTTTTTTATTTATTCATATTGTAATTCTTTCAAAATGTGTAACCTTCACTGCAGCTCTGTGTGAGCCGGAATGTTAAGTCAGAATACTCTGTTTTTAAGCTGTTCTGGATTCCACAGTTTCAAGTTGTAATATGTCAGGGCCACTCTACCACGTGCCATTCTTTCCTTCCTTGTGTCATTGCTTTTGGGAAACAGTTTAATAAACTGATTAGTTCACATGATAGCAAAACATGTAGACATTAAAATGTTTACATTGGGAAATGTTTATTATACATGAATACAGAAGTATTTATAATACTATCCAATTACACATGAAAGAAGTTCAGGAAAATGAAAGCCCTAGAGAAATTGTGCCATATATTAAATTGCTTTCTTAGGAGCTGGAGTCATTAGTACATTTGTTTGTTTTGATGTTGCTTTTTGAATCTTTCATGGTTTTACATGTTTTTACATCATTGTAATAAAAGAATAACTTAAATTGAGGTAAAATATATTGAGGCTCATGTTGGAGAAGTGTCTTGATCATTGGGGGAGCACCCTGCACCAAGGCAGGGGTGAGAGTGGTAGCTCATGCAGGCATTGCTGGGCCACCTTCTGAGTCCGTCCAGTTTGCCCTTGGACTAACTTACTGCTACAGCTGGCTTGTGCTTGGGGCCCTCATTTTTTATTTTATTTTATTTTATTTTATTATTTTTATTTTTGATAATGTTTACATTATTAATCAGGGTGGCAAGGATCGAGGGTTAGGGAAAAGTGAGTGTGATTGTTGTTTCCAGATATTCCATTTCTTCTTCCTGTATCTGGGAGAAGGGGAAGACAAGGGAAGAAGCCATATCCAGTCTCGGACGGCCACCCGATATCAACCCAGGGTCCCCATGTGGCTCATGCTCTGAAGGTTCTACCCAAGTGATTTCATTAGTTCTGAATGATCTCACCAATCAAAGTGTGAGGGAACCTTTCCAATGCCCATTGACTGCCACAGTCAGCCAGATGTCCTCTGCAAGCCTGAATGGACTGTCATCTCCTCCATGTATATCCCTGCCTGCCGTCCACTGCTCCATCTCCTCCACTGAGGAGGACAGGCCCTTGCAGGCCAGGCAACCCAGGACCCACCAGGGCTCACAGACCCGACACCCACCACTTGGGACCCTCTTACCATGGCCAACCATACCTGAAGTCCATAGAAGTGCTGGGAAGAGAATGTGTAATAAGTGAGCAAGAAATCATCATGGGCTTTGACTCAAACCCACATCTCATCCAGAGTGTGACTTGAGTTGTGTTTGTGCTGTTTCGCCGCCAGCCACAGAACACGCATCTCGGAACACTAACCAAACTGGAGGTGGTCTGCAAAGCGTGGCAAAGGGGTAGAGAGTTGGCAGCCTGGGTTCTGTGGAACAACACACTGATGCCATCAGGAGCCCGGGTGGGTGGCAGTCAGACTGGGTTACAAGGCTGACTCTGAGATGGCTGCTTGGTCCTGTGCAAGAGACTTGGCATGTCTGGACCTGTATTTCAACCTTAGACTGCTGAGACTGAGTCTTCTGTGTTGGAGACAGAAGGGACCAAGTTGCATTGCCGCATCCATCCCTTTTGCTAAAAGAGCAGATGCTTTTGCAGATTCCCTCCAGCAGGCTCCGCCTCCGTTTTGTCATCCAGATTACCTGGCTGCGGTGTCCGCCAGAGGAGCTAGGGGAGCTGGGTTCGCAGCGCAGGCGTATCACAACTTCCCAAGAGCTCTGGCTGCAGTTAGCAAGGAAACGGAACACGGGCTTGGAACAAACAGGCTGCCAGCTCTACCACCAGCTGACTACAGGGAGACACTCACGGTAATGTGGTTTTACAACGACAAAAGGGGCTTCAAGGAACTATGGGAGGGCTTAAGCAGCTTGGGATAGTCAGTAAATAATAGAAAATTTAATTAAATAATTACCACTTTGCAAATAGGGTGAAAAGAGCTCTCACCTTTTTTTCTGAACCAAATAACATTTATTTTGTGTGTGTATGTGTGCTTAAAAAATAATATAAGTAGATAATGAAATAAACATTTTTTTAAAGTATTCCATGGTGGGATCTCTATTTGGAGTTAAGTCAACAGTTTGTTCAGGTTTCTTCAACACCTTTTTTTTTTTAAGATTCACTGATCTTTATTACAAAGTCAGACATACAGAGAGGAGGAGAGATACAGAGGAAGATCTTCCGTCCGATGATTCACTCCCCAAGGGAGCACAACGGACAGTGCTGCACTGATCTAAAGCCAGGAGCCAGGAACTTTTCGGTTCTCCCACACGGATGCAGGGTCCCAAGGCTTTGGTTCATCCTCAACTGCTTTCTCAGGCCACAAGCAGGGAGCTGGATGGGAAATGGAGCCGCCAGAACCAGAACCAGCGCCCATATGGGATCCCATATGGCGGTTCAAGGCAAGGACTTTAGCTGCTAGGCCACCACACTGGGCCCACTTCAATACTTCTTCTGAAGGGTTATGAACTCTCCATCTCCCGTTCAGCTCACAGCTGATTGGAGAAGTCCCCATCCACATTGTCATCATCCCAGTTACCCTCCAGACATCTTCATCTCCATCTCAAGTGGCCCAGCCTTCGTTGGGAAACTCCTCGAACTTGTCCTTCTCCAGGAGTCCCAGGTCTGTCGGCTGCCTTATCTCGGACAGGGCTACCTGCCTCGGCCAACCGGATGCAGGTGAACAGGAAGCGTGGAGGCCTCGCTCCTCCACAGCCAAGACCGCTCCTCTGCCCAAGTGTTGCACTTTTCAAAAACAGTGCATGAAATGATTTTAAGAGAACATTTCTTAGATTTTAAAAAATAATGAATTTGAAAGAGCAGTCTGTACATTGATTTCCCATGACCACAATGAGCAGGGCTGGGAAGGGTTGAAGCCAGGAGACAGGAGCTTCACCCAGGCCTCCCATGTGGGTAGAGAAGCCCAAACCCTCGGACTAACTTCTGCTTTTCTTAGGCTGTAGGCAGGGAGCTGGGTTAGAAACAGAGCAGTTGCATCAGGTGGTGCCCACATGTGAGGACAGTGCTGCAGGAGTCAACTTTATCAGCTGTGTCACATTGCCAGCTTTTTCCCCCTTTTTAAACTGTGTAGTTGGGGCTTCAAAGGGCTGGCACTGTATTATGCCACCCTGTGGTATGTGGTAAATTTGCCACCCATGGTACTAGTATCCATGTGGACTTTGAGTTGTAGCTGCTCCACTCTCCATCCAGCTCTCTGCTGCTAATGGTCTGGGAAAGTAGCAAAATGGTGCAAGTCCTTGGTCCCCTGCACCCTGTGGGAGACCTGGAAACAGCTCCTGGCTCCTGGCTTCAGATTGGTGTAACTCCAGCTGTTGTGGCCATTTGGGAAGCGAACCAGCAGGTGGAAATTCAATCTCAACCTTGGTCTTCTTCTCTATCTTGAATTCTGCCTTTCAGGTAGATGGAAATAAATGAACATGTTTCTTAAGAATTCCAGTAGTGGGTCTGGTGACAAGTCTTCACCTTGCATCTGTCGGGATCCCATATGGATGCCACTCTGCATCCTGGCTGCTCCACTTCCCATCTCTCTGCCTTTGCCTGGCAAAGTAGAGGACAGCCCAAACTCTTGGGACCCTGTCTTGGGTGTCTTCTGTGCAGCAGGCCCTGAGACTGCCGAAGCGCGAGGCGACAGTGCCCTTCTGCAGCAGCAACACTGCAGACGAACTGGTGTGACGGATGTCCGGTTATTTGAGAGAAGTCACATAGAGCCAGAAGGGCGGCCCTGGCAGTACTTCCAGCCAACAACAACGTTGTGACTGGCGGACAGATATGTCTATCTCTCTGGACCCGCTAAGGAAGTTAAAGGTCAGGAAGCACAGGAAATTGTATCTCAGTGCAGACTTGTTATCTGCTGAAAGCACGAATGTAACACTTGACTTCCCAGAGTTGTTTACCAAGTCCTAGCAGAGTAGGGAAGAGAGACTGGGCTGCAGCCCATCACTCTTGTTGCACACCCAGTAAACAGCCCATGTTGGGGTCTGTTAGCCAAGGGCGTAGTGTTCCATGTGCCTGTGGCCTCTCACATATATGGGTTAGACAGGTGGAGACCCAGGGGCAGTCTCCCACAACCCTGTATCCATGTGGGAGACCCACATGAAGCTCCTGGCTCCTGGCTTCATATCAGCTCAGTTCACTTGGGGAGTGAACCAGCAGATGGAAGATCTTTGTCTCTCCTTCTCTCTGTAAATCTGACTTTCCAATAAAGAAAGGAAAAGAATTCCAGTAGGAAAGAAAGCCTTTTAGCAGTTTTCCTCAAGGTATACACAAGAATGGTACCTCTTACAACTTAAAAGTTTACAAATAAAATATTTACACAAAAATGTTGCTGGGTTGGATGGTGGAAATATAACTAAGTATAACTAAGGTTTCTTTTCTATTCTCCTAAACATTTTGTAATGTTATTTATAAAACATTCGTACCAAGCATTTTTTTTTTTAAGATAGCACTCCCATTTTAGCAAACTCCAGTTTGGTTGCATCTATTTCTAATCCTTTGTCTGAGGTTACATCAGGTGGACTGCGAAGGAAACCAGGGACAAAATAGGAACTTTATTCTGGGAAGTATTAGAAAAGAGGAAATAGAGAATTACATGGAACTAAGGCATGACTCTTGGCACATTTCTGTATAGATACTTGATCCTTCCTCTTTTTAACTGCATCATCTTAATTGAAAATAGTGAGACTTAGTCATTGCAATTTTATTCAGCCTTAATAATTTGCCTCTTTTTTAAAAGAGCATGAGAATAGCTAAACCCCTCAGCTGCTGCTTCCTTCCCCGAGGTAACCACTATCTTGTGGCTTTTTTTTTTTTTAAGATTTATTTATCTTTATGGCAAAGTAATATACAGAGAGAAGAAGAAACAGCAGGGAAGATCTTCCGTCTGCTGATTCACTCCCCAAAGTGACCACAAAGGCCAATACTGTGCCAACCCGAAGCCAGGAGCCAGGAACTTCCTCCAGGACTCCCACGCGGGTGCACGGTCCCAAGGCTTTGGGCCGTCCTCGACTGCTTTCCCAGGCCACAAGCAGGGAGCTGGATGGGAAGCAGGGCTGCCGGGATTAGCCTGCAATGGGATCCTGACACATTCAAGGTAAGGACTTTAGCTGCTAGGCTACTGAGCCAGGCCTGATAACCACTATCTTGAAGTTATTTGCTGCCTCTTATTCCTGTTGCTATTTTTTTTTCTTTTATGATATATCTATATGTATATGAGACACCTTCAGAAAGCTCATGGAAAATGTATGTTATGAGAAAGTTGTGTATGGATTTTAAAGATTTTTTTTTTGGCACCAAAAATAAACTCAACTGCTTTTTTTTTTTTTATATTTTATGAAATACCCTTGCTTGTGTGTATCTATCTGGCTCAAAATAGTGTTATATCACCTGGATTTACATATTTTTTGCCAACTATTTGGGTAATTCAGTGTTAGGATCTTGACAGATGAAGCTCCATGGCTCTGCAATTGCCATTGTTTTTGTTTTTAAGACTTTTTTTTTATTAGAAAGTCAGATATACACAGAAGAGGAGAGACAGAGAGGAAGATCTTCTGATGATTCACTCCCAAGTAACCGCAACGGCTGGTGCTGTTTTGATCCGAAGCCAGGAGCCAGGAACTTCCTCTGGGTCTCCCACACAGGTGCAGGATCCCAAGGCTTTGGTTCGTCCTCCACTGCTTTTCCAGGTCACAAGAAGGAAGCTGGATGGGAAGTGGAGCTGCGGGATTAGAACTGGTGTCTATATGAGGTCTCAGTGCATGCTAAGCGAGGACTTTAGCCACTAGGTTACCACACCAAGCCCACAATTTATTTTTATTAGAAAGGCAGGTTTATGAAGAGGAGGGTACAGAGAAAGAGCTTGCATCTACTGCATCCCAAATGGCTGTAACAAGCAGAGCTGAGCCAATCCAGAGCCAAGAGCTTCTTTAAGGTCTCCCTTGTGGGTACAGAGTCCCAAGGCTTTAGGTTGTCCTCTACTGCTTTGCCAGACCACAAGCAGGGCACTGGATGGAAAGAGGAGCAGCTGGGACACAAATTGGTGCCCAGATGGAATTTAAGTGCTTGAAGACGGAGTGTCACTGTTCCGCAGTGATGGCCTTGGTGCACGGAGCCGATAATAACACGCGTGGACCCTGATTGATGGTCAAAGCCCAAGTTTATTAGTGGCATCAGACTTTATACACTGAGGGTTATGTGGGATAAGGGAGGAAGTATTGAGCTCATCAACAAATCCAGTAACAGTCTATGCTTTTGTTTGGAACTCCTTTTGTCTTGTATAATCCACCAAGTGTTCTCACACACATACTGTCCATTCAGCTGTTCTTATATAAATGATATCCAATCAGGTGTACAAAACGTAGCCACTCGGTTGTTCTCATGCAAATATTATCCAATGAATTGTAAGTAATCCTGTGCTCACGACCCTCTAGGGTCACACTGTCTTCCTACAGTGGAGGATTAGCCATTGCGCCCGGCCCCTTCTGTTATTTTACCTATACCTAAATCTATCCTTCATTATTTTTTTTAAGGATTCATTTGTTTTTATTGAAAAGGTAAGTTTACGGAGAGAAGGAGAGACAGAGAGAAAGATCTTCCATCCCCAAGGGACTGTAATGGACAGAGCTGATCCAAACATAAGCTAGGAACCAGGAGCCTTCTCAAGGTCTCATGAGAGTGCAGGGTCCCAAGGCCTTGGGTCATCCTCCACTGCTTTCCCAGGCCACAAGCAGGGAGCTGGAAGAGAAGTGGAGCAGCCGGGACATAAACCAGCACCCATACGGGATCCCAGCACGTGCAGGGTGAGGACTTTAACCTCTAGGCTAACCGCACCGCGCCCTATCCTTTACTGCTAAGGAGTGACATGTTAAGTGGCTTCCATTTTGTACTGTTTCAGAACCTGGTCGCAGTAAATGGCTTTGAACATTTTTCCAAGGGCGGGTGTGCATTCAAGGTCATTGCTGGCAGGAAGCCTCGGTTCCTCCCAGGTCTTTGGTAGATGCTCTCAGTTCCTCAACACGGAAATATTCCCAGGGCCCTTGCATGTCTTCAGGACAAGTCAACTGGCTTCCCACAGCTTGGGAACCCAAGACACAGCAAGGTTTTGGGGTGGCTTAGCCTTAGCACCGGGCACTCTCACTTCTGCCAGTCTGTTCACTGGAAGCAAGTCCAAGTGCAGCCAAGGTCAAGGGCCTGCGTAATTGGGTTCCGCCTTTTGAGAAGAGTATTAAAAGCAGAACAGGGCCAGCATGTGGCCCAAGGCGCTAAGTCTCCACCTGCAGTTCTAGCGTCCCGGATGGGCACCAGTTCTTCAAATCCCTACTGCTATATTTTCAAACTGTGGTGAAGTTCCAGGCTCCTGGCTTCAGGCTGGCCCAGCTGTGGCAATTGCAGCCATCTGGGGAGTGAATCAGTGGGTGGAAGTTCTCTCTGTCTTTCCCTCGCTCCTTTACTCTTCAAATAACCGAAATACATCTAAAAAATAAGAAGACGTGGATTTGTTTTTTAACAACAACATCGTCTTTAAGCTGAACAAGCTTAGATGCCAGTTGCAAATAAATAAAAGCGCCTATATCTTGATGCAGTTTTACCCTTTTTTTTTCTTAAGATTTTATGTATTTATTTGAAAGGTAGAGTTACAATGAGAAGGAACAAGATTGTCCATCTGCTGGCTCACTCCCCAAATTGCCATGGGCAGCAGTTTCATCCAGGTCTTCTGGATGTGGGGGCTCAAACCGCTCGGTCGTCTTCTACTGCTTCTCCCAGGCTATTAGCTGGATCAGAAGTGGAGTAGCCGGGACTTGAACCGGCTTTCTGATGGGATCCCATTTGGCCTGCTATGTCCCAACAGCAGCCCCTCCGGGCGTCTACCTCTCGGTACTGGGCACAGCATGTTGTTTAAGCTGCTCCACATAGGCACGGCAGTTGGGGTCCGGCACACCTGACAGCCGATGGCGCCCTTCATCTTCAGCTCTGCCCCCTCGTGGGCAACACAGGCTGCCCTTCAGCATGTTCAGCCGGAGAGGAAAACATGGTGTAAAATTTCATGTAGTTCAGCTTACTTGAAATCCTCCACTTTCTATTATCTTGCAGTATCAGCCGAAAATGCAAGCATGCCTCTTTGAACTCAGCCCGTTCCGTCGGTGAGTCTCTCGGGACACTCTGCTGAGGCAGGGAGCCACTGCTGTTCAATCAAACTTTACAGAGGACAAACCGAGACTGGAAAAGCCAGGAAGGCGCCTGAACAGAGGCTCACACTTGGACCTGGTGACCTGCAGGCCGCGAGGACGGAGATGATGAGACGTGATCGTCATGGTGTACTCTCTTTAGGGGTGATAGAGAGCCTTGAACACAAACAAGCAGTTTTCCAAGTTTTCCCTACAGTCAGAGCGGGCCGCGGGTGACAGGAGGGCGGAGCGCGCGCAGGTCCTGCCTCCAGGCCGCCCCGCCCCGGTTAAGCCACCGTCTCCTCGCGCTTCCCAGTCGCCCTCAGTGGCGGTGGCGACTGCAGCTCGAGCCATGCAAGCTACCGTGCTGCTACTGCTGATGCTGGCCGGGGGCTCGGCCGCAGTCTCGACCCCCAGCCCGCCGCTCTTCAACGTGAGCCTGGACGTGGCCCCGGAGCTTCGCTGGCTGCCCGTCCTGCGCCACTACGACCCGGAGCTGCTGCGCGCCGCGGTGGCGCAGGTCATCGGGTGAGCAGGAGGCGCACGGGTCGGGGAGCCCCAAGGGCTTTGGGACCAGAGAGACTAAACGCGCCCTCGGCCCCAGCAGTTCCTAGGGCCCCGCAGTACCCGGGGTGCGCTGCTCTTGCGAGCAGCGTCGGGCCGGGCAATCGGACTTGCCTAGGGCAGCGCCCTGGGTCTGCAGCTTCTCCCGGCCGGGGTGGCGCTCAGGGTGCTCCCGTGTGCGGCTCAGCTCTCCAGGGTGGGTCTTCCACCACGCCTTCCAGGCAGGCACATCCACTGTCCTCTCGTGCAGACCAGACATCTTCGTGCTTCCTTCATTTCCAGGAGCAGAGTCCCCAAGTGGGTGCTGGCGCTGATCGAAAGGAGCGCATTGGAGCTGGTGCGCCTCCTGCCGCCGACGTTCACCGCCGAGATCCGCGGCATGAGCAACTTTATGAACCTCAGCCTGGCCGACGGCCTCCTGGTCAACCTTGCCTACGAGTACTCGGCGTGAGTGCCTGGCCCCGTTAGCGGCGGAGGACCCCGGGGTTTGCCAGCTGTGCCGAGGAAGGGGGAGGGAGGCATGCCTTCCGCGAGATTAAGAAAAGGGTAGAAACCGGGCTGCCCCCGAAGCCTGCAAGTCTGGCTCTGCCTTTCTGGGCAAATCTCAGCAGCTCGCTGTGCGCGCCCAGAGGAAAGCAGCGTGTTGGAGACGCCCTCTCAGGAAGTGTTTGAACCTGATCTTGTGCAGGAGAACCCTTTAGAGGGAGGGGTCCTGGTGTAACCTCCAACCGTCTCGCTGCATCAGGCCGCCCCAGCGCTCCTCGGTCCCACGCGCTTGTCCTCTGGGATTTGTCACCTCTGGGGACGCTGACTGGCCTTTCAGTCTGTCCAGGAGACCAGCTGCTCAGTCTGACAGGGGCCTGATAACAGCGTGTGGGCCGGGCTGAATCGTGGCTCCCCCAGAGGGAAAGCAGTACGGGGTGTGGTGAGTTCATTCAGCGTCAGGGTGCTCTTTTTTTTTTTTTTTTTTTTTTTAAGATTTATTTATTTTTATGGCAAAGTCAGATATACACAGAGGAAGAGACAGAGGAAGATCTTTCGTCCAATGATTCACACCCCAAGTGACTGCAACAGCCGGTGCTGAGCCGATCTGAAGCCAAGAGCCAGGAGCTCTTCCAGTCTCGCACCTGGGTGCAGGGTCCCAAGGCTTTGGGATGTCCTCGACTGCTTTCCCAGGCCACGAGCAGGGAGCTGGATGGGAAATCAGGCCACAAGCAGGGAGCTGGATGGGAAATCGAGCTGTCTGGATTAGAACCGGCATCCATATGGGATCCTGGCATGTTCAAGGGGAAGACAGCATCAGGCTTTTTTTTTTTTTTTTTTTTTTTTTTTGATTCTGCAACCAGGCCTGGAATCCGGAGACCTTGGACATGGGCTTCCCCTAGTAACATTTACCATGTGTGCCAGTGATGTATGATGTAGACAGCTAGCCTGTAACATCTCCCAGGGACACAGTTCTATGGCGAGTGTGGGAGGGGGTGTGGGGGAGGGGAGGCTTTAGCATATTGATACTTTCCTGCCGGTGGCATCCTGCCAGAATTGGTAGGCAAGGACTGTAAAAAGCACCGTGCCTTGCTGCCTAGCGTTTGGGAAAGGGAGTGAACTCAACCATTAAACCCAACAACTTAGAGCTCCTGCCCAGTTAGAGAGCCTCTGCATTGAACCCAGTAACTTTTAGCATCCCCAGCGTCTTTCTCCTATTCTGACCTGGGGACCTCTCAGTGAAAAACATCACAGTTCATTGTCACTCCCTGGGGAGGGGGGAGCTGGGAAGAGGGGAATAGCCATAATCAAATAGTTTGAAGCTGAACTTTCTAACTTGTACATTTGATAGCATGGTGTATGTTGAATTCCCTAACAATAAAAAGCCTCTTCAGATTCCATTATCTTTAGCAAAAGAACTGTTTTGTTTTTATTTTAAAGATAAATTCTGAAGGCTTATTAATTTTTATTTGAAAGAGTTAGAGAAAAGTAGAGACAGAGGGGCAGAGCGAATCTTCCATCTCTAATTTACTCCCCGATGACTACCATGGCCGGCCAGGGATGAACCAGACTGAGCCAGGAGTCAGGAACTTCATCTGGGTCACCAAGCCGTCGTGTCATCTCCGCTGCTCTCCCAGGTCATGAGCAGCGAGCTGGATTGTATAAGTGGAGCACCTGGGGCTTGAACCAGTGCCCACATGGGCCTAGGAGTGCCAATGTGAGGGTGGTGTTATTTGTTTTCCAAATCAAGCCTCCGGGGCAACTTGCTGGGTGATAGGTGAGTTCCAGGGCTGCTGCCCAGGGCTCCTCTGAGCCCCACCCCCTCCCCCTCAGCACTAGTGCTCCACCGCTGGCCCCATCAGAAACCTCAGAAGGAATTAAAACCTGATCATCTTCCTTCTTTAAGCAAAACAAGAAATTGAGGAACACTTCTTTCCCCTCCTCCTTAGCAAAGTAATAAGCAATGGTTCTGGAAAGTCATTAGATACAGACAAAGCATGTCTAAGGAAACTGATTTCTCTGACTTGTGTGTGTGTGTGGACAGATGTGTCTTTCTTCCCGCCTGGCCCCCTCTCCCCAGCCGGATGGGCTGTTTGCATGTGTATTTCCATCCGGGCAATATTCTCAAGAGAATACAGATATATAGATGCTTCAACACACCACCTCCTTTTGTGATCACAATAATTCTGAAAGGATACGCTTCAGTTTCGAGCTCTGTGCAGGGAAAGTGGCAAAACCCTAAAGAGGTGACTCTTTCCTTAGGGGGGGCAAGAAGGGACAGCAGGTGGGGCTGAGTGGTGGCACACCATTTGTCAGCAGAGCTGCACGGTGGGGAGCGGTGACTTGGCTAGCTCTGAGGAACGGGAGAAATGGCCCCGTCCCCGAGCAGGAAGCCGCGGTCAGGGCTCAGCAGCACGCAGGGTGCTGGTAGAGGCCAAAACTCAGGCAGAATACTGGTGACGCCGTGCCTGTGTGCCAAGGACAAGGTTGGCCACCCCTGGGGACCCCAGATGAGCTGGGTCCTGTGAAAACTGTATTCTTGTACCAGGGTTATAACATGTACAAGAGGGCTTCAAAAAGTTTGTGGAAATAGAAATTGAAATACAACTTAAGTGATTGATTTATTTTACTTGAAAATCAGAGTTGCAGAGAGAGAGTCTTCAATTTTCTGGTTCAGTCCCCAAATAAACACTGTCCAGAGGTGGACTGGTCTGAAACCAGGAGCCAGGAGCTTCTTCCAGGTCTCCCGTGTGGCTGCAGGATCCCAAGGACTTGAACCATCCTCAGCTGCCTCCCCAGGCTATCAGCAGGAAATTGGATCAGAAGTGAAGCAGCCATGACCCATGTGGAAACCAATGCCATAGGAGGATCAGTATGTTGGGCTACTATATCAACTGTGAGGAAGAAAGCTCTTTCTTAGAGAAACTTGCTTTAAAAATCAAAATCGCACTCTCCTTTCAGCTTCTGCACCAGCATCGTGGCCCAAGACTCGAGGGGGCACATTTACCATGGCCGGAACCTGGATTACCCCTTTGGAAATGTGCTACGCAAGTTGACCGTGGATGTGCAGTTCCTGAAGAACGGGCAGGTACAGTCCATTCAGGGGTAGCGACAGTGACAGCGTGGATGGCTTGCTGAGATAACTGCCATCACTGTAAGATACAACTGAAAAAGAAAGAGAAATTTGCATCAGTTATGCTTATAGGAACAAGGGTTTATTGTTGTGGTGCTCTGACTTAAAAAGGTCACCCAGTTCTTAGAGGGGTCTCTCAGGTGGTGTCAACAGTCCACCTGCTCCCCTCCTCTCCTCCCCCCTCCTCTCCTCCTCTCTTTGTCCCCTCCTCTTCTCTTCCCGTCCTCCCCTCTTCCCCACCTCTCCTCCTCACTTCCCTCCTCTCCTCCTCTCCTCCTCTCCTCCCCTCCTTTTCAATGTCCTCCTCCTCTCCTCCCCCTTATCTCCTCCCCCTGCACTCCCCCATTCACCACATTTTCCCACCTGCAGGTTATGGTACTGCTGTGGCTGGAATGCCTGACGGTCCCCAGGTTAGAGTCCTCCTGCCAATCGCTTTCTTTGTAAATTTGGGGGAGGGCTCACACCTCTTTTGCAGATAGCAGCCCAGAGAAGTTTATAACTACCTTGTTAAAATGATCTTGTTAAACTAACTATTAAGGATAATGAAGTAATTATGTAAAGCATGTGGTAAGTGCTTCATTGCTAGAGGCATGTCTTGTCTGCTCCTGTGATGGGCCTACCATCCTGTGGTGTGGGTACAATCATTTACAAATGATACTTGGATTGTTTTGCTTTCAGCGTGGTCCGGTTAAAAAGTCACTGCTGTCACATGACTGTGAAAGCCTCTAGAGACAGCATTCGGCCACATGCCTGCTGTCCACAAAGCAGGCCCCTGCTGCCAAGCACACACCGTACTGGGCATTAACGACAAGAACCTCTCTATTCTCGTGGCGTTTAGGGGGTTGATGCAGCAATACTAGAAACTCAGTGAATCTGCATTTGATGTAGAACCTGCTTTGATATAGAAATCCTTTCTCGTGGTGGAAATCCGAATGGTACAGGAATACTGCAAATGGAAGCGCCTCATCCTGTTTCAAGCCTCCACTTTGCCACTCTTAACAGTCTGGTCTCTAGCTGAAGACAGACTTCAGAAACGCCCCTAAGGGGTAAATGTAACACAACATGAATGCATCGACAACCAAAGGACACCTGCAACAACATCATTATCACTGCACGATGGGAGTGTATTTAGTTTATCAGCTGCTTTGTGCTTTTTTCCATTGTTCTATGATGGAGAAATGCTCTTATAAACAAAGGGATACATGCCTTGAAACTGTTTTCTCTCTCTCATATTTATTCATTTTTATTGGAAAGGTAGATTTACAGAGAGGAGAGACAGAGAAAGATCTTCCATTCACTGGTTCACTCCCAAAGTGGTCACAACAGCCAAAACTGAGCCAGTCTGAAGCCAGGAGCCAAGAGCTTCTTCTGGCTCTCCCAGGTGGGTGCAGGGTCTCAAGTCCTTGGACCATCCTCTATTGTTTTCCTAGGCTCAAGCAGGGAGCTGGGTGGGAAGCAGAGCAGCCTGGACAGGAACCAGTGCCCATATGGTATCCCAGGGCTGGCTTGGGGAGAGTATGGGGGCAGTGGGGATTAGCCAGCTGAGCCATCATGCTGGCAGAGCTGTTTTCAGGGAAGCACTCAAGTGGTTGTTACTTTGTTGGGTTCTGTTTGGGGCTCCCACCAGTGATTAAGCTGGCAACTCCCCATGAACTAACTCATCTGCCATTCTCACTTGGTGCCCAGAATCTTACAGGTGTTTTTATAAGCAGTTCCTTCAGTTCTGTAGCTGTGTGCCCCGGGGCACCATCAGCATTTGCATCCTGGCTCCCCAGAGATGTGATTTCCCTGGCAGAGGTGGAAGCGCCCCAGGGCCCTGGGCCTCCCGGTTGGGTCCTCCCTGACACCCAGCCTGCCCCAGCTCAGCCTGGCTTGGACAGTCAAGCAGAGACTGTTGAGCTGTTGATATTAGCTGGCTTGGCAGAGACCCTAGGGGAGTGCAAATTCTTGGAGTGAAGGCCGACTTTTGCAAATGCAAGAGAACAAATCTTACGTATTATCTTGTAATCATTTTATAATTAGAAGTTACAATACGATTTCTATCTTCCTAACTTTGATTTTCTTAACCTCTCAAGAATGACTCTAATATGAGATTAGGGTGAGTGAGATGACCTTTGCTGCGTGTTGCATGTTACAAGGGCTTGAGCTGTGGGGTGGGCCTAGTCCCTGGGCAATAATGGAGGAAGGACCATCCACAAAACTAAGGCCACCACAGGCTCCTTGGGGGTGTAGCTGCCAGATATGATAAACAAACATTGTATAAATAACCAAATAAAAACAGTCCCTGACTTATGATAAAGTCTTCAAAGGAAAACTCTTAACCTAGACCTATTCGTTTCTTCAAATATAAAAACAGTAGTTGATCTTTGCTGAACATCAGGAATCAGATATCTTCAAAGGATACCAAGAAATCCTTTGAAAGTAGAATCTGGGGCCCAGCGTGGTAGCCTAGTGGCTAAAGTCCTCACCTTGCATGCATTGGGAGCCCATATGGGCACTGGTTTATGTTCCGGCAGCCCTGCTTCCCATTCCAGTTCCCTGCTTGCGGCCTGAGAAAGCAGTCGAGGACGGCCCAAGACCTTGCAATCTGGAGGAGGCTCCTGGCTTCAGACTGGCTCAGCTCTGGCCATTGCGGCCACTTGGGGAGTGAATTATCAGACAGAAGATATTTCTCTGTTTCTCCTCCTCTCTGTATATTTGACTTTCCAATAAAAATAAATAGATCTTTAAAAAAATAAAAGCTGGTGTCTGAACTAATGGATAGAATGATTATAATATATATAATATAGTCTTTTAATAACTGGAGCTTGTTACCTTAATTTAATAGAAGTGAACCCTCTCATTTATGGGACAATGGTGAGAGATGAAAGACGCACATAAAAGCAGTTTGTAAGCCTTGCACCTGTTGATGACATCCATGTTGCGCGGTTCTATTTGTTTCCCCTAACTTCCCAGAGTTTATAAAATGGCTAATATTTATCTCTCAAGAATCAAATCCACATACATTTTCCATCAGAGCCACTTTTCTGTTTCCAGGCTTCTTCACCTGGTGCCTGGGCCCTTTGGTGAATAACGTGCCTGTTGATGATAAAATCCGCAGGACCGCCATGAAAACTGACGATGTTGAAATGCAGCCGTCTCAGTATCATGCTTCCTTCTTAGCACATTGACTGATGTGATTTACCGTGATCCAGGGTGGTATTTCAGGGTGCTGCCAGCACCAGTGCACATGTGTGAAGTGACATGTGTGAAGTGACAAGCCGCAGGAATTGCTATCCCTCTATACTGCTATCTGCTGTGGATGGGGACACTCCTGACAGAGCAGTTGAATTTCAGTGAGGCATGAATGAAAACAAACATATGTATCTTTTTGTTCTCCCCATCTAAGGCCACAGCCCAAAGACTTTTGCCCTAGGGCCCATTCCCCAGGGCTCAGGTCCTGTGTTCTTCCTTTTTAAATATCATATAGATAGTGTGGGCCTCTGATTAGGGCGGGTTGATGAATGGAGGAAGGTAGGTGGGACAAATGCTTAAGTTGTTTTCTTTTTATTCTCCTGATCTGCTGGTGAGAAATAGGAAGCAACCGCTCCTTGCAGTCAAACTACAGCAGCCGTCACTTGGGATGGAGGACAGTCATTTGATGATGATAGACACCTCTTTCTGAGTGGTATTCTATTACATTGGAACTTACCACAAACAAACTGAAAATGAAAGAAAAAAACCCACCAGGAAATTGTGGGGCATCACAGATGATTTCAAATGTGCTTTGGATTGAAGTGGTTAAAATGATACCTCATTTCTTGCTTGCAGATTGCGTTCAGAGGAACCACTTTTGTTGGCTACGTAGGATTGTGGACCGGTCAAAGCCCACACAAGTTCACGGTTTCTGGCGACGAACGAGGTACACATTTGTAAGCATATCCCTGTCTCGGTTCTAGCCAAGAGCAGTCACCCAGCTGAAGGCATAGGTCGCCTATGCACGTGAGGATACAGATGGTTTCAAGTCATGGCAGTTGCGACAGAGAAGATAAAACAGGAAGTCATGATGGAGTGGGAAGGGGACAGGGTGGTTATAACAGCTGGCGGGGTTCTGGAAGGCCTGACCCACGTGACTGCAGAGCAGTTTTGCAGAGCTGAGAAGCCCAAATAAGGACTGAGGTTAAAGGTTGAGTCCACGTAGTAGATCCCACACACAGAAGGTCAGCTCGGTGTAGCACGGGCTTGCAAGCAGTCTGAGGTCGTGATGAGAGCTTGTGTGTGCATTGTGGTGGAAGTCACAGGAGGGTTTCAGCCAGCGCGTGAACAGCCCTGATGAAGATTTTCACTCTCATTGCAACCTCTCCGCAGAGAGGAGTCACATTGGGCTGAGATGGAGATGAGTGGAAGCTTCTGGAATGCTCTAGAGATGCCTGAGGCCGTCTAAGCCATCTTTGCAGAGCTCAAGGCAACGTAGCATGTGCCTTTCTCATCAGCGCTCACAGCACAGTTGGGCAGGCAGTGCTGTCCGCACTCAGCCCTCTGCGGGCTGTCTGCCCATGCACCACGTATTTTAGGTCTTTATGCAGTCCAGACTGTTGATTTTTTCTTCTTTCATTGCCACATGAATTCCTACATGAAAAGTTTGTTTGAAAACCAAATTGTGGTAAAATCCCTTTTATTGAGCCAACCTCTTCCCAAGTTCATTGTAGACTTTGGAAAAGGACCAAGAGCTAAGGAGTTTCTTTGTTTTCCATGACGCTGTGGTGGCGGCTTTAATCCGGACTCGATGTTCCCTCCTCGCGGTGGCAGACAGAGGCTGGTGGTGGGAGAACCTGGTGGCGGCCCTGTTCCTGAGACACTCTCCCATCAGCTGGCTCCTGCGCACAGTGAGTGTGTCTGCCCCGGCTGCCCCTCCCCCTTGCGTGGCCCTCCCGCCTCCTCAACCCTGGTGTTCACATCCAGGCCCCTGTGCTACTGAGCCGCGCTGGCTTCGGTTGTGGAGGAGTGGCTGGAGAAAAAGCATCCGAATGTTTGCAGGATGCATGAAAACCATCACAGTAGCAAAGCTTCAACAAAGCCACTGGGTTAGAAAGCAGTAAGGTTCAACTGGTAACCCCGGGGTACTTGGAAAGGGTCAAATACGAAAAGGGAAGCTTACTTTGTTGCAAGCCATTTTGGAAACCCATCCTCGATTTTTTCATACCATACTTTCTTGTGAACTTTCACGAGCGCTTCTGCCCGGCAGAGCACAGCTTTGCCCTTGCTGCGACAGGATGTGTGCCTTCGGCATGGGTCCGTGCTGCAGGCGCGGCACCAGCTGTTCCTTAGGGTTGCTGAGAGACGTTCAGGTCTGAGCAACGTTTTCCTGTTGCTGGATGCTGGGTTGTCTCCAGATTATGGCTGGGCTCAGTAAGGCCGCCACGGATTGCTCACACTGGTCTAGCTGGGAACCCAGCTGTCTGTTCAAACTGGCCCAATCCCAGGTTCACCGGGATGGAATTCTCACACCAGACTCCTCACACCCACTTGAAGGACACATCTCCATTGTTCTTCACATTGCTACAGAGTGGGCACAGCTGTCAGCGATGGTCAGGTTTAGCGACATGTTCACAGCACCCCCAAAGGAGACCCCCTTGCCTCTGGCAGGCACTGCCTCCTCTCCACCTGCCTGCCCTGAGCTCACCAGGCAGTGATGACGTCCGTCATCACTGCCTTCAGGATGTATTTGTCCTCACCAGTTCTCCATCAGAGCCAAGGGGTTCCAGTTGGGGTAACGGGGTACACAATCTGCACAAATCGTCCATCAGTCCCCCCTTCGCGCCTCACTGGGTCGTTGTGAGTAATTCAGCATGCAGCACACCTACCAGGACTCCGTGTGCGTTTCTCTGGGCAGAGATGGAGGTGCTGGAGTCGAGCAAAGGAGCCTTTTGCAGACACCCACAGCCTTTGCTTCTTTCAGCCGGTCCTGGCGCCACCCATCCCACGTCTGACCATGTACTTAGAACTGTCCGGGGTGGCTGAGCGCAAGCCGCGCTTCCTTTGGAACATGGCGGAAGGGTAGTGGAGAAGCTTGAGGGGAAGGGCTTAGCAAGTGATCCCCTTACCCGTCCATGAAGGTGTGTGCAGGACTTTAGAGGTCCCCAGGGCCCTCCGGGTGTCAGGACACCAGAGAGAGGCTCTGATTCGGTGGAGCCTTTGTAGTCTAGGGCATCAAGCTGAAACTGGCCCTTCCCATTCCTCCGCGCTATCTCTGCTTGCACCTGACTTCTGGTCATCCCGCTGACCTCATGGAATGCTTCCCTGGGACGCCTCCTCTGCTGCCAGCCTGGGGGGATGGACTCCCCCACCCCCACCCCAACTCCCCTTGGCGCTCCAGAACATTTGCCCATCAGCTGGTGGAGACCACTCCCTGGGAGTGACGCTGATAACACTGGCTCTTGTTTGTTTTTGCATTGTTGCTCAGACTCTGAGTGAGGCAGAAAACTTCGAAGCAGCTGTTTACAGATTGGCCAAGACACCCCTCATTGCTGATGTCTATTACATCGTTGGGGGCACGAGCCCCCGGGAGGGCGTGGTCATCACGAGGAACAGAGGTGGCCCTGTTGACATCTGGCCTCTAGACCCTCTCAATGGAGCGTGAGTAGCATGGAAGGCTCTGGCTCTTTCTTTGAGTGGCCAAACTACAGCTGGCGTTCTTGCTTTAAGTGCTTCCTTAGCCTTGTGCTCAGTGACCTGGACTGAGGAGACAATGTGCTGTGTTGCAGGTGGTTCCGAGTTGAGACAAATTACGACCATTGGAAGCCAGCGCCTAAGAGAGATGACCGAAGGTAGATTTCTGTGTGCCTGCTGCTGTGCAGTGCTGTCCTGTGGGCGGAGGCGAGGGGGTGGTGCTGGCAGGTGCTTCCTACTCCTGGAAGAAGGGCCTGGATTCCTGCAACAGGGGCTTGGCTTGGGCAGTGTGTGGACAGAGCAGTGCAGGGAGCCCCACGATTTGGTTCTTGGGTGTTGGAAAGGTAAGGTTGGCCCAGGTCTTGGGGTCAGGAGCCCGCGGTCACTCCACCAGCCCCGCTGATGACTGCCTGGGTGGCACATGAATGGCATTGTAGTAAGAGGAAGCTAATGGACCCAGACTTAGCCTTGTGCCACCCTAATCACAGCAGAGGGGAGTCAGGGCTTCCTCAGGTGCCTGATGATGACCTTTGACCTTTGTCTTTTCAGAACACCTGCCATCAAAGCTCTTAATGCTACGGGGCAGGTGAACCTCAACCTGGAGACACTTTTCCAGGTAAGGCCTGCTCCATGTCCCGCTGACTCAATAGGTCTGCTACTTTTTTAAAATTTTGTATGTATTTTTCTTTTTAGAGATTTATTATTTGAAAGACAGAGTGGGGGGAGGCAGGGGAGGAAGAAAAAAAAATCTGTCAATTTTGCATCTGCTGGTTCAACTCCTGAAAAGGCTGCAATAGCCAGAATTGGAAGCCAGGAGCCAGGAACTTCATCGAGGTCTCCTACACAGGTTTCCCTGGCACATTAGCAGAAAGCTGGATTGGAAGTGAAGTAGCTGGGACTCAACCCAGTGCCCACAGGGGATACTGACACTGCAGGCAGCAGCTTAACGTGCTGTGCCACATGCTGGTACCTGGTACTTTTGTTATTAGTGATTTTAAAGAAAATTCTCTGAAAACAAACATGCCAGGTATAAATCTTAGAAGTGGAAGTTTCTCCCCAGCTCAAGACATCTTTTGAGTCAGATATCATTTTCTGAACTTGTTTTTTTTTTTTTTTGTTTCTGAGTTCTTGTTCATATTAAAAAGAGAAAGGCATGGTTGTAATAGATGTTCATGGTTTAGAAGGAAAAAGAAAATTAGAAAGCCTATAGCTGTCACACCAAGATTCAGTAAAATTTGAAGTGGCTCCATTTTACCAATGAATATTTCACAGGTGTTTCTTCTACCTTTTAATACAGGTTTTGTCAGTGGTTCCGGTTTATAACAAGTAAGTAACACACGTGTTCCTTGGTGGCCTGGGCAGGCAGTGACCCCACAGCCACTGGGCTCCTGGGTGCCACCTGGCGGAGTGCTGCGGATGTAGCACTCAGCCCAGTTCACACACTGGGACTGACGGGGCAGGGGCTCAGGCAGGTGACCCCGCGGGTCCTGGGGCAGCGGAGAAGCAGGCAAAGAATGCTGCGGGCTAGGAGTGGCTGCGGCCAGGGAGGGTCACCCCCGTGCTGGGCAGCCTGTCCCGGCCAGGAGGAGCTCCTTGCTGTCCCTCTTTCGGACCACCACTGCTCCCACCTGCCCCGTTCCTTCCTTTGCGATCCCCGAAGCTGTCCCTTGCTCCCTGCCAACCCACCACGTCGGCATTTCCCCTTACAGCCATCCGCTGGGAGCAGCGAGTTCTCCCGTATGGACATGGTCTAGGTTTTCACTCACTCTGGGCTCCAGCTCCCCCTGGCACCGAAAGCTCTGAGATAAACCAAGAAAGTAGCAGCAAACCATGAAGCCCTACGGGGACACCCTGAAGGCCCCTTCTCACCACACCAACAACACACAGGGATGCAGGCCCCCTGTTTGGTGTAGGGAGGTAGGATTGAATTCACTAGTTTCAGAGGACGCGTCTGCAAATATAGGCAGTTTTTTTATCTCCTTTCAATGCTTCAGTACCTTTGAAGACCCGAGATTTCCCACTTCCATGATGCTCCTGCAAGAATATCAAAAGAGTATTTTGATAACGGATGCCGCTAAAGCCTGTAAAGTGATTTTTGGTTTTGAAAACCCAGTTGATTTTTTTTTTTTTTTGGCTTTGCTTTTTTCATGATCTTATTTTATACAAACATAAACTGTTAATTTTCCCGATGGCACCATAAATGACTTTAAACTTTTTTAGTATTATAATAAAATACATATTCTATTTATTTTTATAAAACAAATGATTTTCTATGTTCTTAATAGCCCTTTCCATTGTAAATGGCTGTGTAGTGCCTGGTGGGATGACTTGTAATAAGCATTGTCCCCTTGTTGGTTTTACCTCTGTTGAAGCTGTGAGGGAAACACTTTTGTCCGTTCCCGTCTTCCTCTGGGTCATTTCCCTTGGCTGAACTCCCGGAAGGAAGGCCGTGAATGTTTAAACAGTTCTGAAATGTTTTGTAAAGTCAGAGTGGTTAGAAGTTGTCAACAATTTGCCAAGTAGCATTTTAAACGGTAGTCACCATGGAGGCAGAATGAACACCGCCCTCCGTCCCGCCCCCGACTATCTACAGGCCCTGACTTGGAGAGCAAGGTGCAGGCGTGGGTCAGGTGCCAGAGTGAAGGACAGGGCGGGCACGGCCGGCTCAGTGCTGCCGCCACAGGCCGTGCTGCGCAATTACACCCTCCCGAGACAGCTCACTCCGTGTGAATACATTACACAAAGCGAAGGGAGAATAGCTCAGGACTGAAATCAACAGCCAAGTCCCACTCAGAAAGCTGTCCTTGCCCTCAAGTGAGCTCTCCATGTGCTCATGGTGCTGTGTTCAGCAGGTGGATGACTCATCTGTACGCCCCAGACTGACACAGCCTGCCCCCCAACAACCCAGCTTGCACCACGGTTGAGCAGCTCAGTTGGTTCCCTAGAACCCCAGAGAGGAGGAGCGTGAACGGAACATCCCCCTCGCGTGTATGTGCACCTGTGCCGCCTTGTGTGTGCAGACGAGTTAGGTCCCTTGCTAAGGGCAACCCGTAACATTACAGTTGGCATTCTCAGATCTGGACACAGGTGGCTTTTTCCTTGAGCCCCCAAGGCAGGGCCAGGTGCCCACCTGGAGTCTGGCCCAAGTACCCTGGGCCCTAGAGTTCTCTAGGTGAACAACCCCAAGCCTGTTTGTAGGGTGCCGGCAGTCCTGCGTGCTCTCATGGTTGTGGGCAGCCACCTAGGGCATTCAGGGATTGGCAGGTGGCTGTGTGCTGGATGTGGTGGAGGCTGATTAGAGAGCGAGCTCCTGGAGACTCACGGGTGCAGAGAAGGCCCCTTGCAGGGTAGACCAGAGCCGAGGGGGCAAGGCCTGGCTCTCCCTCCCTGCCACCACACGGAGCTCGGAGGACTGGAGGGCTGTAAGGACCACCTCGGCCTTCTGCTTTGTACACTTGCTCATGTATGCAGGCCCCCATTTGGGTTCCCGCCCTGGATCAAGGGCCAGGGAAAAGGGCTTGCTATGCTTTCCCCCTCTTGAACATATTAGGGGGAAATGAGGTGTGTATAACAATTCTTGTTGTTCCAGCTACACAGTTTATACCACAGTAATGAGCGCCGCCATGCCAGACAAGTACATGACCAGGGTCCGAATCCAGCCTGAAAATGAGTAAGCAGGAGCGTGACTTCCCTCTGTGTGTGTGTGTGAGAGAGAGAGAGAGAGAGAGAGCAAGTGAGCCCTGGTGTTTCTCATGGACAGTGATGCCCTTGAACTATGTATATGCATTCAGTCTCCCAACAAGCACCTTGCATGTTATTGCTGTTTGTGTTGAGTTCACCAACACCATGGGACTCTATGTGGGAACTGTTTGTAGGAAAGCAAGTCTTGTGCCTGGGGTCCTGTGCCCTTTATCTGTGCTCGGGGTCAGTCGTTCAGACTGAGCTTAGATGAAGGAGTCGCTCTCTGGGTAACACTGTGATGTCCCCACAGAAATCCCGACACCTGGCCCTGTGTACCACACTGGGAGATGGGATCTGAAGGCCAAGGGCACTTACACAGTTTTTTTCGGCATCGTCAAGTCTAGGGTTGAGGACAAGGACCTGTGCACCAAGCGGGGTCCCCTGCCAGACAGCAACCTGTCCACAGGGCACCTGTTCCACTGCCAGGGTTGCCCAGGGTTTGCAACTCTGGCCTGATGTTTTGATCCTGCACTTCTCCTGGGCGTGCTAGAAGACGTCATTTCCATGACATGAGTTTCTTTCCTTTTCTTCCCTGACAGGTGACTTCTTGCTAGTGAAATGTGTGATGAGCTGCGTTTTCAAAAACTTAGACAAAGTGAAAGCATCTTGTTCTTTTAGGATCCAAACGAATTCCTCCCTCATTAAACTTTGCAGCCTGGTGCAAGAGGGGGAGCTTGCTTTGGATTCGCTCCTCTTGCTGGTTTGCCTTGACCTTCCCCAGGATTCTGTCACGCCCTGAGTGACATGAAGAACTCTGCTGTCTGGGGTCGTGTCCTTGAACTTTGTTTCCGGCTTCTCCCTCTTTTCTCTGCCATGCACCTGTCCAGGAAGCAAGGAGCCCCCTGGTTCCTTGTGAGAGCTTCTGGCAGAGACTAAAGGAAAAGCTCCTTTCAGAAGACATGAAAAACGCAAGTTTGAAGACAGGCTGGTCAAAATGGTGTTAATCTGACCTCAGACCATATAATTCCATGTAATGGGATTCCTATTTTTTATAAATTTTTTTTAAAAAAATAAAATAAACTCCTTTTATTCTGAATGACTACTTTCTTATTGCTTTTTGAAAGTAATATGAAATAAAATGATTTCTTATTATCACTTATTATTGGTTTATAAAATGTTGAAAGATACAAAGAAAATTTTAAAACTTTTTGAAGATGTTTTGCGTTGTGCTGGCCCTGCCTCTTAGCCCTGCGGTTGGATGTTTCTGGACTGCCGTCCTGGGAGTGCATCATCCTCAGACACGTCCTTTGAGTGTCGGGGTTCAAGGGCGTGAACGGCCGCTGTTCCGTAGACAGCTGCTGCGGGTGAAAGGTGTCGTGATGGAAGACAGAAGACAAATGCAAGGTTATGCAGAGTACAACTTAGAGAATTTAAGGATACAAGCAGATCACTTTACTAATTTACTGATGAAAATCAGCCTTCCACGACTTCACTTTTTCTGGCTACAATAAGGGTAATCCCCAGGCCTCCAACCAAAACCATGGTTTTCAGAAAACAAGAGTAGAGTAAGAACGAGGAGCTCAAATTTCTAGTCCCGATAGTGTGATGTATCTTGTATCAATAAACTATTTATTTATTTATTTAGAAAGCTGGAGTTACACACACACAGAGTCACAGGTTTCATGTCTGTCCCTTCCCAGATGGCTGCAACAGCCAGGACTGGGCCAGGCAAAGCCAAGCGCCAGGAGCTTGTTTTGAGTCTCCTACTTGGGTGGCAGGGGCCCATGCGTCTGGGTCATCTCCTACAGCGTTTCTGAGGCCATTAACACAAGGGTGAATCAGAAGTGGAGCAGCCAGATTTCACAAAACTGCATGTATGGGGGCCAGCACCATGGCATAATAGGTTGTGTTTGCCTGAGGTGCCAGCATCCCACAGCAACGCTAGGTCAACTTCTGACTGCTCCACTTCGAGCTAGCTCTCCGTTAATGTACCTGGGGAAAACAGCAAAAGATGGCCCAAGTCTATGGGCCCTGACATCCATGTGGGAGAACTGGAAGGAGTTCCCAAGAAAGACAAATGGTGGCAACAGCCATAGCTTAACTTATCCAAAGCCTCCCACGTGAATGCAGGGTCCCAAGACCTTGGGCCATCTTCTGCTTTCCCAAGCCACAAGCAGGAAGTTAGATGGGAAGTGGAACAGCTGGGACAGGAACCAGCACTCATTTGGGTTACTGGTACTTGCGAGATGGAGAATTTAGCCAATCAAAATCATGTGCTGGGCCCCTAAAAATTGTTTTTAAAACATTGACATTTCTGGATTGAAAAGGATTCACACATTTCATGTTGGTGATTCAGCAAGTTAAATACATAACTTAATGTACTACAATTAAAACAGACTTTACTGAATAATAAGGTGAAGCAATTTATATTTACAGTGTGTCTGGAGAGGGCTCTTAAATTCTTAATTTAAAAAAGATTTATTTATTTTTGTTGGAAAGTCAGATATACAGAGAGGAGGAGAGAGGGGGGAAGATCTTCCGTCTGCTGATTCACTCCCCATGCAGCCGCAATGACGAGCTGAGCTAATCTGAAGGCAGGAGACAGGAGCCTCTTCCAGGTCTCCCTCATCGGTGCAGGGTCCCAAGGCTTTGGGCCGTCCTTGACTGCTTTCCCAGGCCACAAGCAGGGAGCTGGATAGGATCTGGAACTGCCAGGATTAGAACCAGCGCCTATATGGGATCCTGGCGCATTTACAAGGCACGGACTTTAGCCACTAGACTACCATGCCAGGCCTTTAAATTCTTATTAACACAAGATCTTATCAGTCTATTCAAGGAAAGGATGGTAGCAGTTAGTCACAGAAAGTGAACCTGGGGGAAGTGCTCATATCAAACAGAACTTAAGACAGAGAAGACTTAAGAGGGCAGGGTGATGTTTAAATTTGATAAGTCACCCTTGGACATGAAAGTGAAAAGGCTTAACTTTTTATATATTATATTAGCATCACAAGTAGCAATTTTATATAGGTTAAGGTCATAGCTAATTTCACAGTTTCAAAATATTTGATGGAAAGACTCAGATACAACGAAAAATTGCTAACACTGCGTTCATCATGGACAGCTTCCAAACGTACAGATCAGGAAGAATAAATAGGAATAAAGAGGATTTGAAGTAACAAGTTTGCCGCACTGGCTGCGGGAGCTAAGCAGAGCATGCATTTCTGCAGAAACCCTCAGGATTGCATAGTGCCTTCCTGCACACCCCCAGCCTCGGAGTACTGGACAAAGGGACTCGATTCCCAACAGCTGAGATGACATCCAGCGCTGTGCTTCCTGGGAATCAAGAGAAATGAAGTCCCCAGAGTGAGACAGCAGGCTATTTCAACGGAGCTCTGCAAGAGAAACACAAAGAGACATGGGGAAGCCAGTGTGGCTCCCGAGTAGAGGCGGGGACCCCTGAATTCTGCAGGCCTTCCCTGTATTTCCTCCGCCAACACTCTTCTATTTCTGGGCTAAGAAGCTCAGGCCGCCCAAGCGCGCTAGCCAACACTGCCACCTAATCTCGCAGAGCCCAAAGAATTTAGGGCAGGTTCGGGAAGCAGCTGAGCGGGGGGGGGGGGGGGGGGGGGGGGGGGGGTGACACTGGCCTGGGAGCCGGCCTGGGTGGATCACCCTGCACATTCATCCTCTAAGGCCAAGGCTGCCTGGAGCTCCCTGGAAGGGGGGCCCTTCTTGGGAAGGCTGGGCTTGGGCTGTGGACCGCACCTTCCTCTCCAGGCCCGCAGCAGGTGGAAAGACACCCTCAGAGAGCTTCACCTGAGTGGTGGTGAAGAGGTTTCCGCTTCTCCGTGCCTCCTAGGGACCAGCCTCGAAGAAGGTAAGACATTTCTAGCCGGAAATACTCAACCGTGTGAGGTCGCAGGGCAGCAAGCTGCTGTGTTTGGATGGGAAATAGACCTAACAGGGCTGGAGTGGGGGAAGCCGTCACTCATCGCACACCTACAGAGACCCAAACTTCGTTCCTTGGGCTCACTTAATGAGCAAATAAGCACTTGCTGCGGTGAAAGCAATTGCAGTGCTGAGTAGGATGGCGGGTGAGGCTCACTGCCCAGGAGGGAGCTCCAAGTTTTTTTTTCTATTGTTCTCCTGAGTACTATTTTACTCTTTCTTTCCATTTTTCTAATGACTTCTAGAACATTCTCTGGCAAATATGTCGATGGTTTCACTTTCTCTGAAGCCACCATATGTGATTTTTGTTTAATCAAACCATGTTCGAATTTTTTTTTTTTTAATTTCTGCTTTCTTAGTGGGTATATTAAATTAGTAAAACTTAGGACAAAGTAAGTTAAAACTCTGTCAGCCCACCCTGTGCTCTGGAGGTAATCACTGCTAACAGTTCGGCATCTGCTCTTTGATTTTACACGTTTGTTGACAGGCTTCCTAATAGATGAGAGTGTTCTTAAACTATACTAAATTTTCTGTCAACTGGTTTTTTTCCCTTCATGGAGCAATATATCTTGGGTATACTTTCCTTGAATTACATATAAACTTGTTCTTTTTGTGATGGCTTGAATACTCTTCTATTATTTTTTTCAAGCTGTATTTATTTTTATTTGAAAGTTAGGTTTATAGAGAGGAGAGACACAGAGAGATTTTCCATCCACGGATGGGTTCATTCTCTAAATAGCTGCAATGACTAGAGCTGAGCCAAGCTGAAGCCAGGAGCCAGGAGCTTCTGAGTCTCCCACAGGCACAGGGGCCCAAGGAGTTGACCAAGATCATAAGCAGGGAGCTGGATCAGAAATGGAGCAGCTGGGACATGAACTGACACTGTAGGTAGAGGATTAGCCGCCACACTAGCCCCTGTTCTATCTTGGGTGTTTTACTATTATTATTATTTTTAAAATATTTATGTATTTGTTTGAAAGACAGAGTTGAAGAGATGGAGAAGCAGAAGTAGAGAGAAATTCCTCTATATACTGGTTCATTATCCAAATGACGGCAATGGCTGGGACTGGACCAGGCAAATACCAGGAAACTGAAGCTTCTTCTGGGTCTGCCACACGGGTGCAGGCTGGCCCTCCTGCTTTCCGTGGCTTTTCATGCACCGCGATGTTGTTTGATTGCTTCTGTACTTGCAACTGTTTAAGGTGCCTTTTTTTGTTTTCTATTTTGTGGGAAGAGAGATCTTAGGAGATTCTTGAAAGTGTTGTTTAAGAAGGTTGCTGGTCTGTGCATTTTCTGGGAATGGTAGTGACAAGTATTTGTACAAATCCCCAGCCCTAACTCCCTCCTACTGCCCTAAGGAAGGGAGCCACAGATGAGGCCGGGGATCCCGAGGCAGGGATCAGGCCCTGCTGCTGGCTCAGTGCCACCTGGATCTTGGTGACTCAGGTGGTTCCAGCTGAAGGTGCTGCGTGATGGGTGACTTGGTCCTGTTCCCCCCTGGTGGCTGTTTCAAAGTCTACTGATCCATTTCGGTCATCACATCCTCATTCTAGAACAGTCTCAGATCTCTCTGATGACTCTTTCATAGTGTAGATAACCTGGAAGGTCATCTTATTCTGCCAGCTCTCTTGATGTTCTAAACTCCTTTTTTCACAACGTGCCAGAGATCAAAGGACCATTTACTTGATAAAAGCGCTTTTTTATCTCGCAGTAAACTGCACCCAAATTGTTTGTTCATGTTGCGTTGAATAGTGGCAGGTCTTTCACTGCTCCCTAACTTAGAGCTCGGGACATATCTTTGTTGTTGGTATTTTAAAGGAAATATGTCAGATTCAGTCTGTGAGCATCCAGTTGATCTTACTGTATACCAAGCGCTTTGGTGATTTATTATCGCCGGAAGTATCAACGGATGGGAAAGTCCCTGGGAGTTGAATGGCCTACAGCTGTGAGCGGCTGAGCTGGGGTTCTCACGTCTCCGTGCATTTGCAAGATGCAGGCACTCCTTAGCACAAGTCTGGCTCTGCAGGCAAGCTCACCAGCACGTCACACACGCTGTGAGTCAGCGAGGGCTCAGCCATGCATGGCCCAGGTCCCCTCCAGATCTCATCACCAGTGTCTTGGGGAGCTTGGTTGGCTTGGGGGGGATTCTGGTTTCCTGGCATCTCACACAACTGGGAACCATTTTAAACACACACAAAGAGAAATCATAATCTTTTTTTCCCTTTGGATATTTATTAAAATTAAACTAACCACCGTAAGCAAGGCAAATTCAGATTTGCAAAGAAAAAGATAGCAAACATTTGACAATATCCTATACTATAATCTTCACAACTTGAGAAGGAGAGTGAGGCAGACGTGGGGGAAAGGAATCAAGAAAGAGGGGAACTCCATGCTCAGTGCTGAGTCAGAGCATCTCACATCATCCCAGAGGAAGAGGTACGTAGGAGTCACTCCTATAATGTGAAATTAAGTATGGCACACTCTTTGTTTAATAGTAATTGAGGGCCTAGTGCGATAGCCTGGTGGCTAAATCCTTGCCTTGAATGTGCCAGGATCCCATACTGGCACTGGTTCATGTCCCGGCAGCCCTACTTCCCATTCAGCTCCTTGCTTGTGGCCTAGGAAAGCAGTAAAGGACGGCCCAAAGCCTTGGGACCCTGCACCCGCATGGGAGACCAGGAAGAAGCTCCAGGCTCTTGGCTTCGGATCAGCTTAGCTCAGGCCTTTGCGACCACTTGAAAGTAAACCAGGGACTGGAAGATCTTTGTCTCTCCTTCTCTTTGTAAAATCTGACTTTGTAATAAAAATAAATATAATTTTTAAAGATTTATTTATCTTTATTGCATTTTTATTTATTTTTATTCAATTACCGTATATATATATATGTATATATATATACGGTAATTGAACCCCTTATGTGTGTCAGATATGGTGGTGAATCCTGGGATAAAATGATGCATAACCTTATTTTATTATTATTATTTTCCGTGGTATATTTTTGTAGGTATAAAGATTCCTCCTCGTTTTTCCCTCTCACCATTTTGTTCTATATTATCACAGTAGTTTAGTCTTTTAGTAAGAGTTACAAGTTTAACATTCTGCTATTTAAGTGCATCATGGCATTGTCGGTATAGGCAAAGGTAGAAAATCTAGAATCATGACGTCAGGTCCGTTTGCTTCGTTGAGGAGCCCTCCTTTCATTCGGGAGTAGAGATTCCCAGTGCAGCGTGTCTTCATTTCCTGTAGAGACACCCACCTTCGCTGTGACGGAACTCGTGATCCCACGGCTCGAGGCAAGGTGCAAACTATCTCAGGCAGATGTGAACAGGGTGTCCATGAGCTCAGGGGAAGAGCAGGTCATACGGCTTGTAAAGGCAGTCGATGCCTACAGAAACCCATCAGAAATGAGCCAAGTGAGCCAGCCCACGAGAAGTGGGATAGGAGGAGCATTCCAGGGAACAGCAAAAGGTCAAAGTCATGATAGCTCAAGAGCAGAGTTGGAAGAAAAGAGAGGAGAGAGGTGAGGCTTGGGGTGGGTGGGTTCTGTATGTGATGTGTGGAAACCATGCCGCCACCAGAAAAATGTTTACCAGGAAGCTGGGTACACGTGGGCTGAAGTTTAGTGATGGTCTGGAGATCTGGATGGAGCAGATAGGAAATTCCATCCATAGAGCACATGCTGAGAAGGAAGAATGGGCTTTTGAGAATACACATGAACATTCATCCCTAGGAGATGGACAGAAGAAAATGAGCTCAAGAAGGAGAGAATAAACAGAAAGTCAGCATCATGGAAACTCCGAGGTGTGGTAACTCAAGGCACAAAATGCAGGTGTGACCCACAGAGACCCACGGCCTTGCTGTCCTGAGCATGTAAGGACTGAAGGGCTGAAGCCATGGGAAACACGACCTTGAAAGGCTTCAGTGAATAGTGAGGATGGAAGTGCTGGTTGTAAGAGCAAGTGAGGAGAAAAGATGTGGTATGTTCTTTTGGAACTCTGGGAGGCAGGTTTGGGCAGTCAAAGGCGCTGGTGAAGAATTGCTTTGTGAACGCAGAAGAAGAGAATTCTCCATTTTTGAACCGCAAAGGAAAAAAGTGGTAGAGAGGACCAAAACAGGAAAGGTATGGGCCGGCTCCCAGAGGGGCTTCTTAGGGCCTTCTCAGGGAAGGAGTACTCCGCTCCGAAGCAGGTGATGCAGAGGGCAGCGGGAGGAACACTTTCCTATGACCCACAGAGTTTGGTCCACCTGAGCTAGTGATACTTTGCTTGAATCTCTCTCTTATAGATTCTCTGTTCCGCTCATCAGCAAATAGCTCACCGTCCCTTGGATCTATTCTCTGAACCCTGCAGGAACATTGCATTTAAACTATGGGAAGTGGCATCTCCACGCAACATCATTTTGCTTTTCAGAATGCAGAGAAAGGTATGTGTTTCCTGCCAACAGAACCACCTGTGGGGACCCTAACACCCTTGTCACATAAGGAGGGGTGCTTCTCAGAACGGAGGCAAAAAGCCCTGACATTTCTCTTCAATCCAACTCCTTGACATTAACTTCTCTTGCTCGCATTGTGACCACCAGCACGCTCTGCTGAACTCTGTTTGAAATTTGGAGTTAGTCTTGTCCACTGAGATTTCAGAAGTGAATGAAGTGAGATTGGCTGGAGGCACAATGAGAAGTATTTCAGGCAGAGGGTGAATAGCAGGTGCAGAGATCGCGTGTGGGAAGAACTGAGGCACATGCAGACAATAGGATGGCCTGAAGCGAACGGGATGGGCGAGAGGTGGCCTGTAATGAAGCTCAACACGGAGATGCTACGTGACAGCCACATATACCCTTTAGATGGTGTGATAGAAATGTGACTGGGACAATAATAGCCCTAACTCCAAGCTGGAGGGAAAAGCCAAAATAGAGCATGAGCCAGGAGTGATGCAGAAAGCCAGTGGAGCTGCTAACCCTTTGAGAAGTTCAAATGGAAACACTTTTATGTCAAACACAGAACTATAATATTATGCAATACATAGCTAAAAGTCAGATGGCATAAGTTCAAATTATAGTTCTCCCATTTAGTAGCTGTGAGCTTTAACCTCTTTGGGCCTCAGTTCCCTTTATTTTTCATTACTTGAGAAGCACACACACATACACAGAGAGAGAGAGAAATTGAGTTTTCATCTTAGTTCAGTCCCCCAAATGCCTATAAGAGCCAAGACCAGACCAGACTGAAGTTAGTAACTGGGACATTAACCTGGATCTCCAACATGAGAGCCAGGGACCCAGCAAACCATCCCTGCTGCCTCCGAGGACTAGTATAGGTTGCACTGGACACTGCCTGACGCACATGCCTGCCAGGAGCTTGGGCTTTGGGGTCTAGCTTTATTCCTGGCACGTGGAGATCCCTTGTTAGTACTTACCGCTTCTAGCTGATGCCCACCACCACCACTGCAAGTCAGTTCATGCAGCAATTTTTCTTTTTAAGATGCACACCATGGGCCCGGCAGCATGGCCTAGCAGCTAAAGTCCTCGCCTTGAATGTGCCGGGATCCCATATGGGCACCGTTTCTAATCCTGGCAGCTCCACTTCGCATCCAGCTCCCTGCTTGTGGCCTGGGAAAGCAGTTGAGGACGGCCCAAAGCCTTGGGACCCCACACCCCTGTGGGAGACCTGGAAGAAGTTCCTGGATCCTGGCTTCAGACTGGCACAGCACCGGCTGTTGTGCTCATTTGGGGAGTGAATCATCGGATAGAAGATCTTTCTCACTGTCTCTCCTCCTCTCTGTATATCTGACTTTGTAAATAAAAATAAATAAATCTTTAAATAAAAAAGATGCACACCGTTTCTTACTATGTCAGACTTGGGCTGCCTTGTTGCCCTAAAAGATTTCCTAGTGCATTCTTTTTTATTTGAAAGGCAAAGTGATGGAGAGAAAGGGCGGTAGGAACTCTTCCATCCATCAGTTTCATCCCCAAAAGCCTGCCATGGCCAAAGCTGGGACAGACAGTAGCCAAGAGCCAGGAGCCAAGAACGCCCCTGGGAGGCAGGGACCCAAGCATTGGGTATCCTCTGCTGCCTTCAGGCACGTTGGCAGGAAGCTGCAGGCAACTGGAGCAGGTGCCCAGCATGGGATAGGCATCCCCGGGGCTGCCCTAGTCCCTGCTGTCCTTCATGCACCTTCATAAGAAAAAGGCATTTTTTTCATAGGGGAATATTTTTTCTACAGATGAGATTTGTGTAGGTATTGACACAGGCAATGGAAATAAGAGAATAATCACGCTGAAATCCCGGTTACAGTTTTTTCTTAAATAATTTCTCTGATTTACTGCATTCTTCTATGGACTGCCTTGGTCCATAATAGTCTCTCAGTGGTATTCTTTTTTTTTTTTAAAGATTTATTTTTATTGGAAAGGCGGATATACAGAGAGGAGAGACAGAGAGGAAGATCTTCTGTCCAATGATTCACTCCCTTAGTGAGCGCAACGGCCGATGCTATGCTGATCCGAAGCCAGGAGCCTCTTTCCCGGTCTCCCACACAGGTACAGGGTCCCAAAGCTTTGGGCCGTCCTCGACTGCTTTTCCAGGCCAGAAGCAGGGAGCTGGATGGGAAGTGGAGCTGCCGGGATTAGAACCGGTGCCCGTATGGGGTCCTGGGCATTCAAGGCAAGGACCTTAACCGCTGCACCATCGCTCCGTGCCCTTGAATGGAATTTTTAAAATATTTATGTATTTTTATTGGAAAGGCAGATTTACAGAGAGAAGGAGAAGCAGAGAGAAAGATCTTCTGTTCGCTATTTCACTTCCCAAATGGCCACAATGGCTGGAGTTGAGCCGATCCAAAGCCAGGAGCCAAGAGCTTCTCCTGGGTTTCCCTTACAGGGAACGTCAGGCTAGGGGCGGGAATCTGGGGCTTAGTAGAAGCCTCTGAAGAACCTTGAGCATCCCAGGGCATCTCCTAGACGTGAATTCTCAGAATCCAGCTGGGCACCTGCAACTTCACCCCTCTTGGTAGGGAGTGCCTGGGAGAAATACTTGTTGAATGAATTGTTCGTTTGGTTTTGTTTCCTGTAGGAAACAATATTCTGCTCTTCTTCAGTGTCTCCTTGCTTCTTCTCTCCACTTCGCCAGCTTCTTTCTTCTTAGAGAAATCGGCAAGAACTGTATTAGCTCTCTAAAGCAGGCTAAATATATTAAGTCAATCTGTCTCCTGCACACAGGGCTGACCTACATTAATCCCCCGGGTTTCCTTCCTAATCCAGCTTTAGCCACAAATAGTCCATTCATCCCCAGCAGGATGTTCAGGGCCAGGAGCTTAGGGAGGCATAGGTTACGTGGGCAGACAGCTGTCCCCTGCTCTGGCAGTAATACTGGGCCACAGGTCCTATACCTCATGTGAGGAATTAAACCTATGACCCCAGCACCCCCAACACGGTCATCTAGCACAGGTTAGCGCTACCCAGGTCAGCGCTGTCATGACACCTGGGGCTTGGGCGGCTGAAAACCAGAGGTGGGGGCGGGGGGCAGGTCACGGGTCTCGGGATGGCAAGCACAGACGCTGCATGGCGTGTTGTCTGTGTGCTGTGCCTTGGGCCAGTCCTTGTTCCAATTGAGGCCACTGAGGTCCAGGTTGGCTTGTCTGAGAGCGTGTACATTGTTGGAGCAGTTCAAGGGCAAGGACTCAGATCCCCTGAGCCCGCTTCCATTCTGACTCTTGAGGAGAACTACAGGTTTTCCTCAGAACTTGGCAGTCCCACCTTTCCAATCGGTACGGTGGTCTCCACTTATTCATATTTTTCCTTTGCACAGTTTCAGCTACCCACAGCCTCGACCTGAAGATGTTAAATGGAGAGTTCTAGAAGTAAACAATTCATAAGTTTTAAGTCACACTCTGTTCCGAGTGGTGTGAGGAGACCTGATGCCAGCCTCGACTGTCCCCCCAGGTCATGTGTGAACAGTGTCCAGTGCATCCATGCTGTGCATCCCACCGACCCACCCCAACCCCACTAATCTCTGCTAGGTGCTCAGATGGATGGCTGTGGTATCCCAGTGCTTTGCTTAGTAATGGACCCAAGGTGCAAGAATGGAGATGCGGGGCCCGGCGCGGTGGCGCAAGTGGTTAAAGGTCCTCACCTTGCACGCCCGGGATCCCATATGGGCGCCGGTTCTAATCCCGGCAGCCCCGCTTCCCTTCCAGCTCCCCGCTTCCCTTCCAGCTCCCTGCCTGTGGCCTGGGAAAGCAGTCGAGGACAGCCCAAAGCTTTGGGACCCTGCACCCGCGCGGGAGACCCGGAAGAGGCTCCTGGCTTCGGATCGGCATAGTATCGGCCCGTTGCGCTCACTTGGGGAGTGAATCATCGGACGGAAGATCTTCCTCTCTGTCTCTCCTCTCTGTATATCCGCCTTTCCAATGAAAAATAATAAAAATAAATCTTTAAAAAAAAAAAAAGAATGGAGATGCGGGCAGATGGGATATGGCCAAGGAGGTGGCAGAGGGCTGCATTCAAGCGGACAGGATGAGAAGGAAAAAGCCAATGTGTGTTTGGATCTCTCCTGTCGTGGTTTCAGGCACCCAAGGGCTTCTCTCTTAAGATTTATTTATTTATTATTGGAAAGGCAGATTTTACAGAGAGAAGGAGAGACAGAAGGAGAGGTCATTCATCCGCTTGTTCACTCTCCAAGTGGCCGCAATGTCCAGAGCTGAACTAATCCAAAGCCAGGAGCCAGGAAGCTTCTTTCTGATCTCCCATGTGGGTGCAGGGTCCCAAGGCATTGGACCATCCTTGACTACTTTCCCAGGCCACAGGCAGGGAGCTAGATGGGAAGTGGAGCAGCTTGACACAAACTAGCGCTCCTATGGGATCCCAGCACTTGCAAGGAGAGGATTCAGTCACTGAGCCATCATGCTGGGCCCTCTGCTGGGATTCTTGGAACCCCTCCATTCAGATAAGAGAGGACAACTACAAATATAAATTGAAATCCAATAAATGGAATTCCAAGAGACCTTAGCCTTACTACCAGAATGCAAGAACAGTAGGGCTGGGTGTGAACGGGAAAAGCACTAGTGGCATGAGTGAGACACGGATTGCCTAGAAGCACAGACTGTGTTTCCGCACTCCCACCCAACCTGCACAGTGTGGGAGGTCTAGGCCTCGTTCCCTGCTCCCCAACCCCCGCTCCAGCTCACAGGCTCACTTCTCCATCTGTGACACAGCCTTCAAGGCGGCGGCCCTGATCCAGCGATGGTACCGTCGCTACGTGGCCCGGCTGGAGATGAGGCGTCGCTGCACCTGGAGCATCTTCCAGTCCATAGAGTACGCTGGGCAGCAAGACCAGGTCAAGGTGAGCTGGGATATGGGGTGGAGCTGCCTTCCAGCAGCAGCACCCAGCTGCTCGGAAGGCCCACCCCGGACATCCATAAAGCCATGTCTATCTGGTTTCCCTGGCAGCTGCATGACTTCTTCAGCTACCTCATGGATCACTTCACCCCCAACAGCCACAATGAGAGTGAGTATGAGCTGTGCCATGTGCTCCTGTCCCAAGGTCGTAGGGCCAGAGTGTATAGGCACTGAGACTGTGACTCTGGGGACAGGCGCTGGAAGGGCCAGAAAAATGCCGAGTGGCTTTTCTCCCAGATTTTTGCAAGAAGCACACACCAGGAGATTGGAGTTTGCATCCGAAAGGCACATTTGTTAATGTGCAGGTGAAGTAGGGGTAGAAGGCATAGGAGAAGGGCTTTGGAAAAGGGCATGCGGCCAAGGAGTGCTGGACTGGCAGTATGGTGTGCCCAAGGGACAACGCCAGGCACAGTGCCAGGACAGTTTCATCTGCCAGGGGAGGGATCAAAGTTCTCTGTGTCCGTGTGTGTCCCCTCCAGAGGTGCCCTGGCTTGTGGCTGCTAGGAGCTTAATTCTGCAGCATCTTTGGTCTACCCCTCGGGGCCCTGGGTGGATCCAGGGAAAACCCCAGGCTAGAGCCCTCACAGCTGGCATTGGAAGTCACTGCCAGGCCCTGCAAGGTCTGATGTACCCGCTGTTCTAGGTTCAGCAATAGTGCCCATGAATGATTTTTTTCATCTGCTACGAACCCATGCATTCTGACAGGCCTCCAGATTTTAAAATAAACGCATCATGCGTGCCAACTTCTGTGCCTTATCTTGACAATCAAGAACGTGAGCTTTCCTCCTGCCCATCCTAACCTTTCTCTTGCCTGAAGCTGAGACTGCCTCGGCCAGGTTCCATGCCCGCTTTGCTGCCCGTGGACTGCATGGAGTGCATCTCTGACCCCAAGCATGTCCACTTCTTCTCTCCGGACCAGAGGACTTCCTGGACCGCATGTTTACAGAGGAGCGATTCCCCCGGGACCCGGAGGTGGACAAGTGCAATGACTATGAATCCATTGAGGTCCCCGACAGTTACACGGGGCCACGCCTTTCCTTCCCACTCCTTCCCAACCATGCGACAGCCCTGGTGGAAGCTTTCAGACTAAAACGAGTAAGCTCTTCTGGGGAACCTGGGTCCTCACCCATTCTGGAAGCATCCCTGCACAGGAGGAATGAGTGGCCCCAGGTTTCAGCTGTTTGTGACATGTCTTTGCTAAAGAGAAGTATCTTTGTCTGCTCAGCTAGGACCTTGTGGCCCATCAGGCAGTGTTTATGAATGGCGGCTCAGGCTGCTGGCCATGCAATCTCTCTGTTCATTCATCATTCAGCAGAATGTTGAGTGTTTTTCTGGGCCCCACAGGTGCTGGGCGGCCAACAGGGCACAGCCAAGTCCCTCCTTTCCTCAAGCAGACAGAAGATACATAAGAAGTGTCTGTGAAGACTGGATATGTTAGGAGGTGCTGATTACAATGAGCTGAGTCATGTGTGGGGGACTGTGCTCTAGGAGGCGATGTCTGAGATAAGGTCTAAGGTGGCTAGCCGGGGAAGGGTACGGGGAAATGTCCTGGGACAAGGACTTGCCTGGACCACTTGGGGACCTCAGCAAGTTCCTGTGGCTGCAGAGAAGGGAGCCAGCGCAGCCAGCGCAGAGCAGTAGCTTGGGCATCAAGCACAGGAATGGTGCCACCTGACTCACTTTGAATAAAAATCCTGGTTGCTGTGTGAAGAGTGGAGGGCAGGGGCCACAGCTAAAGCCAGGAGACCAGGGCGCTGATGACCACCACACTACATAAGCCTGGTGGTAGAGGGAGAGGCGATGAGAAGAGGCCAGCTGCCCGACCTACCCATCTTTCGCATGCAGAGAACTCAGGCCCGGAGGAGTTGGGGTCGTGTTCCCTAGGTGTCACAGTCTTGCTCTGTACCATTGGCCCATGTGCACTTACTCACGCTTTGCTCACACTTCTCCCAAGCCACAGGGTTTGAGAGTCGATCAGAGAGAGGAGGGGTTTTTTTTTACTTGCAGGAGGGTCTCTTGAAGACTAGGGAACACAAAAATAAGTGCAGGAAATGAGTGAAGCGCAAGGGCTCTATACACCAATTTCTGGAGCACAATCCCACCCAGGGTCACTTCCGGGGTATTGGGTGGCCGAGGTCACAGGGCAGCAGACGTGAGGGCCATCAAGATCAGTGTGGCTTTGTTCCCTCCCTCTCTTCCTCCTAGTAGCAGCTCCATGCTCGCTATGTCTTGAATCTCTTGTACGAAACCAGGAAGCATCTGGCCCAGCTGCCAAACATCACCCGGGTCTCGACCTGCTACAGCGAGGAGATCACTGTGTGTGGTGAGAGCTGCTGGGTGAGCGGCTTCCATGCCCAGGGTGGGTGAGATGGGGACGGTGCCCGCACCGTGGACGGACTGTGTGCCACTCCTTCTACCTGAGCCTTCCCACGTCCCCTGCAGATTCCTTCAGCAGAGGTGTTCAGCCTCGGCTGTGCTTTCCCTCACCTTCCACATGTGATCCCAAACTCACCTTTCCAGTCTGTCACAAAATCTTTGCAAATACAGGGAAGGCAGTTGATCCATTAGCACTTGAGCAAGCAAGTCCCAAAGCCTTCCACCTCACACCTGCCACTCCCAGGGAGATGGGCTGCTCATGACCATCATCTCCATCTCCTCATGTCCTCTGTGACCTTGACCATCCCTCGTGGACTGACGTCCACACCTTAACCAAGCAGGGACCCTATAGTGCCCTGGGAATCTGTGACTGGGAATAGCCAGGGCTGCCAGCAGCCTGCACTAGGTCCTGTGGGCCTATACCATGTGTTCCAACATTTGAGAACCAGAGAAGTTTGTACTGAAGCCTAGATTTCCCATTAATCTTGAAAAATGTCTTACAGTGGCCTGTCAGTAAGTAGCAGCTTCCAATTTAACTTGAGCAAAATCTCCCCTATTGTTTCTCCAGATTTGCCAGCCTGCATTCTTCTCTCTCCTCTTTTGCATCCGGAACAATATGAGTCCCTTGCTCTTTATGATCACTGTGCAAGAAAATACCCCGTGCTTTCTGCTTTCAATAGAGACTCTCTCTGCAACCAGGAGAAATGAATATTTAACCCTACTTCACTTATGGGAACATTAATAACCATATGTCTCTTAAGTTTGTCCAATTTTTCAGGGTATTTTCCTTTTTATAGTAAAAATTAGAAACACTGGAAAGGACCATTTGAACTGAATCTTTGTTTTATCATTATCAGGAGATTTACACGGCCAGCTGGATGACTTAATATTTATATTTTATAAGGTATGAATGTTCAACTTACGTTTTCTTCTTGCCATGAGGTTTATTTTAGGAGTTCAAATAGAGTATCAATTAAATAAGTGTTTGGGTATTGCTTGAATTTTTAAAATCCCTTTTTAATGATATATGCCTCTATACAGAAAATTCATAACTTAATAGCATTGTGTCATATTTTAGTATTTTTTGCATACTGTTTAATAAACATTAATGTTAGCTTACTAAATAGAAAGAACCATAATGGAACAACTGATTTTTTTCCAAATAAAGAGATTATTATCAAGGAACCAAAAGCTATTTTCACATCCATTTTTGGTTATGAAATACAGACTATATAGTAAAACATATGAAAAGTATATTATTTTATGAAGACATTATTACTTTATACAGAGACCATATTTCCCAAGTTATTTTCCATGTATGAGGGTATTTCAAAAATGTTCACAGAAAATTATATGAGCAGCTATGTTTGTTTTGGTGCAAAAATTTCTGAAATTCATGCATATTAGAGTTCTTTAGAAAGTTCAAATCCTGACTGCTTCACCTCTGACGCAGTTTCCTGTTGATGCACTTGGGAAAGCAGTGGAAGATGGTCCAAGTGCTTGAGGCTCTCCCCGACATGGGAGACAGGGAAGGAGCTCCTGGCTTTGGCCTGGCCCGACCCCGGCTGCTTTGGCCTTTGGGGAAGTGACCCATTGGAGGGGAGATCTCTTCCTCTCTCTATTTCTCCTTCTTTTTGTCTCTCTGCATGTCAAATATAAATAAATCTTTTCAAAAACTGTGCATGGATTTCAAAGTTGTTTTTGGTACCAAAATGAAAATCTTTAGTTCCTTTTCTCATATTCTATTTTTTATTTGTTTTTGTTGTTGTTGTTTTTGTTTTTTATTTTATTTTTCTCATATTTCCTTTGACAAGCCCAGTTATCTTGTCTAAGGAATTGATAGCAGCTGTTAAGTTGCTGGTTGAAGATAATGGAGCCAGAATTTAACACAACACTTTAAGAAGCACTTTGTTCCTCCCTGCCAGGTGACATCCTGGCTTTCTAGAAAGCCCTTCCTTCTGACAAGCATCTCATAATCTTGAACTCGCTGGAGAGGAAGTATAAGCCCAGGGGGAAATGTTTGTGTCTTTCACTGGGCTCTCAGCTTTGAAAAAGACCCTGGAAGCACAGAATTGGCATTGGAACTGATGTGTGAGTCAAAAGCCATTGAGTTTAACCTGATTTTCCACACTCCTCTTTCCATGCCCTCCTCCTGGCCTGTCTCCTTGGGCAGAACGGCCTCCCATCGCCAGAGCGGGCCTATGTGTTCAACGGCGACTTTGTGGATCGAGGCAAGGAGTCAGTGGAGATCCTGATGATTCTTTTCGCCTTCATGCTGGTTTACCCTAAGGAGTTCCACCTTAACCGAGGAAACCACGAGGACCACATGGTGAACCTGCGGTACAAGCCAAAACATGCTTGGGGATCTGATGTTTTGTTGTAGCAATTATAAAAAATTATAAAATTGTTAGAGCTTATTGTTTGTTAGATGGCTCTTAAAAGTAGCTTATCCACAATGCATATCATTGTTGATTAGTTTTGTTTATTTGAAAAGCACAGTAACAAAGAGGTAGAAAGAGAGAGATCTCACATCCAATGGTTTACTCGCCAGATGGCCACAATGGCCAAGGCTAGGTCAGATCAAAGTCAGGAGCCGGAAGCTCCATCCTAGTCTATCATTTAGGTGGCAGGGCTCACGTACTTGGGCAATCCTTTAATGTTTTCCCAGATGCATTAGCAGACAGCTGGATTGGAAGCAGAACAATCAGGATTCAAATTGCCACTCAATATAGGATGCTAGCATCTCAGGTGGCAGCTTACCCACTGAGACACAGTGCCAGCCCCTACCTCATTTTTCACGTGAGAGACAGGGAGACGGAGAGCTCCTATCTTCTGGTTCACTCTGCAAATGGCTGCAATGGTCAGAACTGGATTAGACCAACGCCAGTAGCTGCTTTGTAGCTGGTAGTGACCCAGGTACTAGAGCCATTCCCTGTTGCTTTCAGGGTGTGTATTAGCAGGAAGACGAAGTCAGGAGCAGAGCTGGGACTCAAACCCAGGAATGCAGGTGCCACAGCAAGTGTCACAGTCACCACACCCAATGCCACCTAAAATATCTGAAAATGTAGATGTTATTCTACTGTCCTGGTAGAACCATTAAGCTTTTGTTCACATGTCCACACTGTTATTCATGTAAACATTAAGTGCTCATCCTAGAAAAGGTGGGAAATATGGGTAAGCAAAAAAATTGTTACAAATGTTTTGGCAATTACTTCTGAGTCTTTTCACTACATATTTCTGCACATATGTAAATTTTCACTTTTATGCAAACATGGTTGTCACAAATATTGTCCCTACATTTACTTCAATGTCTACTTTGGCTCCTAAATCTAGATATGGCTTCACCAAGGAGGTGATGTATAAATATCAGGTGCGTTATCTTTAGCTAGCTTCTCTTAGTTCACATTTGTTGAATGACTTATTTGAAACTTAGCACCTTATTAATATCATTTTTTTCAGGTCCATGGCAAGAAAATATTAAGAACTCTTCAAGATGTTTTCTGTTGGCTTCCGCTGGCCACTGTGATTGATGAGAAAGTCTTGGTTCTTCATGGAGGAGTGTCAGATAGGACTGACCTGGAACTTTTGGCCAAACTTGACAGGCACAAGGTACCACAAACTAAGGGCACAATATTGGGGGTTTTTTTGCACCATAATGTTCAGTTTCATTGTCAAAACAAACTAAATGCCAGCTTGCATGCTGACTCCCATCAGCTGATAAGAATATAGAGAAGGTTGATGATTGATGGCTGAGTTCAGGGGAAGAGTGTGTGGTAATCAGTTAGTAATGTCTGCTTTGGACATCCCAGCGGCAGAAGTGCTTGTACCTCCTTCCTGATGTGGAGTGTTTCAGCCTCTATCTCTCTATCAGTGTCACCTGAAAAACCTCCTATCTAAACAGTTCATGTCATCTTCCAACTCAACCAAGGCACATCTAGGACACACTACACACAGGGAAAGTGCTACTTCATGACACAAAGATGAAGGTTAATTTCAGTTAAGCTCAACAAACAAATTTTCAGTGTTTTTGCTATGTGCGAAGAAGTAAAGGAGGTGCAAGGATATGCCGGAGGTGATGCCTGCTCTTGAAGAACTTAAAATACTCAACGCGCCATGAAGTATAGGGTGAGGGAATGCGAGACACACTGCATGTGTATGAACAATGAGCTTCTGTTTCGTGTTTCATTTGGGAAGTGGAAACCTAGAAAAGGAAGCTTCCTTTTTCTTGAACAGTAACTGACTAGGCTTCTGTGGTACCTGATCCTCCAAATGTCCAACCACTCACAGGAATCCTGCGGGCATCACTCCCCCTCCCCCAACAGCATTGCCCTGAGAAGTTGCAAAGGCAGGAAACTCATCATCACACAGGCTACTTCAACTCTTGGCAAGTCCAGTGGCTCTGAAGGTCTACCTATATGACACATACACGGCAGGCTATGGCCTTAAAGTCAGAAGGGCCTGCACTGGAATCTTGGGATATGCAGGTGTTGGCTGATAGGGCAGTGTTGCTCTGTGCAGTTACCCAGAGGTCAAGCTTATGTCCGTACCGTCCCTAGCCTGTCACCCCCAGGCTTTTGTCTGCATCTCTCGCTACCATTCTGTGTTCTGAGTGCCCATATGGGTTGCTTGTGCTGCAGTTGGAGGAGAGAGAAGAGGAAGGAGAATATCCTTGACACGAAGTAGAACCTACACATCCCTGCGCTCTTAGCCATTTGGCCTAAGAGTGGTTACCTCACTACCTCTCACAAGAAGGGAAACTAGATTCACAGTCTTTGTTATGGCTGGCCATGAGCCCTGCAGAGAGAGAGAAAAAAAGGAATTTCCATCACTGTGAGAAGGATAAAGCAAACCACGCTAGGTGCAATTAACTAGAGTCGTTGCAATGAAGACATGCAAGAATGGCAGTACAACTTGCCCTCCAAAAACATGGTTCCACATTCTGTAGATTTGACTGATGAGGGTCAAAAGTGTTCAGAAAAAAAAATTTCATCTGAACTTAGCATATTGTTCTCTAGACAACAGAGTACAATGACTATTCCCATAGCATTGAGGTTAAATTGGGTATGAAATGTAATCTAGAGATGATTTGAAGTACACAGGAGGGTATGTGTAGGTTATATGCAAATCCCACTGTGTTTTCGGTAAAGCACCTGACTGTCCACGCCTCGGCTTCTGGTATTCATTTGGGGTTCTGACATCAATCCCCTGGGAATACCAAAAAACGACTATTTCCCTTTCCCAAGATTTGATGTAGTGATGGCCAAGCTATGGTCCCTGGAGAGAGAAATGGTCTGCTACTTGCAGCTGCATGACTTTGGACAAGTCAACCTTCTGTACCTTCAATTTCTAAGTCTGTATGCTAGAAATGTGAATAACCACATCATAGATAGGTGAGCATTAATGGAAGATATGCATGCACGTGCCTTACAGAGTTTGTACTCAATACGAGGAAACTGCGTTAATAACATTTGACTAAAGTGACAGAAAAATCCAGTGATAGTGTCTCAGTATTCGTATCCTCATGGAAACAAAGACTGGAGACACACTCTCCAGGGCTGGTAACTGACATCACAAATCGTTAGGGACCCAAAGCCTTCTGTTTTGCTTGATCCACCAAGCCACATCATGGCCCAAGATGGCTGCTAGTGTTCCAGCTATCATACCCACATTCTAGCAGTACATATTCTTATGAAAATCGAAAAAAACAAGGAAATTCTGTCTTTGGCAACAAAACAGATGCAAGTGACAATGTTTATGCTTAGTGAAATAAGCAAGACATCCATTTCTCTGGCATATGGCGGTTAATACAGAAAACAAAAGTGTGTAGAAATGAAATGGACAATTTGCTACCTGATGATCATTCCTAACCCTGTTTATACTCCTGTGGAACTGTGCTCTTTTTATTGTTGAATACTATAGTTAATATTGAATTACTCATGAGTGGATTAAAATTATGCCTTTGCAATAACTGATAAAAGGAAAAGAGAGAAGGGCAGGAGGAGAGCTTTGGGGGCGAGGAGGAGGCGAAGGAAGGGAAGTGGGTTGTCTTTTTGAAGCTGTACCTATGGAATGCTTGAAATTTGTTCTGTTTTTAAAAATTAACAACAACAAAATTCAGTGGGTTCCTACCTTGGTGGGTCCCCATTTGCCTGTGGTAAGGGATCAGGTTGTGCCAATTTTAAATCTGCAACAAATTGATCAGAAAGTTGGAACAGACATGAATTATTAGAAAAAGGAAACACACTCTAAATACCGCCCAGCACACGGATCCTGTGGTTGAAGTCGTGTGGTGCTACCATATCACTAGACCCTATGAAGACCTTATGAATCACTGGGGACCCCGGGGTTTAGGACCCACAGAAAGGACCTCCTGTTCTGTGCTGCCGCGTGTCTCTTTCTGGTCCCGTTTAGATCGTCTCCACCATGAGGTACACAACTAGGAAAGAGACTGAGAAGCCAGCAGCGCAGGTCAAGAGAGGAGGCGAGCAGGCGAGTTGCGCGCAGAGGCCCACCCCGTGGTTCCTCCCCCAGAGCCGCTCACTCCCCTCCTCGCCGTCACGCGTGGGCTCGGCCCCCACGACTCCCAAGTCCAGCCGGTCCTGCAGCGTCCCCTGCAACAGCCCCCTCGCCCGGAAGGAGCAGTCGCGGCAGATGCGTCACTCTGTGGACTTGGAACTGGCACAGTGCTGGCGACAGGCCACCGGGGACACTGAGACACCCCTGTCCCCCGTCGGGGTGAGCCCTGAGGCTGGAGACCTGCTTGTGGCCACCCGGGAGGAGTGGAGTCAGGTGGGTGTGACCATGGCTGCTTCCTGTACTCACTGCTGTCCGGGAAGGCCGAGGGTGTTTAGTTTTTAACATGTATTTTTTGTTTATTTGAAAGACGGAGTGACTGAGATGAGAAATTGGATAGAAAGATAACCAGAGATAGGGGCTGCCAATGGCTCAATTGGCTAATCCACTGCCTACAAGCACCAATATCCCATATGGGCATGAGGTTGTGTCCCAACTGCTTCACTTCCCATCCAGTTCCCTTCTTGTGGCTTGGGAAAGCAGTTGAGGACAGCCCAAAGCCTTGGGATCCTGCACCCATATGTGAGACCCAGAAGAAGCTCCTGGCTTCTGGCTTCAGATCACATCAGCTCCAGCTATTGCAGCCATTTGGGGAGTGAACTGGTGATGGAAGATCTCTCTCTCTGTGTCTCCTCTCTGTAAATCTGCCTTTCATATGAATATACACACATGCACAAACACATACACACATACATGGTTTTATATATTATACATATTATTATATATTGTAACTGTATTTTATTATGCAAGATATTAACTTATATACATATATTTAGAAAGACAGACAGCTAGAGATAGATGATAGGTAGCCTTCCATCTACATGTTTACTCCCCAAATGGCCACAGCTGGTCCAGGCCCAAGTCAGAAACCCAGAACTGTGTCCAGGTCCAGGTGCAGGTGGGTGTCAGGGACCCACATACTTGGGTCATCCTCCACTGCCTTTCCTGGCACAGCAGTATGAAGCTAGATCATACGTGGAAGAGTTGAAACTTGGACCGGTGTCCAATATGGAATGCTGGCTGGCATCTAGGTGGCAGCTTAGCGTGCTGTGCCACAACACCAGCAGTCTCCTGCCACCTGCCCCCAGTGTTAACCACAAACGCCTGTCCTCCAGGGTACTTTTAGGGCCCTCCTTTCTTTCTGAGAACCCCCCAGAAGGACAATAGCATTGGCCAGGTGGCTCATAGACTTCAGCATTTTATGAAGGACAGGAGATGAGGCGGGGCCCTACATCCTGAGGATGCTGGGTCCCAGGACTCAGCACTGATAGGGCAAGAGGACCAGCCACGATTTGTTAGCTGCTGGTCCCTGCTGGGTTTTCTGTCAGCAGGATGGCTAGGGTGGCAAGGTGAGAACGGCTAGTCCGAGATCTCCATCCTCTGTTACCAGGCAACTCAGAGAACCGTGTCACACAGCCACCCCGTCAGCCTCGGGGCATAGCTTGGCACTTTGCCACCCCAGACGCAATGGCAGAATGGGTGAGGAATCAGAGTGACAGGGAGGACACACTGACAGTGCGGGCAGCACCTGTCACGAGGGCAGAACCGTGGCAGCGACAGCCCTGAGCAGACTGTCACAGTCGTCCCGAGGTAGACCATGCTGGTGATCTCGGGCCATGGAGTGAACAGAACCGCTGAGGCTTGCTGGCGCGCAACCGTTCTGACCTACAGAAATGGCATTTCCTAAGGGTCACCCGTTAAGAACAGATTTGGAAGAAATGAGGAGCTAACAGTGGCAGGAATTGCTGACCGATGAAGAGTGATAAAGATGCAGGCTTACACTTGATGTTTTTTAACTTCAACTTATTCCTTTTGCTAAACATGACTCAATAACACTGTGCTGATACTTGCAAATCAAATGCAACCTTTTCCCTTAAAAGTACATTTAGAAAAGGATCGGATGTCAGCAACTGGAATTGATGCAATTATTTCATCTGATGGCAATCAGCATTTCCCCAAATATCCATAAGAGGGAGGAATCTGAATTGCTAGAAAAATTGTTCGACTGTTTCGCAAATTCAGTTTTTCTAAAAAGATTTATTTATTTTACTTGAAAATCAGAATTACAGAGAGATTGAGAGAGAGAAAATTCTTTTTAAAATTCCTAAGTTACTGGGGTTGTTATTGTGGCATGGCTAGTAAACCGGTGATGCCAGCTTATCACATGAGCATCTGTGTCCTCACTGCTTCATGTCTCACCCAGCTTCCCGCTGGAGACCTGGGAAAGCAGAGGACGGGCGTGAACTAAGGGAAGCAAGATCAACCACTCTCACTCTCTGCTCTTTCTGTGTCACTCTGCCTTTTCAATCAATACATAAATAAATCTTTAAAATAATAACATGGGGCCTGGCATGGTGGCCTGGCGGCTAAAGTTCTCGCCTCGCATGCCAGGATCCCATATGGGTGCTGGTTCTAATCCTGGCAGTTCCAGTTCCTATCCAGCTCCCTGCTTGTGGTGTGGGAAAGCAGTTGAGGACGGCCCAAAGCCTTGGGACCCTGCACCCGTGTGGGAGACCTGGAGTCTGGCTCCTGGCTCCAGATTGGCATAGCACTGGCCATTGCGCTCACCTGGGGAGTGAATCATCGGACGGAAGATCTTCCTCTGTGTCTCTCCTCCTCTCTGTATATCTGACTTTGTAATAAAAATAAATAAATCTTTAAAAAAAAAATAATAGCATGGAAGTGCTATTAAACAAAGTGCTATTAAACAAAGTGTCACTGCCTTTCTGGGGCCAACACCCAGGAGCATGGCTTCTGCACTGTGGGAACACCCCTGGCCATCAGCACAGCTTCAATCAGAGCAATTGAGGAGCTTTCACACCGAGCTTTCACATACTTAAGTATGCTGGCTGCATACTTACCAGTAAACGTGCACACATGCTCATTTTGTGGATAATCAATATTCTGAACTTCAGGGTCCCAAAATACTTGGTGTCAAATATGGATTGTGAGTTGAGTCCAGCACAGTGGCTAATCCTCCCCCTTCAAGCACCGGGACCCGATATGGGTACTGGTTCATGTCCCGGCTGCTCCAGTTCCCATCCAGCTCCCGCATGTGGCCTGGGAAAGGAGTGGACGACGGCCCAAAGCCTTGGTACCCTGCACCCACGTGGAAAACCTGGAAGACACTTCTGGCTCCTGGCTTTGGAGAGGCTCAGCTCTGGCCTTTGCAGCCATTTGGGGAGTGAACCAGCAGAAGAAAGATCTTTTTCTCTGTCTCTCGTTATCTTTGTAAAATCTGACTTTGCAATAAAAGTAAACAAATCTTTTAGAAAATATTGGTTGCATGGAATGTATCCATGTACTTACATAGATTTGCCACCTCTTAAACCTCATTCTCCTCCTTATTCCCTTGGAGGACTCTGGATGCAAATTTGTCTCTTGGTCTTTCCAGGTCGTGGACATCCTGTGGAGTGACCCAATGGCTCAGGAGGGCTGCAAGGCCAACACAGTTCGCGGAGGAGGTTGTTACTTTGGGCCTGATGTGACAGAAGCATTGCTCCGGAAACACGGCCTGCAGTTGCTGATCCGCTCCCATGAGTGCAAGCCCGAGGGCTACGAGTTCTGCCATAACCGCAAGGTGGGTGGAGCCGCCACGACAGCAGCGTGTGGGCTGGGTGGGCCATGTGGGGCTCTGTGGGCTGGCCCTCAGATCGGGGGTCTGCAGTGTGGGCTGGGTGGGCCATGTGGGGCTCTGTGGGCTGGCCCTCAGGTCGGGGGTCTGCAGTGTGGGCTGGGTGGGCCATGTGGGGCTCTGTGGACTGGCCCTCAGGTTGGGGGTTTGCAGTGTGGGCTGGACGGGGCCATGTGGGGCTCTGTGGGCTGGCCCTCAGGTCGGGGGTCTGCAGGGACTCTGAACGCCCTCTCTCTTCTGTTTCCGTTCAGGTGTTGACCATCTTTTCTGCCTCCAACTACTACGAAGTTGGCAGTAACAGAGGGGCTTACGTGAAGCTGGGGCCAGCCCTGACCCCTCATATTGTGCAGTACCAAGCTAACAAGGCGACCCACACGCTCACCATGAGGCAAAGGCAAGGCTTTTCAATCAATATTTTTCGGGGGGGGGGGCGGGAAGGCAGTGCTTGTGGGACCTGTGTCCGATGTTATTCCATTGACCCGCACTCTCCGAAGGCAGCGTTTAGCCGGGTCGAGATCAGGCATTCCAGGTGGATTCCAGCCAGGGTCCCCACCTGCCCGGCAGCACCTTCTCAGCATCTCACCTCCCTGTCATCCATGGGAGCACGTAGCCCAGTTTCCTGCAGGCCACTGTCTTCCAGGTTTCCCCTCTATTTCCTCGTTAAGGGCTCATGTTCCATTGTGAGTAGCAGCCAAAGTATCTCTCGCTGCTGTCTGTCGGATAGAGAAGCCTCAGCATGCATTTGCTGACCCTGCCTTTTCCCTTTGGGAAGGAAGCAAGGCTGTGGGGAAACCCGAGTTCTCCTTTCCCAGGCAGCACGCTGTGTGTATGAGGAAGATTTCAATAGAGTGGTTCACAATGGACTAAGCAAAGATAGCACTGTTCATGTCAGCTTTATGGATGCGCTCACTCGGAGCTCTGCTGAAGCAGCAGGCCTGTGGTGTGTAGGTTCTGATAAGACTGCCTAGCGCTAAGCTCTCGCAGAGCCCATGTGTCGGATGACAATGTGCTGTTCCCTCACGCTGAGCAGACTTCAGAGGACGTAAGATGCTGACAGGTGCAGCATTCATGCCACTGGACAGGCTTCTCTAATTATCCAGCTGAACTGAATTAAAATGAAAACAGGCCAAGTTGGCATACGTGAAACAGATAGAGAACACACTTTCATGTGCAGCATTAACCTGATGTGAACCCTGTGAACGGTGCATTATTTAAAATCACTCTTGAGCTGTGAAATGCAGACCAGTTCTGTCTGCAGGAAATCATACGTTAAAAAAAAAAAAAGTAACCTGTAGTGCAGCAAAATCACCTGTGGAGCTCTAGAAAAACCCGCAGTGCCCCCACACCCTGCTGAATCAGACTCCCCAGGAGTAGAACCTGGCGCCTGCCGTCCTATGCATCTGTGGGATTTAGTTGTTCTCGCTACAGTCCCCGGGGTGGATTTTACTAAGCTAACCCAAGAGCACCTGGCTCTGAAACATTCGATGATTACATTAATCTAGTGCAACATCACCCAGTTTACCCGGAAGTGACTTAACAGAAGGACCTCAACCACCTGGAGCCCACTGGTGAAGTTAGAAACAAGTGGGTAGTGTCAGTGAGCAGCCTTTGTTTCTGTCTCAGGTCCATAAACTCAACATCGTGTGCCCTTCCTAGAGGCACCTTCACTCAGGACCTGTGGACTTGTTGAAATCTGCTTCTCAGCCACATTCCTGGCCCCATCCCCTCGTTAGCCATGTCACCTTGAGCTCATTGCAGACGGGCTCAGCCATCACCAAGCCGTGGAGGCTGTAGCCCTCCTCCCTGCCCAACTACAGGTGACCACGGTTGACCAGCGACCAGGGCCAATACATTCTGTTTTTAGCATCCTGTATTTCTTTCACCCTCTGATAAAACAATCCATTCTCTCCAGCACATAAGCCTATGTGCTTGTGGGATTCAGGATAAGTTTTAGGTAGTTCATATTAAAAAAAAAAAAAAGTCAGGAGAATTAAGGATTGTTCAATACCCTCAGTATCTCAAAATTCAATACAGTTTTTAATCAAAATGATTGGTTTGAAAAGAAAAGAACAAACAAGCATTTGCAATGGTAGGTTATCTGGTCGTTATTTATAAAATGACTGCTTCCTCGACGTGTTCCTCTTGGATCTCTTCAGATTCTTGGTCATTCAGCTCTTCATATTCATGGAGCTACCTATTTCAGGTCAAGTGCTGTGCCCAGAATTTCTCACTCCGATCAGAACGAGTAGAATGTATAGGTGTTACTTTGTCCTTTGCAAACCGTGCCTTTGGTTTACTATCACAATCAATTTCAAGGGCAGCCTAATGGTGAAGATCACAAATGTCATTTGTTGAGTGTTTTCTATGTGCCAGGCTTCGTTGCAAGGGCTGTGTTTAAGACTCGCTCATTGAAACTGCAGGGTACTCCTCTGAAATAGGCACCCTGTAAACAGATCCAGAAACTGAGGCACAGGACCAACAAGCACCTTCTCACAAAGGTGCTCGCTTCAGAAGTTCTCTGGTGCACACCCCGCACCAGGGGCACACCCCGCACCAGGGGCACACCCCGCACCAGGGGCACACCCTGCACCAGGAAGGAGAGTACTATCCCCTGGACAGATCCTTTTAGTGCAGTGGGTAAAGTCAACGTACAGAGAATGCAGGTGGAGCGCTTCCCACGGGCCGGACGCTCCTGCGAGGCTATGTTGTGAGCAAGGGAGGAGAAAGATGCTAAACCCCACACAGTATCTTCTATCCTGACCTCAAAATGCTCTTTTTCCTCTCTCACCGCAGGATAAGCAGAGTGGAGGAGTCAGCTCTGAAGGCTCTCCGGGAAAAGTTATTTGCTCACTCCTCGGCGCTCCTGAGTGAATTTAAGAAGCGTGATGCAGACAGGAGCGGTGAGACTAGCCACGTGCAAGATGCACGGAGCAAGGAAGCCAGTCAGAAAGCTCTGTCTCACCACAGTTAGCGAGTACCTTCTACTGAAGAAATGAATGACCAAAAGTCTAATCAGAACACTTTTTCCATTAAAAGTGTATCACTTATTACAGGGGCAGAGAAAGAGACCAACTCCCCCAGTGACTGGTTTACTCCTCTTATGCCTGCAGTGGTCAGAGATGCTAAAGTCACCAGCCATTAACTCTACCCAGGTGTCCACGTGGGCAGCAGGATCCAGCCTCTTGAGCCATCACTAGTGCCACCCAGAGCTTGCGTCAGCAGGAAGCTGGAATCAGATGCTGGAATGGCATATCAGGCCCAAACACTCCGATATGGGATCCAGGGGTCTCAGCTGAATTTTTGCCACCCAAGGACAATCACCTGCCCTTCTTCTTTTCGTTTATTTAATTTATTGTTCCATTGCTTTTTTTCTAAATTTTCAAACTTTAAGATTTTAGTGTAATATGAACTTGGCCAAATATAAATGGCGACAGTAAAAACAAATGTAGTTGGGCTTGGCACAATAGCCTAGCGGCTGAAGTCCTCACCTTGCACGCCCAGGATCCCATATGGGTACCAGTTCATATCCCAGTTGGTCCACTTCCCTTCCAGCTCCCTGTTTGTGGTCTGGGAAGGCAGTGGAAGATGGCCTTGGGACCCCACACTGACATGAGAGACCCGGAAGAAGCTCCTGACTCCTGGCTTTAGATTGGCTCAGCTTCAGCTGTTATAGCTACTTGGGGAGTGACCCAGTTCATGAAAGATCTTTCTCTCTGTCTCTCCTTCACTCTGTAAATCTGATTTTTCAATACAAATAAATATAAAAAACAAACAAACACACAAAAAAACAAAAGCAATCGAAGCTAGAATGATAGGGTCAGAATTAAGCAAAACAACTAATGGAAACCACAAGAATGTGTGGTAAAACAAACCCAGGATCAATGTCCTGACTTATCGTCAAATATTTGTCACTTATTTATCATTCAGACTAAAAATATAATCTGATTAATTCAATGAAATGTCTGATGGACATCAACTAAATAGAGTATTATTTTTTAAAATCAGCAGGGGTGATGGGGCTGGCACCATGGTGTAGTAAGCTAAGCCTAAGCCTGAGGAGCCAGCATCCCATACGCCACATGTTCAAGTCCTGGCTACTCCACTGATCCAGCTCCCTGCTTATGGCCTGGGAAAGCAGCAGAAGATGGCTCAAGTCCTTGGACCCCTGCATGTACATGTGAGACTTGGAAGAAGCTTCTGGTTCCTGGTTTATAAACATAAAGCAAATCTGCTAAAAGAAAAAATAATATGATTGGTGAATATTAGCACCATGCTTAAAGTGCCCCTCGGGGTGCCTAAGCACCCTCTGTTAGAGCGCCTGTGCTGGCTCCCAGTCCCGGCTTCCCGCTCATGCACACCCTGGGAGGCAGAGCAGTGGCTCCAGCAGCAGGATCCCTGCCTCCAGGTGGGAGACCTGGATTGGAGCTTCCAGCTCAGGTTTTAACCTTCTACGTCTGTCATGTGGGTTCAGAGGCTCAAGGATTTGGGTCATCTCAGACTGCTCTCCAAGGCTGTTGGCAGGGATTTGGATCAGCAGCCGGGATGCAAACGAGTGCCCACATGGGATGTCAAGGATGCAGGCAGAGGCTTGGTTTGCTATGCAATGGTGCCTGCCCCAGAGTTGATGTTTTTCAAAGCAACTTCTGCTGTGTGTGTGTAATGTTTAATGATGTTATTTGTAAGAGTGACTTTCAGCAGTGTGAGTCACCTTACTAACTTAAACTTGGGGATGCCTTATGGAGTGAAAACAGAAATAACGGTTTTTCTGCAACATTTGGCACACACCTGGGCTTGCTGTCTGGCAGAGGCATTGCTCTCTCCAGGCAGCCAGTGATTCATCTTGCAAGCCTAGCCTGCAGCCTCCTCTGCCACGACCAGCATAGTGTGTGTATCACCACGGAGAGGGAGGAGAAAGGCCCCCATGTGCACAGCCACCGGGGTGACACCTCGCCCTCTGCTGCAGGCTGGATCTCCCTGGGCGACTGGGCCGAGGCCGTGGAGTCCGTGCTGCACCTCGGACTGCCCTGGCGGATGCTGAGGCCCCAGCTGGTGAGCGGCCTGGCAGATAACGCGCTGGAGTACGAGTCCTGGTTGGAGAACTTGGCTAAGGAACAAGTGAGCCATGAGGTAAAGGCGTGGGGGCAGCAGGGTGGCAGGAGCGCGCTCTGAGGGTGCTAGGTGGGCACACTTCCTGTTAGGGGACTTGCAGGTGCTGCCCCAAGATGTAGACTTTATCAGATCAGGATGCTGCTATGGGTCCTTGCACTTCTAAGTTGGGACTCAAACTCAGGTCCCTCTGCAATTAAGGCTCTATTTTCTTTCCTCCCCTACCTAGAACATTTATTTGACACTTACTTATTTAATAGGTCACATATCTGAGACCTTTAATATTTACAAGGAAGATAGGAACACTTCAACTGTTTTTAGTACACAGTCATTCCTCCGTGAGAATCCCCCCAATGAACCCCAAAAGTCTGTGCTCAAGCCACTTTCGTAAAATGGTGGAGTGCTGTGTGTAACCTCATGTGTCCTTGAAGTCAGCTCTGGACTCCTTGGGGTACCTAACAGAATGCAAATGCTGCAGAGAAAGTTGTTACGCTGGATTGCTCGGGGAATAATAACAAGGAGAAGCCCTGTACTCTTCAGTACAAACATAACGCTTTCCTCCAGATACTCTCAGTCCAGTCGGTTGACTGAATTCACCAAGTTGGAGTCCCATCAGATTTGCGCATGTCTGGTTGGGCGCGGGAAGGGGCATTGGAGCGTTTTTCTGGTACGCTGCAGAGAGCGGAGTGGCTAGAACGAGCGTGAGGCATCTCTGGGTTTTGTTAAAAAGGGTGTGTAATCATCAGGGTTGGTCGTGTGTCAGGATAGACCTGAACAAAAGCCAGAGATAACGTGAATATTTTCTTGCAGAACATCCAGTCCAGTCTGCTGGAAACGCTCTATCGCAACCGGTCCAACCTCGAGACCATTTTCAGGATCATAGACAGCGACCACTCAGGTAGGCACTCAGTGTTCCGGCCCTGCCACCCTGAACCCTTGAAGCTCCTTCCAGATCCCGGGTCGGCTCCACTCAAGCATTCTGGGGACATAGTGCGAGGTGTCCGTGCTCAGGTAAGGCAGAACGGGAGAAAAGCCCTGGCGGAACGCTGCAGGGCGGAGAACAAAGGCGAACTGGCTGGAAGCCTCCTAAAAGAAGAACTCATCATTGCCCCCTAGCGTTCTATCCATGATAGTCACACAAAAGTTTTTGTGTTTTTATTCTCATTTTGAATTACCTGGTTAGCAACATGGTATAAAAGAACGCAGCCTCCTGAACATTATCACCGTGTCCCCCTAAACGTCCAAAGTCTTTTCAATGTTATTACTCAATTGTTTAAGAAATATGCTAACATACTCATATCCTGAATAATTCCTTCATGTAAAGCACACAGGATTTGTTCTGTTCCCTGGGAGTGTAACTGTCACCTACGTAAGTTCGCAGCATTTCATCACTAGGACAGGAAACTCCGGCCCCACGAGCAATCATGAGCCATCCCTTATCCCTGAGGGCTCAGGCACCTTTATGTTTCTTTCCTTTCCTATAGATGTGCCTACTCAGGACATGGCAGAAATGCATTATCTCATAAGGCCTTTGGAGTCAAGACTCTTTGATTTAGCAAAATGTTTCCAAGTTCGTCGTGTTGTATGCATGTGTATGCAAAAGTGTTCTTTCCCCTCGCTGGATGCACCATCTGTCTTTATGCAGTGACCTTGCTGGCCTCGTCTTACTGCTTTTAACTTAAACTCTAGGTCATGCTACAGTTTGGAAGCATGGCTACTCTCGCCTTCTTAAAGGTTCCATTTACATGGGCTATTTTGTTCCCTTTTCAGTCCATGTGTGTCCTTAGAAGCGAAATTGGTTTCATACAAGTAGCATATAGTTAGGTCCTGTTGTACAATCTATTTAGTCACTCTTTTAATTGGAGAATTTAATCCATTAACTTTTCTTTTTATTAGAAAGGGAGAGGGAGAAAGAGTGAGAGCTAGAGTGAGAAAGAGAGAGATGCAGAAAGAAAATATCTCCTATTCACTGGTTCACTCGCCAAATAATCGCAATGGCTGAGCAAGGCCAAAGCCAGCAGCCTGCAACTCCAACCACAGCTTCCATGTGGGTGGGCAGTAGGGTCCCAGGTCCTTGGGCCATCTTCCACTTCTTGGGAGTTAGACTGGAGGTGGAGCAGCCCAGACTCAAACCAGTGCTCATTGGAAATGCCAGCTTTGCAGACATTAGCATACCCCAAGTCCTTTAACATTTAAGGTAATTAATGAAAGTTAAGATGTTGCCACTCCCTTCGTTATACTTTCAATTAATATTTTTATCAGAGTTCTTTCTGTCTCTTTTTTCATAATCTTCATTTGTAGGTGAATGGTTTTCATTCTGTTGTTATTCTTGCAAGTCTGTAATAGGTTCTTGATATTTATCATGAGGCTTCAAAGAACTTCTTTTGGCAATTAAAAGTTAACTTAAAATGCTTACTGCTTGATGTGGACTATAAATATAGGGAAATAGACAAACAACCAAAGAGGCAACAAATTCTATTAAGCTCTGTATTTGTGCTCCATTTTCCCCATATTGTTGAAGTTTTTGATGTTACCCCTGACTTTTTAAATGTTGCCCTGTATGCTTGCACTTTACAGACGAGATTACAAGGGCATTTTCAGTCTTCACCATAAAGATGCAAATGATTTACACATCACAGATTTGTGTTGCTACTCTTACCCAAGAGTTTTCTACCTTCTGATATTTTATCACTCGTCAGCACCTCTGCTTTTGGGTTCGGAGAACTCCCTTGAACATGGCTGGCTGCACAGGTCTAGCAGTGTTACATTCTCTCAGCTTTCCCTGGGAACACCTCCATCCCTCCCGGTGTCTGACTGCTGGCTTGGCTGCAGGCAGGACTCCTGGCTGCCAGTTTTCCCCCTCAGTCCTGGGAAAGTCTCCGCCCTCCCACCTTGCCACTAGACTTTGTGCTGGCCAGTCTCCAGCCAGGCAGGTCGGGACCCTGTCCTGTGCCACTGGCTTCTTTCCTCTGGTAACCTGGAGAACCTTCTCTTTATCTTCAGCCTTGGAAGGCTGAACGGCGTCATGGGGTAGACCTTGTGGCATTGAATCTTAACTGAAGAAATTTGACCTTCCTGGGTAGTTTTATATTTCTCTGGGTTTGAGAAACTTTCTCTCATTGTCCCTTTGAATATACTTTCTATACCTTTGATATTCTCAAGCCCGTCTTGAATCCTAATAACTCAAATATTTACTCTTTTCATGCTCTCCAATCTTTCCCCTAAGCTTTTGTTCATGACTTTTTCTTCTCGTCCAACTGTTTCAAATGAGTCTTTGAGTTCACCGATTTTTCTCTTTTGTTTGATCTGTGCTGTTGGTGTCGTCTGTGGCGCTATTCCTGTCACTTGGTGTACTTTTCAGTTGAAGGTTTCTGTTGTGCTTCGTTCATTCTACACCTCTCCAACCTTGACTACTGAATCATGTGTCATGGGAATCACTCTTTTGCATTTTGTTGAGTCACCTTAACACGGTTGTTTTGCTGAGTATTTGGAAACTACATTTCCCAGGTGGCTGATTTCTGGCACCTTCTTTTGTTCTTTAGCTGATGTTTGTCTGTGCAGTGAAGGATTAGTTAGAGCAATCTGGCTTCCTTTGTGTCTTAGAAACTCTGACATGTTTGTTTGTTTTTCTCTATCTCTGTATACTTCTGCTATTTCAGCACTAGATGGCACCCGAGGCCATGGTTTGCCATTGGCCTCCTGGTTGGTTTTGGGGGGGTGGAGTTGTTTTATTTTGTTGTTTTGTTTTGTTTTTCACTGCCTCAGTCCTACAATACTCCCAAACTCAAATTAGTCCCAAACCCACAGTTGGTGCGTGTTCAGCATGAGCTGTGGAATTGCCCATAAAGGGGTGGTCTGTCCCAACAAGCTTCTCCTTGGGCTGTGTTGGGCTCACACTTGTCCTGTGTCTGTAAAAACTCCAATGGTGCGTCCCGTCTGGAGCCCTCAGCCCACCAAGACCAATACAGCCTGGGCTAGGGCCAGAGCTCAGCCTGCGTCCCCTCGAGGGGCCTTTCAGTAGGGTTTCCCTTTGCTGCGGGTTGGAGACGGGTGGAAGAGCTGGCCTGACTATGGAAGCTCCAAGTACTCACTCCGCAGCCATGGGCCTGAGTTCCAGGGCAGGTGCACGCAGTCCCATGGACTTTGTTTTGTAGTGGAGCCTGGCTGTGGGATGCAGTCCCTTCTCCCCCTCCCTAGCAGGAGGCCTGTCACCACTCCACACGCCTTGGAGCTGGGGCCAGGTGTCTCTCTCCTTGCTTTACTCATATGGCCTCAGGTTTCCTGCACAGCTAGTCAGCTTGAGCAGCTTGGTATGTGTTTAGTGGCCATTTATTTACCTTTGGAGAAATATCTATTCAAAACAATTAGGCATTTATAAATTGGGACTATTTGTCTTGTGACTTGTAGGGAAATATATAAATATGCATATGTATGTGTGTATATATATATGCATTCTGAATACTGGCATGTTAACAATATTTGGCTTACAAACACTTTCTCTGACTTGGGAGTCTGCCTTTTTACTTTCTTGGTAGCACCCTTTGATACACGTAAGTTTTGAATTTTTAAAAATTCAATTTATTTTTGTTGTTGTTTGTGCTTCTTGTGTATGGTTAGAACACTAATTCAAGAGCACAGAGATTTATGGCCATGTTTTCCTCCAGTTTTGTAACTTTAACTCTTACATATGGGTTTTTAATCCAAACAGAGTTAATTGTTATATGCAGTGTGAGGTAGGGGTCTAACATTCTTTTGTGTGCAGGTATCTAGTTGTTCCTCCAAAATTGTTGGAAAAAAAAAAAAAACTGTTCCCATCAAATGATGTTGGAACCTGTGTAAAAAAAATTCCAATGGCTGTGGATGCATTTCATAAGGAGAACCATAAGGTGGCTTAATGCATTATTTTTTAGCATGGCACTATTGAAATTGAGATGGGTGATTCTTTATTTTGGGCACTGTTGGATAAAAAGTCGAGCTCTGGCCTTTATCTTCTAAATACCAGTAGCATCCCACCTTCACCTCAGTTGAGATCATGCAAAGTGTCTGCAGAGATTGGCCTGACATTGTGGCACTGGCATCCTGGTACTAAAGTGCTATTAAAATGCCACTGCTCTGCTTCCTGTCTAGCTTCCTGTTGGTGTCCCTGGGAGAATGCCTGGGGAGTCCGGCCCTTGCTAACACATGGGAGACGAGCATGGAGTTCCTGGCTCCCACATCAGCCTGGTCCAGCCCCGGCTGCTGCTGTCATATGGGGAGGGAACCAGCAGCTAGAAGGTCTTTCTCTGTTTCTCCTTGTTTCAGATTTTTTAGTATTATTCTTTTTAATGTGACTGCAGGCATTGCTCAATATCTTCTGAAGGGGGAACAAAATGATTCCCAGGAGAACATCCTGGGGACCTAGTGACTTCATGTGGCTGCCCTGGTTGCTTAACCAGAGCTGAAGCCTTGGGAGTCTCCTTCCTGTTTAACGGAGAGCACCTGTGCCCTCGGAGTAATGTCATAGAAATAGACATGTCATGGTAACGTCATAGGAAATGAGCGTTGCCGTCTGCATTCTCTCACTGGGGCGACTTGTTGCCTCTGGCCAGGGTTCATCTCACTGGATGAGTTCAGGCAGACCTGGAAGCTCTTCAGCTCCCACATGAACATCAGCAGCACGGAGGACTGCATCTGCGACCTTGCCCGAAGCATTGACTTCAACAAGGATGGCCGCATCGACATCAACGAGTTCCTGGAGGCGTTCCGCCTGGTGGAGCGGTCCTGCTCCGGGGACCGGGCCCTGGCTGGCTCTGCCTGCACCGACGCCGGCGGCGGCACACCGGGTGCACCCTGAGGACCACCTGGTGCTCTGGCCCAACCTGCCTCGTGGGTGGTACGGAGATCCTTGCTGGCTGGTCCCAGTGTTCTCGAAGGTGCGAGAATCTGCTAGCCTGTGTGCTTGGGAGTCGCAGATGCGGAGGGGCGCGGGGCTGCCCAGCTCCATCTCGGAGTCTTCACCAAGCAACTCAAGTTCAGATGTTTTTAAACTTTCAAATGAACTTCGGTTCAGAACCACTGACAAACCTCCTTGTTGTTTTGGTTTTATCCCTTTTATTTACTGTGTAAAATATGTCATATTGGTAAAGTTGTGAAAAATATGCAGACTATATTTTGATTTTCTTTCTTGTAACTGTTTTTTTAAAAATAAACACATATATTTATGACAATTTTCCCTATTTGCTACATAATCTGTGGTTATTACCTTAATCGCAGCATACATTTTTTCAATTGGGTACATTATAATTTAATTCAGCCATTGTCTGAATTATTAAATGTGTTTAGTTTGTCTTTTTTTTCCTTACCATAAAAACATTGTGACAAATTACTTTGCACATTGTAGTTTGTTAGACCAACATTTTTAAAAATCATGCATTTTCTGAGGATAAAAGTCCAGAAAGGGGGACTAAAGTCCTTACGTTGCATGTGCCGGGATCCCATATGGGCACCAGTTCGTATCCCGGCTGCTCCACTTTCCTTCCAGCTCCCTGCTGATGGCTTGGGAAAGCAGAAGAATGTGGCCCAAATCCTTGGGACTCTGTACCCGCACGGGAGACCCAGAAGAGACTCCTGGCTTCAGATTGGCTCAGCTCCGACCACTGTAGCTGCTTGGGAAGTAAATCAGTGGATGGAAGATCTTTCTCTCTGTAAATCTGATTTCTCATTAAAAATAATAAATTTTTAAGAAAAATTTTAAATAAAATTTTAAAAGTACAGAAAGGGGATTATTGCATCTAAGCTTGTTGTATTAGTTGGGTTCTCCAGAGAAATGTCACCAGCAGAAGATGCACAAATCCATCCAGACACACACACACCAAGGAACTGGTTCACCTGCTAATGGAGGTCAGAAAGGCTTGAGGCTTGGGCCTGGCACCATGGGCTAGTGGCTGAAGTCCTCACCTTGAACGTGCTGGGACCCCATATGGGCACCAGTTCTAGTCCCGGCGGCTCCACTTCCCATTCAGCTCCCTGCTTGTGGCCTGGGAAAGCAGTCCAGGATGGCCCAAGGCCTTGGGACCTTGCACCCGTGTGGGAGACCCGGAAGAGGTTCCTGGCTCCTGGCTTCGGATTGGCGCAGCACCGGGCATTGCACTTACTTGGGGAGTGAATCATCGGACGGAAGATCTTCGTCTCTGTTTTTCCTCCTCTCCATATATCTGACTTTGTAATGAAAATAAAAGTGAATCTTTAACAAAGAAAAGAAAGAAAGAAAGAAAGAAAGAAAGAAAGAAAGAAAGAAAGAAAGAAAGAAAGAAAGAAAGAAAGAAAGAAAGAAAGAAAGAAAGAAAGAAAGAAAGAAAGAAAGAAAGAAAGAAAGAAAGAAAAGGCTCGAGGCCAAGGTGAGCAATGCTGGAAGGGCCAGAGTCCAGGCAGGCAAAGGAAGGCATATATCCACCCTTGCAAAGGGGCCAGGCCAACTTGCTCAGTCTTTGATTGTACTCAGGACTGTAGCAGATGGGTTGAAGCCAAGTCAGCCAGAGGGCCATCTGCTCACTGAATCAAGTGGTAATCTCCCTGGCTACAAATGACATGCAGCCAAGTATCTGGGCCCCCCAGGGTTTGGTCTGGCTGACACAGGAAATCACTCATTGTAGCTTTGCACACTTTCTGGCTTGAGTCATGTTGCCATGTTAATTTTCAGGTCATAGGAGATGGCTTCCACCTCCAACCTCTTCATAAGCACACAGGTTTCCAAGTGGGATCACTGGCAGTTTCCTCTAAAAGTAGATGTTAGTGCTCCCTTGGTGTTTGAATATGAATTTTTTAAAATAAAGATTTTATTTGTTTTTTATTCAGAAGTCAGATATACAGAGGAGGAGGAGAGAGAGAGGAAGAATGGCCACAATGGCCAGAACTGAGCTGATCCAAAGCAAGGAGCCAGGAGCTTCTTCCGGGTCTCCCACGTGGGTGCACAGTCACAAGGCTTTGGGCCGTCCTCGACTGCTTTCCCAGGACACAAGCAGGGAGCTGGATGGGAAGCGGGGCTACTGGGATTAGAACTGGTGCCATATGGGATCCTGGTGTGTACAAGGCGAGGACTTCAGCCACTAGCCTACTGCGCCAGTATAATATATTTAATTGTAACTTCTATAATTCAGTTTTTAGTCATGTTTGTGCTTAGCAACTATTAATTTTTGAAAAGTTAGCAATTACCTCTAACACACCAGGAGGTAGTAAGATTAAATCAGGGACAGAAGCAGGGCCTGGTGCAGTGGCCTAGTGGCTAAAGTTCCTGCCTTGCACATGCCAGGATCCCATATGGGTGCCAGTTCATAACCCAAGTGCTCCACTTCTCATCCAGCTCCCTGCTTGTGGCCTGGGAAAGCAGTCAAGGACGGCCCAAAGCCTTGGGACCCTGCACCCCTGTGGGAGGCCGAAAGAGCTCCTGGCTTCGGATTGGTTCAGCTCTGGCCTTTGTAGCTGCTAAGGGAGGAAACCAGCAAATGGAAGATCTTCCTCTCCTTCTCTCCTTCTCTCCGTAAATCTGACTTTCCAAAAAAAAAAAATTTTTTTAAATCTTTAAAAAAAAAAAAGAAAAAAGGACAAGCAGGCTGGGAGCCTTGCTGAGCTGCAACGGACACATTGTTGCTCTTCGTCTCAGCATGAACACATTAAGGACAGTGCACACAATGAAGGGGACAGGTGACATCTTGAGGTGCCCAATTGTGAAGTCCTTGTAGAATTTTCCTTTGTGTATTCCAGGAAGAGAAACCTGCATAATAAGGAACCCAGAAAAAGAAAGGGAGAGGGACCCCTCAAGCACACTGGGCTGTTGTCACGCCACGCACCAGATCTGGGTGAAGAAGCAGGAGGAAAGGGAGTGACACCAGCTGAGCTGGACCCGAGCTGCGGGGCGCCGGCTCCTCCGCATCTTAGCCCGAGGATGCTTGTGGCAGGAGATGGTGTTTATCCACCTGCTTAACAGACATGTTGCCTCTCAAGGGCGGAGACATTTTCAAATTACAGGGAAAGGACCTCAGGGGCAAGTGACAGCCCTTTTTTCTTACTCTGCAGTCTTCTGCTCTGAAAGTGATGGCAGAAAGAACGAGTGAGTGATTTTCAAGGGTTGCTCAAAGGCGCAATCGTGCTTGCTGGGTGGCTTGTGGAGAGCCCACGGCCAAGGTCAATGCTGCCATCCACTGCAGCTCTCACTCCTGGGAGAGGACCCCCTGCCCCACCAAGCCAAATGTGGCTTCAACAGTCCCAGCCAAGCTGCGACAGTGCACCCAGCCATCGTGCAGGGAAAACCTACGGGGCCAGTCTGGCCAAGGAAAGGCATTGAAAAGTCCAAGGAAAGGCATTGAAAAGTCCAAGGAAAGGCATTGAAAAGTTTTTCATTAAAAACTGAAAAACAAACAAACAAACAAATGACCAAAGTGCCATGGAGTTGCAGGCACAGCAGCAACCCCCTCGTGTACTCCCGCAGAAAGCGATGGGCTGCTCAAACTCCAACGATGGCCACAGGGACTGCTGAAGTGAAAGTCATCGCTGCTCCAATTTGCAAAGAATTCCATCCAACACTTGAGAGCTTGGAAGAGATCCTAATGGTTATTTCAGCTCCATTAAAGGCAATTGGATGTGTGGGCCATTAACAGTAGGCTCAGCATCTGTGCTTGTGCCCAACTGGAAACATTTGTATTCCCCGACTTCTTAAAAAATTGCCATCCTTTAGCTGTAGTCAACATGTGTTTGGTGAGGACTTGATGTAGTAGCCTGCCCCACCTGTGCTTCCGGACTGATGGGATTGGAATGAGCATGCAGCTCTTGCTCACCCTGCAGGCTTCAAGGTCAATGTGGCATTTCTACATCCTTCTCACAATGTCTATGACTTTTTGATCCTGTAGACCTATGACTTTCCCTCAGCTTGATGGTATTTTACTGTGATCAACTTGGGCAATTTCAATGACACAAAGCAGGAAGGAGCAGGCAGAGAGACTAAAGTCCTTTTTCTCAGATGCAAAGAAGGATAAAAGAACAGATTTTTAGGGCATCCCATTCACCCACCACATGGCCAGAGTGAAGTCAATTGGTCAACAAGGCACGTGGTCTCTTTGATGGTACCTAGGTTTCCAGTAGATGGGACTGTGTGCCAATTCTGACCGTGAGGCAGGAATTCCTGCTTCAGGTGTAGTTCTGTCCTCCATCCGCAGCAGTCACACGCTTGGGTTATGAAGTACACACGAGATAAGCATGTACATGGCCTCTCAGTCCCACGGCCGGCCCCGGGTGTGCACAGACCCCGAGCTGCGCCTGCGTTCATTTCCTTGGCAGCTGACTGAGCTGTCTGGCTGGCGTCACCCGCAGCTCTCCCAGTCCTCCGGTCATCAGGGGCGTCCCTGCTAGCATAGCGGGTCTGCTGCCTCTAACTTGACTCAGGAGCTGCCAGGGAGATGGAGCTTTGGGAAGGCAGCCCGCGAGTTGCCCATCCAGGCCTGACTGAAGCCCTCCACAAGAGGGAGTCATTGTGGGGACCTGTGAGAGCGTTCAAAACAATGGATTTCAAACAGAAAAGAGCTTTCTGAACACAGTCCATGGCCTGGTTTCTAATAAAAGACAATATAACTAGAATTCACAGGGTTGTCATTAATTCTTGAGGAAAAATGTGCATATATATGTGTGTGTGTGTGTATATATGAAATTAAAGCAAGAACACACAAGTTCTTGCTTTAATAAGTCACACAACTGAAAAACTGGAGGGGCCGGCACAGTAATGCAGTAGGTTAAGGTTCTGCCTGCTCCATTGGTATTCCATAAGGTGTGAGTCCTGGCTGCTCCACTTCCAATTCAGATCCTTGTTAATGGCCTGGGAAAGCAATCAAGGATGACCCAGAGCCTTGGGACCCTGCATGGGTGTGAAACACCTGGAAGAAGCTCCTGGCTTCAGACTGGCTCAGCTCTGGCCAGTGTGTCCACTTGGGGAGTGAACCAGCAGATGCAAGATCTTTCTGTCTCTCCTCTCTGCAACTGCTTTTCCAATAAGGCAAAAGATTTATATGATCTGAAGTGTGTGTGTATATATACACTCAAAACCCTGCTGCACTGTTTTTAGGGCGTCTAAAACAGGGCAGCAAACTTTGGTGCCAGCACAGATGGCCCTGGCCTGACTGGAGTGTTACCTTAGGGCTGGCCATGTTAAATGAACTCTTCTGCTAAGCTCTCATGTCATCCTCAAGCAGGTAATCTAATCCCATGATTCATTAAGGGCGGTGTATGCCCAAGAGACTTTTCTCCACTCCTGTCCTCTGGACAGTTCTCTCCCAACCACGTCAATTCCCAGCACTGGTTCCCAACAGGGCGACTGACACAGGCCAGGACACAACTGGCCCTGTCCCCTGTTGCCCTGCAATTCAGTGTTTTGCACACAAGTGGCAAGCCTATTGCCTAACAACAGCGTTAGTTTATGAACTAGACCTAGTCATAGCTGTGTCAGGTACACACAGGAAAAAACCTATGTCCAGAGAATAGGTCAGTTTGGCAGGAAGGGAAACCACATTTAAGGAAGGCAATATGTTGGGCCCAGTGCAATAGCTTAATTGGCTAATGCTCTCTTTGGAAGCGCCTGGATTTCATGTGGGTGCCAGTTTATATACCAGCTGCTCCAATCCCTATCCAGCTCCGTGCTCCCTGCTTGTGTCCTGGGAGAGCAGTAGAGGATGGCCCTAAGTCCTGGCATCCGGCACCCACGTTTTGGCCATTTGGGCAGTGAGCCAGTGGATAGAAGATCTTTCTGTCTCTCCTCTCTGTAACTCTGGCTTTCCAATAAAATAAGTCTTAAAAAATAAAAAAGATAGGTAATATGTCATCTCAGAATTATTTTTTCATTCTGGGAAGGTAATAGAAAACCCTGAAGTTTTTAAATCTAGACACAGAATAACTTTGGAATAACTTTAGAAGTGTTAACAGGGCAGTCATTAATCACCAAGAAAAGAGGAAACTTGTTAAAACAGCATGCATTACACGCACAGCTTCTACATAAAAACTGTTTAATTATCTTTGGTTTTGTTAGCAAAGATGTCTCAAAAAGCAGGCTTAATTAGGTTTACTAGTAAGGAAATAGCCTGCATCAACAAAATGTTTCATTAAAGTAGTTAAGAATTGCTTCATTTTCCAAAACCACAGTAGGAAATTCAACTCCAACCACATTGCTTTTTCAGCTTCTCCTTTAATTCCAATGATCAAATTTATTGTGGGCTATTTGCTCATTTAATATCACAGAAGAGCTCTGAGCAACCTCTGAGGACTCGGTGGCTGCAAGGCTCAGTCCACATTCACTCGCAAAAGGAACCTACTTCCTTACACAATTCTTGTTAGCCCTGCCTGTGCTCACTGGTATTCACTTGAATCTCAAACTTAGCCAGCCAAAAAAACACAGCCACTTGCTTGTCCTCTTCTGTAGTTCAGCAAACTCTACCACAGTCCCCAGGACTCTCCTTGCTTCTGCAGTCACACCCCAATGAAGTCCTCTGTACCTGTCAATCAGACTGTGAATCCTACCTCTTTAATGTAGTAGTATGGATCTGTGCTTCTGCTCACACAGCACTGGCATCCCACTGGTCCCTAAGCTGTTAGCCTCCTCGCTGCAGATAATTCTCAATGTAGCAGAGAGGTCATCTATAAAATAGATACCAGGTCTAATCACTTCTCTGGCTTCCCACCAAATGCAAGATAAAATGCAACTCCTTTTCAGAAGCACTTGTCATTGTGTTATATTTGCTGTTGTTTACTATGGAATGACTACCAGGCAAGCAACTTTTTTCACTCTTATATCCCCAATGCCTATAGCTAAAAGAATGAATAATTCTTACTACATCTGTGAAGACTACTAGGTCCAACACACATTATGAGGCTCTTACACAACTGTGATGCAACTATGAAACATAAGGGTTTGGTTTTCTATTAGCAAGGTTTCACACTAGTTACAACACATTACACTTCTTATTTTTCTGTTTACTCATCTGAAAGGCAGTTACAGGGCCAGGAGTTTGGGGGGTCAACAGGAATCTTTCAACTTCTTGTTCACTTCCCACAAGGGCTGGACCAGGTGGAAGCCTGAATCTGGAGCTACGTCCAGGTGGCTGAGGTTCAAGCATTTGGGCCATCCTCCGCTGCTTTTCCAGGTCTGTTAGCAGGGACCTGGATCACAAATGGAACAGCTGGCCCTGCTCAAGTGTCTGGGAAGGGTGCAGAGCATGGCTTAGGTTCTTGAGCTCCTACCACCCATGATGTAGACAGTTCCTGGTTCTGGCCTGGAGCCTGGCCCACATTGACCCATTGCAGCCATTTGGGGAATTAATTAGAGGATGGAAGATCTCTCTGTCTCTCCTATTTTACCTTTCAAGTAAATAAAACAAAACATAAAAATTAAAAGGGGGCGCATCCAGGACTGGGACTGGAACTCATATGGAATGCCAATATTGCCAGAAATGGCTTTACCCACTGCATCACAATGCCAGGCCTGAGCTTAACCAATGAATATGTTACTTTACCTGTTACAAGTTTGGGCGATTTTTACCATTTAGAGACACTGGAGGTATAAGCTACACGTTTCAAATTTCAAATTGTAAACAAATCAAGCTTCATATCCATGGCTATACTGACGGGGCTCTCGGTACAGAGATCAATTTTAATGAGAGGGAAGGCTGACAAATGAGTGGAGGTAAGAACATGTACAGAAATGATTTATCAGAAAGCAAAATGCATGCCACCTGTTTTTTCAGCTGTTCAGATGATGGTGACACATAGACAACAAGTCTTAGAATCCTGGAGCCTGCCAAGTCCAGGGCCAAGGTGCCGGCACACACCAGAAGGTGCTGCCTTGCTGGCTCAGCCAGTCAGTCCCTCAGACTGGAGGCCGAGGGCTCTTACGGCCGGAAGCTCCGAACTTTCAGTACCCTCTAGGTCTCCACACTTGAATTTGGAGGACACAGTAGTCAGTAACAGTGGGGGTCTCAGCCATAGTTCTAGGATACATTTGAAAGGCAACAGGTCTGGTGCACAAAGGGTCCCCCCTACCTGGCTCAGGCCACTGCAAAGCATGCACCCACATGCCCATTTGCACTAGAAGCTTTACTGTGGTGAGTATGGAGAGTGGTGGGAAGGCACAGTGTGGCAGCCACAGCCAGACTGGAGATGGAGCTCAGTGGGAAGGCTCTAGAGGCAAGCTGGGTCATGGGCAGACTGGAAATGGAGGCCAGTGGGAGGACACTGGAGGTGGGGGCGGAGCACAGGCAGTGCTGAGATGGAGGCCAGAGGGAGGGCCCTAAAGATGAGCTGGGGGCCCGGCGCGGTGGCGCAAGTGGTTAAAGGTCCTCGCCTTGCACGCCCGGGATCCCATATGGGCGCCGGTTCTAATCCCGGCAGCCCCGCTTCCCTTCCAGCTCCCTGCCTGTGGCCTGGGAAAGCAGTTGAGGACGGCCCAAAGCTTTGGGACCCTGCACCCGCGCGGGAGACCCGGAAGAGGCTCCTGGCTTCAGATCGGCATAGTATCGGCCCGTTGCGCTCACTTGGGGAGTGAATCATCGGACGGAAGATCTTCCTCTCTGTCTCTCCTCTCTGTATTTCCGCCTTTCCAATGAAAAAATAATAAAAATAAATCTTAAAAAAAAAAAAAAAAGATGAGCTGGGCCACGGGCAGTGCTGGGGTGGAGGCCAGCGGGAAGGCTCCAGAGGCAAGCTGGGCCATGGGCAGACTGGAAATGGAGGCCAGTGGGAGGGCACTGGAGGCGGGGGGGGGGGGGGGAGGAGGAGCACAGGCAGTGCTGGGACAGAGGCCAGAGGGAGGGCCCCAAAAATGAGCTGGGCCACGGGCAGTGCTGGGGTGGAGGCCAGTGGAGAGGCCCCAGAGGTGAGCCGGGCCATGGGCAGTGCTGGGGTGGGAAGACGTCCCTCTGGATCCAGGTTGAGCTGTGTGGCTGCCAGGCCCGTGTGTGACTGAGTGGCTCACCAACACAGACTTGGCAGTTTCTGATGCTCTCTGGCATTTCACACTAGGAAATTCTCATTCCTGAGCCATTTTACCTCATACCATTAGCCTGAAATGTAGCCATAAGCCTACTGTTCCTCACACAGTGTCAGCTTCAGCAGACTTCACGGAACCTGAGCTTGTAAAGTGCCTGTCCTGTAAGTGACTGGTAGTGGTAGGGACACAGTGCAGTTCTCACAGATGCTTTGGAACACAGAGGCAGGCGAAGTTCATGCCTCACACGGATTGGTTAAACTACTACCAAACCTGGAAGACAGATTTTGTATATCAACCCCCACAGCCAGGCTATCTTGGCTTGAACTAAAGCCTGCTTTAGAAAGCCACTGCTGGGAATACCAATTCTGAATTAAGGAAGTACTCAGAACGCCCCTCACGACTCCACCTGCCTCACTTTCCATCAGCAATAAAAACACTTCTCTCAAAAGTTAAAAAAAGGGAACCATGATCAGGAATTGAGTGAACATATTATCTATTTTTATTATGAAAACATTAAATTTTGACACATCGCTTCATTTGCTTTTTAAAAATCTATTATTTGACTTAAACCTATTCCACAAAAAATGCCAATAAATTACATAAATCATAGCTTGGGTCTTCTTAAAACTAGAAACCTAGTATGCTGGATGATAATCAAGTAACAATACTAAATCTGAGTCGAGTGAGCTGTTAACTTGTAATTTTGCTTTTGGCGCTTTTGCTTTACATGAAAGGAAACCAAGCACGTGAGCACACTGTTGCCAGTTCCTCAGGCCCCTCAGCACCCCTGAACAGGTGTCCTCGTGTCTTCTCTGGCTACAGGAGGCGGTCGGCCAGAGGCACTAGGCTGCCCGGTCTCACCTGCTCTCCTGGACGCCGAGGATCTGCAGGACCCTCTGGCCCAGGCCAGCCTTTTTCTGTGTGAAACATCCCCTTACAAGGAAACCACCATCAGCCAGGAACTCAAGGATTGCATTCAGAAATGATTCCCATTCAATACACATTAAATCAAAATGTGTTAATACATAAAGTCACAGATTCTGAAAAGTAAACCAATGAACTAAGGCAAACAGCATTGCCACCACATGCCTTAAGACAGTCTATTTTTGGTATCTGAAGTTCCTTGCAAATTACATTTTGGGACAGTTCAGATGAATTTAAATAGAATATGTGTTTCTGTATAAAGAGTTGGAGGGTTTTGAACATGGGTGGCAACCTTTTAAAAAACCATCAATAGCCTTATTAGTGAGTGTTTTGCACTTGGATTCTAAGCCTTTATTTGCTGCGGAGGCAAACCAAAGCCCTGTCCTGGGATTCCACCTGCAAAGTGACGACGTGATTACTACCATCCCTAGCGATTTTCAAGGCAGAACTAGTCCTGGTCCTTGCCACTGTCCTCAGTCTCATCCTCCTCGTCTTCCTGGTCTCCAGATTCAAGCTCATCCTCTTCTTCAACCTAAAGGGAAAATACACATGTAATGTTAAGAAGATGTGCTTACGTCACGTTCAACAGGTGGTAACACACACCCTGCTGATAAAATTCTAATAATTATGGACTATAAGCCATCTGATTTAATGTGCAAGGCTCTTCCCTTTTGCTTGTAACTGAATCACATCAGTTAACTCGCTGACAGAGGGCTACCTCCTCCACATACAGGTCTGAACCAAACATGATGATGACACACTTGTGTGGTGACAGTCCTGTTAGCACAGGTACATTCACAGTCATTCCCTTCTTAGGTCTAAGACCCACAGTGACAATCTGCAAGTTCTGGACACTGAACCTACTCCGCCTCTTGGGTCAATTCTCCAAATGCAGTGAAAGCAATGCACAGGACCCACACCCATACAGGCACCACTTTGCCTTGAGACACTAAAATTCTGTAAAAGGCATCCCAAGGAAGCATGACACACATCACTCTTGGAAACATTTTAGTCTTACTGGATGACCAAGTTCCTTGAGTTTATTCTTCAGTGATAGTATTTTCTGATCTTGATCAGCCAACAGCACTAAGAGATCATCTTGCTCTTTTCTGGAGTCAGTAATTTCCAATTCTAGTCTTTTTTTCTCGTTTTGTAAAATGGCGATGGTGCTGTTAGATGAATCCAGCTGTGCTTTAATAGCAGTTCTTTCCTCAGACAGAGCTTTAATTTCATTCTAGGAAAATAAAGGCAGAGAGGGGACGTCAAAGACGTAACACTGCGCTCTTTCACTTCCACAGACTTAGCACACACAGTCCCAGTAGCACAAGAATTTATTTCACTGTTCATCAGAGATGGCTATTTGAAAAACAGAGTTTTACTGTAGTTACTCCTTCTTAAAAGGAAAGAGCATTTGACCTAGGGGTTCAGCCCGCTGGATCCCATACTGCCATGCCAAGGTACAACTCCCAGCTCTGGCTCCTGGTTCCAACTTCCTGCCAATGCATTCCCTGGGAGGCAGTGCTGATGGGTCAGGGCTGGGATTCCCGCCACCGCCGTGGGAATACATGCTGTATTCCTGGTTCCCAGCTACAGGCTACCCTGGTTGTTGTAGCACATTTGGAGACTAAACCAGTCAGTAGCTATTTTTCTGTCTAGTTTCCTGTTTTTCTGTCTAGTTTCCCTCAAAAAGCCAATCAACCAAACAAAAACACTCTCCGTGCTTCGTAAGAAATTACAACACAATATCATTTCAGCTAATCAGTAACAGATACATAAAACATATGGCAGTAAGCTGGTTAACGCCAGAATCAGGACTTAGGGGATGGGCAGTTGGCTTACTGGTTAAGATGCTAGTTAGGACATGAGCCCCTCATTTCCAAGTACTTGGGTTCAATACCCGGCCCTGTCTCCTAATTCCAACTTCCTGCTAATGCAGACTCTGGGTGGAAGTGGTGACAAAGTGGTAGGGTTCCTGTCATGCATGTGAATTTCTGGCTTCTGCTTTGAGGCCTGCCTAACCCTGCTGTTGGGTGCTGCTCTGTGTCTCTATGTATGTATCTTTGTCTCCGTTTCTCCAGCAAACAACATAAAACATTTGAAAAAAAATTTAGCAACTCAAATTCATGTTAAAAAAGATATAACAACTTCATACACACAAATGAAAAAGAAAATAATTTCAAACAAAATTCATGGTATAAAAACACAATAATTTGGGGTGGGTAATGCGGCATAGTGCACTCAGCCTTCTCCTGGGATGCTCACAGGCCGTATCAGAGGGCCTGTTTGCGTTCTGGCTACTCTGCTTCCTGTGAGAACACCCGGGAGGCAGTGGGTGGTGGCCCAAGTGCACGGAGCCCTTTAATCTATGTGGGCTGGAGTTCCTGGCTCTGCTGGTTACAGACTAGCCCTGGCTTCTACGGAATCTGAGGAGTGAACCAGCAATGGAAGGTAAGTCTTGCAGAAAGATAAATAGACACACACACACAGAGATGGGGGGGGGGCAGGGGGAGGAAAGGAGAGGGAGAGAGGGGGAAGGAGAGGAGAGGGGAGGAGAGGAGAGAGAGAGGGGGAGAGGGGGAAAGGGGAAGAAGGGGAGAGGGAGCGGGGGAGAAGGGGAGGGAAGGAGGGAGAGAGGGAGGAGAGGGGAGGAGAGGAGAGAGAGAGGGGGAGAGGGGGAGGGGGAAAAGGGGAGGGAGGGAGGGAGAGAGGGAGGAGAGGAGTCTGCGAAGACCATGGCTGGGCAAACCTCACGCAGCCACAGCCAGAGCTGGGAGCAGAGAACTCCAAGTGCCTCCCAAGTGCCTGACAGGGATCCACTCACTGAGGCGCGCAGCTGGGTTCTGAATCTAGCCAAGCACTTCGATATGGGACATGGGTTTTATGGCCAGCATATTAACAACCACGCCAAATGCCTGCCCCCTTTCATTTTAGTAACACTACCTCATTCCTTTCTTCATGTTATTTATTCCGATGTTCCTGTCACAACAGGACTGAATGTGCCTATGTTCCCTTGCGTACGTGTGACTTATGTATTAGCTAAATTTATGCTAATTTTTTTTACTGTTTTGTTACTGTAATTGGCTACTGTTGTAATAGTCTCAAGGAATTTTACTTTCATTGTACATGCAGATATGCTACTTTACATATTTAATACCATTACCTGAAATGAAACTAAAAAAAATTCTGTGTAATCTTCAGTCAGCAAAACAGGAAGTATTGTGAGATAAAATTGCATCACATATTAGCTTTCTTCATAAATCTCAGAGATTAAATGAAAACAAAACAAAACAAAAACTATTTTCTGGAGTTCATATCATAATTTGTGCAACAAATGAAAGTTTCTCTGAGAACTAACCTTTAGTTCTTTCGTCTCTTGTAACAGCGCCGACAGTCTCCCTTCCACATCAGTGCTTTTAGCGGCAGTCACAGTTTCACTCTCTCCTTGCACAGGAACTAATTTTGCCTAAAAGCAGATATTGGAAAAAAACCATGTGAATTTCCAAAGTAGTAATTTATTATTCTTGCTGTTGTGAAATTTTACATCAAACAACAACAAAAATATAGAATTGCTATGTATTTATCCCCTACGACACGTTCCCCACAGGTAAGCAGGTTGTCCCACAGTGGAGCAGCACCACATACCAACAAGAGCAGGTGGAAGGCTGAGGTGGCAACAGAGCATCCAACACGGACAGGCTATTTCTCACAGCCTTGCCCTTAGAGACGTCATGTAGCTAACTTTATCTCAGATAGGTAGATAAATTGAGCCAGAAACCATTAATTGTCAGAATGTAAATATTTTGTTAAGTACTACTGAAGCACTCTTAAAAGTCAGTTTTTCAGTCAGTCTTTACTTTTTTTCCCACAAAATAACGTGTGGGATACTTATGCAGTAAATAGCTGAAAGTGAAGAAGCGGCTCTGGACACTAGCCTATGGACTATGTTAGACAAAGCCTGAACGCTCTGAACAGACAACCGGTAGAAATGCAAACGTCGGTGAGGCCCTCTGCCTGGCTAAGCCACTGGTCAGGACAACCATGTCGAACCTCACACTGGAATGGTCGAGTATGGTTGTTTTTTTTTTTTTTAAAATATTAATTAATTTATTTGAAAGTCAAGTTGTACAGAGACATCTAACTGCTGAGTTACCCTCTGGAGGCACGCATTGGTCAGGATCGATCTAGGCAACAGCAAGGGCTTCATCCAGGGCCCCACACGGGTGGCAGAGGCCTGAACCCTTGGCCATGTTCCACTGCTTTTCTCAGGCCTGCACTGCAGAGCTGCACGGCAAGCACAAAAGCTGGGACACGAACTTGTGCCTGTATGGACTCCAGTGTCACAGGTGCTGGCTTTACCAGGACCGCCACCAGGCCAGTCCATGGGGTGGCGGGGTGTGACAACTGGCTCCAGCTCCTGATTTCAGCTCCCTGGGAGGCAGTGGGGACCCGGATGACGCTCACTGCCCCTAGTTTCAGTCTCCATGGCCATGTGAACGTTTGGGGGAGTGAACAAGGCACTCTTGTTCTCTCTGTGCTTTGTGCTATCTTGAGACTCAATTTAAAAAACAATATTAATATCTAACCACAACATATTTACTTAAAAAATTAAACATCATGGGCATTATAGGTGACTCTGATGAAAGCTCAGAAAAAGAAAAGAATAACTGTACCGAACGCTGCAATGGTTACAGACAGGTACAGTGATAGAGAACAGAATGCTGGCAGGGAAATGGATGCTGAAGGTGTTGCGGGTGAAGGGTCAGATGGAGACAAACAGCATGCTAATGAAAGCTGGAGGGAAGAATTCTCCACCACGGTGTCACAGAACCTGGCTGAAGTATGTTCTAGTGTTTTGCTTGAAGTAGAACGCACAAGTGACAAACATGGATATTTAACTGAGGGGATTTCAAAGCAAGTTGTTGGGGAGCAGCTGTTTCTCTTGGATGCTTAGGATAAAATGTGAGGAGAGAGAAACTGAAGGAATTGTTGAGTGAAAAGGAATCAACTGGAGGACTTTCACTGGGTTGTAAAAACCCAGAAAGTGTGTTGGGAGAAATCAAGGGTGTGGCTGGACAGACATGTATGAAAAGATTCTGTGACTAATGGATTCAATTAACCGGCTCTGAGATGAGGCTGAGAGGGATGCACCTGACCTCTGTCGGGTGCGAGGACCGTGCCGAGTTCATGGAAAGCCAACAGGATGCCGACTCACGGGCAGAGAAGCTGCCAGCCAGGGAGGAAGGGGCAGGGAATGGAGCTAATGCCTGCTGGAGGAGCCACTGGGCAGCTGGCCAGGCTTCCCTGCCAGCAGCCTGGTTGTGAGCTGCCCGTCAGCACCGCCAAGAGCTGTCAGGAGAACTCTGGCTAGTGTGCAGCCTCAAGAGCAAGCAGGTGCAACGCGACAAATGTGCTGCATCTTCACTGCGGCTCAGAAACACATGAGCCCTGAGTTCACCACCTTCCCGCGGTGGGGGCGGGGAGCCAACTCACACATGCTTCTGCTTTTTGCACCAGCTCCTGTTTCTCTGTCTGTAGCTGGGTGATCTCCACAGACTGCGCATTTAACTGAGATTTTAATGTTGCCAGTTCCTAAGAGTCAAAAACAGTTAAGCCATATCACAAACACTGTTAATTCAATCAAGGAAATGCCCGCACACAGAACAAACCTAATTTAAAAACCCTTAATTTAATCTATGTGTTTTCACTGTATTTGAAAGACAGAACAGATAGAGATTTTTCCATCTCTGGTTCATTCCTCAAATGTTCCCAACAACCAGGACTTGGTTAAGCTGAAACCAGAAAGCCTCAGTCTGGGCGCTCCTCTGGGTGACAGGGAACCCACTGCCTGGGCTGGTGTAGGCTGCCCTGTAGGGTGCACACCATCAGGAGGTGCAGAGAAAGCAGAGCAGCCCGGATCTGAGTCAGCACTCTGTCGGGGCATGCAGGCAGCCCGAGCAGCGGCTTAACTGCTGCACAAAACAGTGATTCCAGAAACAAAAATTTCAACAACATTCCTGTTCTTCATTGTGCCATGTGAAGGCACACTTTCCTTTTAAAATGACATTGTAAAATCTGTACCTAAAGAATAGTTCAAGGTGATAAATTACACATTCAGTTCTGCTGCTTGCTTTTGAGATCCCATTCAAAAAAAAAAAAATTACACACAGCCAGTTCTGCGGCACAAGCAAGTGAAGTTGCCATCTACAACAGCAGCATTCCAAGCGGGAACTATTCCGTGTGTCCTTGAAGATCCAGTTCTACCCCAGCTCCCTGCTAATGTCCCTGGGAAAGGAGTGCATGATGGACCAAGTACCTGTGCCTTGGCACTAATGTAGCAGACTCAGAGGAAGTTCCAGGCTCGTGACTTTGGACTGACCTAGTCTGAGGCATTTTGGTTATACTGGGAGTAAGTCAGCATATGAAAGATCTCTTCCCCTTCCTTCTCTGTATCTCTGCCTTTCAAACAAATAAGTAAATGTTTGTCAAAAGCTCATGAATGGGACCTGGTGCAGTAGCCTAGTGGCTAAAGTCCTCATCTTACACGTGCCAGGATCCCATCTGGGCACCAGTTTGTATTCTAGTTGCTCCACTTCCCATCCAGCTCCCTGCTTATGGCCTGGGAAAGCAGTCAAGGATGGCCCAAAGCCTTGGGACCCTGTATCCATGTGCGAGACCTGGAAGAGGTCCGGGCTTATCATAAGTTCAGCTCTGGCCATTGTGGCCACTTGGAGAATGTAGTAAACTTGGTTTTTGAATATAAACAAATAAATCTTGAAAACATTTATATAAAATTCGCCGATTACATAGTAATGACTTAACCTCACTTAAATTTGATACAGGTTTAGACAGACTTGATTAACTTCAGGGCATGACAAGTTTTCACCACACAGGAGGACATGAAAGTCCTTCAGACTAGAAATTTAAAAGTCTGACTTTAGCATCTACTCTGAGAACAGATTTGTCAAAGAAGACAACCCAGTCATTCCTCTCTCAGATCGACCTTGCCAGCTGGTGACCCAAAGAGCAACTCAGACCAGTGAGGGGCAGTGGTCACCGCCTGTTAAGGAGAGCTGCATTCCCTTAATAAAACCAGAGGAAGAAGACAAACGAGGAAAAAAAACAAAATTTTCAATCTGCTTAGGGAAGTTAATGCTAATGAGCACTATGACCCCTTCAGGTTTCTGCTCCAACTCCTACACTCTTTAATTCCACATGCGTACAATTTCTTTCCTGGAATAAGTAAAATTAATTTCTCACTAGATAATATGCATTATCTAGCTTAACATGAATTTTTAATTTTTATAAATAAGCAAGTAGAAGGAAAACTTAATTAACTTTTCCAGATATTATAAATTACCACAGCACAAAAAGCTTATTTATATCTCAGACATAAACAGGCATGCCTCCTGTTTTTCTTTTTTATCTAAAATCCAATAATCTTCAGCAAAAAATGGTTTATATAGTGAATATATTTACACAAAGTAATTATCCTAGTAAACAGAATATGAAAACCACAGGGAAGATTTTATATATAGTTCAGTGATGATTTACAAATAATCTGGATGAGATGCTGTGATCTGTTAAGAACATCGTTTAAAAATAAAAACAAAACAGGGCCTGGCGGCATGGCCTAGCAGCTAAAGTCCTCGCCTTGAATGTGCCAGGATCCCATATGGGCGCTGGTTCTAATCCTGGCAGCTCCACTTCCCATCCAGCTCCCTGCTTGTGGCCTGGGAAAGCAGTCGAGGAAGGCTCAAAGCTTTGGGACCCTGCACCCATGTGGGAGACCCGAAAGAAGTTCCTGGCTCCTGGCTTCGGATCAGCATAGCATCGGCCATTGTGCTCACTTGGGGAGTGAATCATTGGGACGGAAGATCTTCCTCTGTCTGACTTGCCAATAAATAATTATATCTTTAAAAATAAAATAAAAACAAAACAGAAAGCAAAATACCAATTAATGTACAATTAAAACAGCCACTTCACATGGCTGTCTTAACTATGAGATTTTGGTTACATCAGACAACACAGTTCTCCTATTATTCAAGACAAAACAAAGTAGAACTAGTAAAAAGCTGGAAAATTACCTCTTTTAATTCTGCAATCTTTTCAGAATCTGCAACTAGAGTTGTTGCTGAAGACTGCTCATTTCTGCCAGCTGCTGTTTGGGAAGATTTCTACAAATAGCGCAGAAATAAACTATAACATAAATCAGGTCTAAAGAGATAGGAAAAAAAACCAAAACAAAACTATACACATTTAAGCTTAATCTTATACAGATACCAAAAAAGTCCACAAAATTTTTTATACAAAATATAAAAATTTAACAGTATACATTTATACTTTTCTCTTAGCTAATACATTTATACTCAGACCCAGCAATTTACTAAATCTAAGCACTTCTCTGAAATGATATGCAGAAGTACAAAAACAGCCATGTATCGAGTGATTTCCATGTACTAAAGAATACCTTGTTTAAGTCTCAGAACAATGTAATCTAAACATCTTAATACAGGTTGAACGTTCCTAATCTGACATGCTCTAAAATCCAAACGTGTTTCCATGTTGACATGATGCCCACGGAAAACGCCACACTGGATCTCACATGTGAGGTGGTCACAGTGAAAAGCACAGGCATGCTAAACATACGGTATAAAATGACTTTCAGATTGCTTACAGGTAATATAAAACACAAACAAATTTTATGGATAGATGGTGATCTCATTCCAAGATGTCTAATTATCTTTATGTAAATACTCCACCACTAATGCACATCTCTAACACATCTGGTCCCAGACCAGGGATACTCAAGTGTTAAGATTTTCTGCCTTAAGAGATTGACCAAAACAAATAAGCAGAACACTTACTTAAAACTTCCAGACAGTCACTTACCAAGTTCTCAATCAAAGAGTCCTTTTCCAGCAGCTGGCTCTGTAACAGTTCCTGTTTACTTTTTAACTCCTCGATCTCTTCTCGCAGCCTGTTCATTTCTTCCGGCTGAATGCCATTCACCTGAGCGTTGTTACTGTGCGAGCCCTGAGGCTGGCTGTCCTTCCCTGGTGGAGAAGTGTGACATGTGAAGAGGCAGCATGAAACTTAGGCTCTTAGATGATGGAAATTGAAGATTAATATAAATGTACCATTCAAATACAATTTCCTTCTTTCAGTTACACTGGCGGCACTTTTGCAATAGCATTTTCTTTCCAGAAGCACACATTGATAAAAACAGTGAACTGAAGACATTTTCAAGGTTTTTGGGAGGAGAAAGAAGCTTTGCTTTTACTAAGATCTGTGACTAAGAATTATAATATTTTCAATTATAATTCTGATAATAAAAGATGATAAAATCGCTTTAACAAATCTTCAAAGGGGTGGTGCTGTGGTGTAGTGCATTAAGCTGCCATCTGAGACTCTTGCATCACATTCCTTATCGGAATCCAATTTTGAATCTTAGTTCTTTCACTCCTAATCCAGATCTCAGCTCGTGTGTGCAGGGAAGCAGCAGTGAAGGACTGTGTTGCTGGCACCAGAAACTCCATTCAGCTCTTCCACATGGTGGCAGGTATGCCACCACTTTCTAAAGTGTGTTACGCAGGACACTAGACTGCAAGTGGAGCAGATGAGATTTGAACCAATGTTCACATGGGATACATGGTATCTTAAACCACTATGCCATAATGCCGGCCCATAAACAAATCTTAAGGAAAATAAATTCTTTACAGAGAAATAGCTTTCTACAAGGACTATCACAAATAAAGAAGAAAAAATTTTCTTTCTGAAACTTTTACTTACTCCACACAAATAAAAAACTTTTGTACTTGTAAGTAGTCAGCCTTCCGATCATTAGGCTCTATGGGATGACACTAAATGCCATTAATCACCAGGTGACACAGCCACCACCATCAGCTCCATTTTGCAGATGCAGAAATGGTAGCTGGCTATCCACCGGTATCACAATGGGAGCTTGAGGTTAACTGCAGGGGCAGTCTGGATCAATCCCAGACTAACGTGACATTCCAGTGGGGTCTCCAAACTGGTATTTTAAAAAAGGCAGCTCAGGGGCTGTTGAGTACAGCCAGGGCTGGGAATCACTGGGTCAGATCACCAAACAAGCAACAGGGAGCTAGGGCTTCAGACTCCACACATTTATAGGAACTGCTGTGCTGTTGTGCTTTCAAACTGTGACCTACTGTTTTGCACAAAAACTTGCCCACAAACACGAGCTGATTGTTCCAGCTCTGGGAACAGCTTGCCCTGAACACTGCGGTGGTGACGCCAGCTCCACTCACCCAGGTGCACTTTGAGGAGATTATACTGATCCTTGTGCTGCTGGATCTGAGACACTTGCTGTGTGACTGCTGTCTGAAGCTGTTCGTTCTGACATTTTAATGTGGAAACTTGCTGCTTTAATTCCTCAAGCTGCAGATCCTGCAAAATGAAATATCATTCAAATGTCTTAAATCCATACTTAGTAGCATTAAGATGAACAAATCTACAAAAAGCCCAGAGGTTACTTTGGATCAGGGTGTTCAAGCGCTTAATGCTTCCTGAGTCATCCAGTAATGAAGCAGCCACACATCACAAGACGTAAGGCCAATCGACATGCTGCCTCACTGCAGGATTTCAAGTAAGCCTGCTATCCTGCTGCATTTAGGGAGGGGTATCCGATGAGGAAAACCTGACACAAACTACTTTAAGAACTCAGTGTGTACTTATACACAAGCATCTATATTGTTTTTAATATTAAAAGACAATGCAACAAGAGAACACTTCCAAGAAAGACTGAAATAAAGAGAGCTTCCAGCTCCAGTGTGCTAATATTACCACAACTGAAATTTGTTATTAAAAAAAATTACTTCCCAACCCATTTCTTTTTTCTTTTTAGAGTTTATTTATCTGAAAGACAATATAATGACAGTGGTAGTGTCAGCAACAGCAAGAATCTGCCATCAGATGGTTTTACTTTTAGATGCCTGCAGCCGCCAGGCATGAAACTCAAGCTAACTCCCACTCTGAAGGCAAGACCTGCACCCATCTCCTTCTTGGGTAGCAGAGCCCCAGATACTTGATTCATGATCTGCTGTCTCCTGGAATGTTTTAACAAGCTGGACTGGAAGTGAAAGAAGGACCGGATTCCTGACAGTTCAAAATGTCATGTGATCACCTCAAGGGATGGCTTGCCATGCATTGGCATTGTTTTAAAAACAATTCCTGTTTCTAAAACTTGTCCCCAAGTTGTAGCAAGGAGCCTAGGTTGTATTTTAACTAGGCAAGTATTACACCAAGGGTGAAAAGCAGCCAATAGCTGGTGGGCATTCTGGACCTGGTTAATGCCAAATTTGTGTTAGCTATACCAGTGTGCCAGCATAGCTGCCTAATTTTTTTTAAGATTTATTTTTATTTTTATTGCAAAGTCAGATATAGAGAGGAGGAGAGACAGAGAGGAAGATCTTCTATCTGATGATTCACTCCCCAAGTGACCACAACAGCCGGTGCTGTGCCAGTCTGAAGCCAGGAGCCAGGAATTTCTTCCAGGTCTCCCACATGGGTGTGGGGTCCCAAGGCCTTGGGCCGTCCTCTACTGCTTTCCCAGATCACAAGCAGGGAGCTGGGTGGGAAGTTGAGCTGCCAGGATTAGAACCAGCGCCCATATGGGATCCTGGCTCATTCAAGGCGAGGACTTTAGCCATGGGTCACTGTGCTGGTCCCTAATCTTTTTTTTTTAAAGATATGTAGGGAAGGCAGGGAATGCTGGTCCCCCGGTGTGTATGTGTGGGCTACAGACAGCTCGTGGGAGGAGATCTGGTGATGTGTTGGAGTGGGAGCGGCAGAGGGCATGTTTGACAGGGGAAGAATGACTTCTGGAATCTTTTACAAACTGGGCTACTGTATTCCAGATAGGTGAGGGATCTGAGATGGAATGATTTAGAGGGGGGAAACTGGAGGGTATATCTGGCTCAGGAAAAGGCACCTAACCATGTGTGAGACATGGGCTGGGCTAAAGCAGTATCGCTGCCTTCTGCTGGCACACACAAAAACTGAAGCTATGTGGCCTGCTTGGCTGGGCTAGGACACAGTACCCACTCGTGAGTGTTGGAACAGTGGGTGGGTCATAGCACCCCCAGAATGCCAGAGAACCCCATCTGGGGGAAACTGTTACAGGGGTTATCGGTTTGCCTCTGTGCAACTGCAGTTTATCTGCTGGTTTGAATAAAGAGCTAGTGGTGGTGACGAGCTGAGCTGGACTGGATGGCAGAACTCAGCCGACACTCATGGGAGCTGGAGCTTGGAGAAGATCTGGGGCTGGAAGGGAGCTGGACTGGGCCAGCTGCAGCACCTGCCAGCACAGCACAGGACTGAGGGCAGACCAGACTGACATGTGTGACATGGTCTTGGAGTAGCTCTGGTTGAGGAACTTGGGGAACACACTAGCTGAGGCTGAAGGCCGATGAGGCAGGCAAGTCTGTAGAACTTGTCAGCATTTGTGTAGGCCAAGTCTGAGGTCAGGCCAGACTGGGCCAGGCCACAGCATCCATTGGCATACATGAAAGCCAGGACAGGGTATGGGCCGTGTCTAGCTGGATTAAGCTAAAACTGATAGCTCACCTATCAGTGAGAGCTGGGAAAGCGGGTAGGCTACTCCAGGCAAATTTAAAGCACCTGACAGCATGTGCAAGATCCGGGATGGGAAAATGCCTGGTAGGGGAGTACTGGGGTATCCCCTGCTAGGCTGCAGCTCCCACTGGTGAATGCAAAAACATGGGCTGAGGGTGGACTGGGCTGGACAAGGTTACATCAACCAGCAGCAAGCATGGTTGCTTGGGCTGGGTTGGAGCATGTTCACATGAGAGTCAGGTCTGGGGGTAGGTTGGGTTGGGCTAGGCTGGAGCACCCACTGGTGAGAGCCAGAATGGGTGTGGGCCAGGCTGAGCCAGGCTGTAGCACCTGCTAGCAGAATGGATACACTGGGGGCGGGCAATCTCAGATTGGGCCACAGTACCCACTGCCTCCATAGTTGTTGATGCCTGTGCAGTGGACAGCATGCCCAGATGCACATGGGGACATGATAGCCAGTTCATTTAGGCTAGCAGAACACTCTGAGTGCCTCATCAGAGGATGGAAAGCAGAACACGTTAGACCACTCTCCTGACCAAGCAATATGTTTTTGGGCTTGTGAATGCACTAAGATGAACCTGGTCAGCCAACAGACCTTGGAAGGATTTTCTCAACCCTGATGCATCGAAACCAAAGATGTCTCAACACTATCAAAGCCATTCAAGTAACACCCTCAGAACGTTCTTTCCCACAACAGGCTCCCTAAGGCGCCATCAGTCTTCTGTCACCCATCCCTGAGTGATGAGGTAGCAGTAACTTGACAGCAAGCAACAGTCCCCCTCCCCTTTCCTTCCTGGGGACACAGAAGAACAAAACTGAAACATTTTTTTTCACCACCCTTCCTCCATTTCTCAATCCTCCCCACCCTTATTGGAGACCCCATGTGCATGCATCCCTCTCAACTATGCAAACAATATTAAAAATAAAATTTAAAAATACAAAAAATAAAGGGTTAAAAAATCCTGTCATAATTTATCCATCCATAATTAGCCTTAATTTGCTTACTATTCTATAATTGTTAATGGAGACTTACTAGCTAATCAAGGAGATGCAATATAATTTATATTCAATGTTTCCAACTGAGGCCGCCTTGCTTTCCATTTTCCTAAGTAACAAAAATCATTAAAAACAATATTTTAGTCCATTTAGTTCTTTTTTTAAATTCTAGGGAATTTCCTTAGCATGGATTCTCAAATGCCATTCAAAGTGTATCAATATTTTTTTAATAGCACTAGATGCTTGCCGACTAATGTTCAATAATATTTTGAATGTTGAGAACACTTACAGTTTCTAAAGAATTTAACATTTCCAAAGAAGCACCATTGTTAAACCACTGTCCTTTCAAATCAACTGCAGTTTTCAGCTTTGAGTATAGGTGAGTATATTCATGGTTCCAAAGATAATACATTTTACAAACTGGAAATGATTCCATGGTTACTCCAAGAACCAAAAAGCTTTAACAACATAAGTTGTTTCATGAATCAAATTTTCATTCTAGCTTATTGATTTGTTTGTACAACAAAAAGCTGATTGCTAATTATAAGATAATATTTTCATTCTCTCTTAAAATCTAAACCCTAGTATGGCCCAAAGCCTTGAAACCTTGTGCCAATGTGGGAAATGTGGAAGAAGCTCCTGGCACCTGGCTCTGGATCAGCTCAGCTATGGCTGTTGTGGCCACTTGGGGAGTGAACCAGTGGATGGAAGATCCTTCTTTCTGTAAAACCTGACTGTCCAGTAAAAATAAATAAATCTTAAAAAAAAAAAAAACTGAATATAAATGCAGCAATTGTCATTAGAAACACTGCAACCTTGGGCCCGGCACGACAGTGTAATGGTTAAGGTCCTTGCCTTGAACGCACTGGTACCCCATATGGGCACCGGTTCTAATCCCGGCAGCTTCACTTCTTATCCAGCTCCCTGCCTATGGCCTGGGAAAGCAGTTGAGGACAGTCCAAATTGTTGGGACCCTGCACCCGTGTGGGAGACCCAGAAAGAAGTTTCTGGCTCCTGGCTTAGTATCAGCACAGCACCAGCCATTGTGCCCACTTGGGGAGTGAATCATCGGATGAAAGATCTTCCTCTCTGTCTCATCCTCTCTGTACATCTGCCTTTCCAATAAAATAAATAAATCTTAAAAACCTCAGTAATACAGAATGTGGGGGAAGAAAACTACATGCAGGCAGTTATCAATCCGAAGGGTTTGGTCTCTGCTCTCACTTGGCCACACCTGTCACACAAGCTGTGTGCAGAATGGGGCGTGAAGCTGTCCCACAGGGATACAGTGCGCTACCAGTGCACGTTTCATGGCATTGGAGTTTTAACCACATCAACAGTTTCATTTTCCAGATAATACTATAGTGAATTTCTGAATTCCCTATCAGTATGATTATCATGATAAAGAAATTAAATGAGAGTAAAAACCAAGGAACACATTTTTTATAGAATATCACAGAAGGTGAAGGTGCTTCACACAATGCAAGTAAGGGAAGTTCAGTGTTCTGGAAAGAAAAACACAACGGAGGATTCTAATAACGTGGTTTCAGCTCAAAATCACCATTACTGGCTCCAATATAAGCTCCTTTTCCTGTACTATATAATTCAGAATCAGCCATTCAATTGTTCCAGAAAGAAATCTAGGGATAACGGTTTCTGCATCCTTACCCCTGCATCCAATCATTACCAAGTCCTGACACAGTCTGTTTTTTTTTTAAGGTTCATTTATTTATTTAATAGGAAAAGTGTGAGAGAGAATTCTTCTATCTGTTGGTTCACTCCCCAGATGCCCTCAATGCCAGGGGTAGGCCAGGCTGGAACTTCATCTGGGTCTCCCCACATGGCTAGCAGGGGCTTAGTTACCTGGGCTGTCACCTGCTGCCTCCCAGGCACACAAGCTGGGTATTCACCAGACTGGACTGGAAGCAGAGAAAGGATTTGATTTCAGGCACTGCAATAGGGGGGGGCGGGGGAGCAGTATGTCCCAAGTGTACAATGCCTGTACCCAACAACCAGTTTCATCTTTTTAGTCTGAGCACTTCCCAGATCTCTCCTGACTATACTACATAGAATGAGCTTTGTAGTCCCACAAACACAGAGGTGTTTGAACGGTCTTCTATCAGTTATCGAGGGCTTTGGGCAAACTTGGATTCTTTACATTGCTGATCCCTCATTCCAAATCACAGATAATAACTGCCTTACAGGGGTGATGCAAAAATTAAACAACAATGTCTAAAACATGTTTAGTAAACAGGAAGAAAGAACCCAGTAAACAAAAAAATGTAGTTAACATCATCGTTACATTAGTGTCCCAATTGCACCAGCCTCCCTCCTGCCTGGTCCTCCAGTTGCTCCTCTGCATACGGCCAGCATGTCCCAGCAGCACAGGGCTCAGACGTGGTCTATCCTGCTGTCTACACCCTTTGTTTCTCTTCCCTGTTTTTCCTTTCACCTTGCTTACTTTTGTTCATCCCTCTAGGACTCAGGTTTCTGCAATTACCCTACTCCTACCTAGCTAAGTGAAGTGCTTCGGTCATGCTGTAATCTACATGCAATGAACTACTCCACTAGACAGAGAATGGTGTAATATATGACACAATAATTATGGATTTGTCTCCACTTGGGAGTGACTACTATGGGAATAAACCAACTCATGCGCTACGTACATTCCTGTATAGTACTTATCACATATTAAGTGCTCAGTCTGGTGAACACTCACATTTTGTGGCAAATACTGAGTTTAGTTTCTGTGTCCCCTTCCATTTGAAATACTAGGAAAAAACTGCCTATTAATAACCAGACAGTACAATTAATTAGTACTTACTTGCTCTCGAATCATATTTTTGTAGTGAGTCACAATATTGTCATGTTGTTCTAGTGTTTTCTTTACCTCTTCTTCTTTTTTATCTTCTTCACTGGATTTATAGATGGCCTTTGTTATGACACCTGCAAGAGAAAAGTTACTTAAATTTTGTTTCAAACATTTTAAGGACTATTTTACTATTAAGACAAAACACAAACACACACATAACAACAACAAAAAATAAACAAACAAATAAAAACACAGAACCCAACTTCACGACAGATAAGAAACAATCTTTTCGGTTTTACGAAAAAGTCAAAGTCTTTAATGATCTACAACTTGGAACCAGAGAAAAACAATGTACTTTCATACTTGTCATATAAGCTATATGCATCTAGAACATAAATCCATAACATAATCCCAATTATTTCCTAATGAATATTGGTATACATATTTTTGTCTTACCTTCAAGTTCTTTTACCAGCTTCGTAAACTCATGATCAAATATTACATATTCTGGACTGGGGAAGTTAGGCTGGGGCTTCTGAGACGCTCTGGAATACAACTCATGTTTACTAATAAACCCTAGCTTCTCTATGAAATTCTCTTTGCCGATCCTCTTCTCTATTAGTTGCTTTAGTTTTTCTCTATAGAGAGAAGCACATTGAGAAACTTATAAAAAAAAAAACCTGCAAAATTTTTAAGCTTGGTCTTGACATGATGACAAAAGTAAACGTTATCATTCTTTCTCTCCTTTCCTTATACTTACTTCATGTAACTCTCCAGTGAGTTGTCATTGAAGTAGATGGAAATGCCCAACAGGAGGGCACATAGGCCTTGTACCAACTGCTCTTCTTCTCCAAGGTTTTCTGCAATTTGTCCTGTGAGCTGAATTCTTTGTCAAGGAGGCTGAGGATTTAGCATATTTAAGATACTTAACTTTGTAATGTGAATTTGACATGTATTTCACATACAAGTTCTTATAAAGAAATTCTCTGCGAATCTCAAAGCCAGCATAAAACAATGGTGCGCATGAATTCAGTAGGCAACATTACAACTCTAGCCATTTACACGAGTCCACAGAGAACTCAAACAGATTTTGAGCACAGAGCTACTTTAATTGAACACAAGACCTATGACAGATACTTACATATTTGTTACTAAAACACAAAGGATACAAATGGAACATTGGCTGAATTGTGAAGAAAATGTGTTACTGCAATGGGACAGTTGCTTAGCCATGTACAAAGCAACATTAACAATCCAACTCTTGTCTGTATTTTACTTCCCTGAAACAGATAAATGACAAAATCTCTTTGTTTGTTCAAACTTTAAAAAAATCTATTCATTTTATTTTGATCAAATTTAAAATTCCTCTAAGACTCTTCACTATCTGCCTAAAAAGAATTTTGACATCTTACAAAAGATCTATCAAGAATTCATAGTTTAGGGCCTGGTGTGGTAGCTTAGTGCCTAAAGTCCTCGCCTTGCACGCGCCGGAATCCCATATGGGTATGGGTTCTAATCCTGGCAGCCCCACTTCCCATCCAGCTCCCTGCTTGTGGCCTGGGACAGCAGTTGACGGCCCAAAGCCTTGGGACCCTGCACCTGCATAGGAGATATGGATCAGCTCAGCTCCGGCCTTTGTAGTCGCCTGGGGAATGAACTATCAGATGCAGGATCTTCCTCTCTGTCTCTTCTCCTCTCTGTATATCTGACTTTCCAATAAAAATAAATAAATCTTAACAAATAAATAAGTCTTAAAAAAAAGAATTCAGAGTTTAAAATTGAACAAGACAGTATATTCTTGCTGCCACATCCACCCCCACAGGCCACACTTCCAAAAACAATGCAGAAATCAGAACTGGTTCATGGTGATAGCATAATAATGGGTAAGTGAATATACACTGTAAGAAAAATCTGGTTCGCTGAGTTAAAAAAATTCATTCTGTGGAAACTTACAAAAAATCCGTTAATCTCAATACCTTCATAATATATTAAAATAAATAATAAGTAAAATGAATACCTCTATAATAAATAAAAGCTACTTCCTTGAAAAAATATCAACACAAAAATATAATCTTTTGAGTCCTTTAGTTACCAAGAAATAAACTTTAACAATAAAATAAACCTTGCCACAAACTCAGTCACAGGTATAAGAGTGGGGATATTTACTGAAATTAGCTAAGTGCCATGAGCCACGAAACATACTGTTGCCACCTGTACACATTACTAAAATTCATAGGTCCAGCAAAACTAGTTCCCTATATTTTAATATAACATGTTGTTTCCTATGTAGAATGTCCTCTTAGTTCACAATATATTGCTTTCTGTATTTATACTATCATTTGTAAAAATTTTTTTTTCTTTTTGGGAAAACATTGAAATAAAAGAATGAAAATCACCAGCATATGATTATTCAAAGACCTAGACAAGAATGAACTTAAATATCTATCACAAATGTTCTAATTTCATGAACCCCAATGTCAATATTGTGGCTTTTATGTAATTCATATGGGGCATGTGCTTGGCCTCATGGAGGATGACGTGTTGGGATGGCAACACTGGTGCAGCCTGTTAAGCTTCTGCCGTGATGCCAGCATCCACAGGGGAGTGCTGATAACTTGAGTCTTAGTGGTCTGCTTCTGATTCAGCTCCTTGCTATTGTGCCTGGGAAGGCAAGAGGATGGCCTGTGCCACCCACACAAGAGATCCAAAGGGGCTCCTAAATCCTGGCCTCAGCCTCTACTGCTAACAGCCATTTAGGGAGTGAGTAAGTGGGTGGAAGATCATTTTGTGTCTTTGCTTCTCCCCATAACTGCTTTTCAGTTTTTCAAACAACTAATTAAATCTTAAGGAAAAAAGATTAATTTAAACAAACAAACAAACAAACAAGATGAAAGCTGAAATCCTGGTCTTCTGCTGGTCTCAGAGTCCTGCTAGAGCACAGGAAGGGAGGCAACAGGCCATGGTCAGGCTGCTGGGTTCCCTGCCACCCAAGCACAGGACCCAGGCTGGCTCTTGGCTGCTGCTTTTGGCCCTTGCGGCATTTGGGGAACAAACCAGTAGACACGAATGCTCTGTCTCTAACATAAAAACCATAAAAAGCAAATGGGGCAGAAAGGATACTTACTCCAATGGCTTCATTATTAGAAACCACAGATTTTATAGAAGAGAATTTAAAATAAAATATTAAAGTAGAGTCATCTATTCTTTATAATTAATTTTCTAAATAAAAATGGCTCCCATTTCTAAGATGTGCATTTCAACTCTAATATTTTACATTGTTATAAAAATAAAAAGGTAACATTTTAAATGTAAATGTTGTGTTTACATTAAAAGGAGGTTCTAGCATATTATAATGTGATTCATTTTCTTTTCTTTTTTAAAAGATTTTATTTTTATTTTTATTGGAAAGGCGGATATACAGAGAGGAGAGACAGACAGGAAGATCTTCCGTCCAATGACTCACTCCCCAAGTGAGTGCATCGGCCGATACTATGCCGATCCGAAGCCAGGAGCCTCTTCCGGGTCTCCCACCCGGGCGCAGGGTCCCAAAGCTCTGGGCTGTCCTCGACTGCCTTCCCGGGCCACAGGCAGGGAGCTGGATGGGAAGTGGGGCTGCTGGGATTAGAACCGGCGCCCATATGGGATCCCGGGCGTGCAAGGCGAGGACCTTAACCAGTTGCACCACCGCACCGGGCCCTATAATGCGATTCATTTTCTAGTGGTAGCCTTTTCGAACAAAGAATAAGAATGGCACATAATGGAACTTTCTAGCATTCTTTGAGTGTTTCAATGCATCTCTGTAGGCACCACTTTCTATGTGGGTGTTTAGCCTGGTGGCTAGGACATCCATGTCCAATTTTGTAGTATCTGGGTTGGACCCAGCTCTGTCTCCTGTTCCAGCTTCCTGTTATTGTAGACCCTGGGAGGCAGTGGTGATGGCAAGTAATCAGGTGCCTGTCACCCATGTGCAGATCTGGATTAAGTTTGTGGCTCCTGGCTTGGGACCAGCTGGGATCATTACAGGCACTAAAAGTGACCCAGAAGATGTGGCGCACACTGTCACCTAAATAAATAGTGTTTATTGTAATGCTTAAGATAATGATGGGCTCTATCAGGCATGTACATTTTACTGTGTATAAATTAATGTCTCAAAAACTACCTTTTAAATGATTGACATGAAGACTTAAAAAAAATATTTTTTCCAGTATAAGACTTCAGCAAGCAATGTTGTCAAACATGTGTGTTGTAAAACATGTTAAATCATGCTCACATACAGATATAACTCCTACTAGAATCTGTTATTACAACCCACATAGTACTAAAACACATGCCCAAACATGAACATTAAGACCCACTTCTATTTTTTCAAATATTAAAATAAACAAAACATAACCAACCAAGCCAAGCCAAACCAAATCAAACCAAACCAAACCAAACCAAACCAAACCAAACCAAACCAAACCAAACCAAACCTTGCACTTACATATCGAAAACTAAGCCCCAATAGTGGCTGTTATGGGCTATGTCCAAGACAATCTGTAATCCTTAAATTTTTCAAATTACAAAAATAACACTATTCTGCATTTAATTATAGAAAAAATTCTTAACCTTGAATTTGATTTCTCTTGAAATGGTTTTAGAAGAAATACAGAAGCAAGCTTAGGAAAAAAACCACACAGAACCAAAACCAAGGTGTCCCAGAAAGTGCAAGCAGCCCGAGGAAGCAGAAGTGTACAGCTGCAGATCTTCCGTCCCATAGTGCTTACAAATTCCGTAACATCCCACCGAGAAAAACTGGAGATGCGCAGGGCACAGATAAATTGCTGACCCGTAAGTGTAAGTACAAATTCAACCAAGCAGTTAAAAAATCAGCAAAACCCATGACAAAGAAAAGCCTTGTTGTGAGAGGAAAATGCCTAAGCTGAATCAAGGGATACATACCCGTCGGTCGATCTTATCACCCTGCAAATTATACATTAAACATTACTCATAAATACTACTATTTCTTTAAAAAATGTGATTTCTAGAAAATCCTTCAAAAATGTTTTCACTGGCTCTCTACATACCCAAATTTTGTAATTTTGGACAAGATAAAGGGAAATTTTACAGCACTTTCTGGGGAAGACATCACCTTTTTAGGTTTTCTTAATATGGGTACATATAATTATAATGTTAAAGCAAAACCTATGGCAATAGAAGTCAGCTTACGACCATCTTTTTTAAAAGGCTACTTTTCAATCACAGCAATATTAGAATATCAAGCACTAACTAAGACACGAAAAAGTCTAGGGTAGTTGGCTTATTCTCCAAGAGAGACGTGATAAATCAAAGATATAATCCATTTTTAGTGGAAATAAGCCAATTTTAAACAAAACTCAACTCATTTTACCATTACAATTAATTTTTAAGCTCTCCTCTGCACACTCTGTGCATGGTACTGATATTTTTAAAAATAAGGAAGAATTCAACAAATGAGGCACAAAGAAAACTAAAGAATTCAGCACATTATCATGGGGAGGGTAGGCAGGTGACAATTGTAGACACAGCCACATTTTTCTCTCCCTGAGTGACTTCGAATGTTAATGACTACATACTTTGACTAAAGCACGAGCTTGAAGTGTTCAAAAGCAAGGCTTGCACAAGTGTGAACATCACTTAATAGTCAATGACATTCCTAAACACTTAGCATCCACACTTTGAAATGGTACCAGACAAATGAGAATGTGCTGGGGACTTCAGCACCCACAAACATGTAGGGGTCCCCCTGACTATTTATGTCCTGGGCTGCTACTCTGCTTTTGTTTCTGGTTGATGGGTTGCTCCGGGGAAAGAAATTGCGAGGCACAAATATATGATTTTCTTTATTCTATTTCTTCATAAATTGACCTGAATTTAGCCCCCGAGAAGAAAGAAAAAATGACAAGCAAGAATGTCATAGCTGATTTAAAATGAAGATAAAATCAAAATCACCTTTGAGTCCAGAGTATGTGTTTCTAACATGAATTAGAACTTATAACCACTGGTCAGTCCTATAAAACTTCCTCTCCAAAAAACTGTTTCTGGCTACGATAAGCTTAAATCCTTTCTTTTTCATCTGCACCTTCTAAGGCCATCCTTTAATCTTTGCATTGTTGACAAGACATACAGCTGAACCACTTTCCAGCTGGAGAAGTACCGTATTTTACCTGTGACAGGATGTTGGTGCACTGTTGCAGTAAGGAAACTGGAGGATTGCCGATGTTAGTAGCAAGTTGAACCCTGAGCAACTGTTCTTTCTGGGTTGCATTTTCTTGCAAAGCATGGGCAAGGGCCACAGCAGCATACCAGTTCGAAAGTGAATCAGTAGAAAACAGACCTCCACACAGCAACTGACCAGCCGACACTGAATTTCCCATTGCTGGAAAGAAGGGAAGCAGTTAATAATGTGTCCTATCCTGACTGTGGGCTGGGGGAAAGGAGAACGAAATTTAGAAAAATTGCTTTTATGAAACCCAAACAGCACGAAATACTACTGAATACTATTTAAATATTTACTAATTGAGAGTATTAGGTGACAATTCCAGAAAATAAAAGTCTGCTTTTCAAGATAAAATGATAACAGAAAGGAATCTTAGAAGAGGAAAAGTTCAGAATAAAGAAATAACAGACACTTAGATATTAAATTAATAATGATATTATAGAGAGATACTATTTTGATTAAAAATGGTATTTCTAAAACAAAGCTAAGGAAATGACATTTTAACTATTCCTCTGTATTTTAATTTCTTTTGCAGCAAAATCATTTTTATGGTAATAATTTTATAAAAAATTTTTTTGAGGAAAGCATAATATACTTCAAATGAATTCCAATGATAAGCCCAACTACCTTTTATCAAACTGCTCTTAAGGTAAATGTTTAAAGAATTCATGTCTGCTAAAATAAAATATTTTAAAAATCCATAGGATGGGTAAAGACTATGACCTCTATTAGACAACATACTAGAAGGCTCAGCTTGAGTTAATGGTAAGATTAGCTTTAGAGCAGGAATTACCAACAGTAGCTTCTGTTTACTGGCATCTATTACGTTAGGTATGTGGGTGAGTGGTTCATAAATGTAAGTACGTAAATTCTCAGAACGTTCCTAGAGAGGTGACATTATCCTCCCGTACCTTGATTAAAACTCAAGTTAAAAACAACTTGGCCAAAATTACATAGCAAAAGTGAGAATTCTATAATGCAAACTCTGGTTTGAATCCATAGTTTGTTCTCTAAACCCATGTTTAAGTTTTGGAATTCTGATTTTCCCACTGGCATAAACTGTATTTCAGGCTAAGGCACGGAGAGATTCAATTAAAAGTTTGCAAGAAAGCTATTTTCATCCTTAGGGACAAATTAGAATTTAGTTATTTACCATCAATGGTGGAAGGCAGAAGTGTAGACACAATTTCTCCTTGGCCTTTTTGATTTTTATATAAGAAGCACTGGAAACAATAGAGAACAGCACACCGCAGAACAAATGGCTGCCTTTCATTGACCATGGACATGAGGAGTACTACAATTGCTGGCCTGTTGCAGTCAACAAGAAAAGAACAAAACAAAATATTGCAATCAGGTGTACAAATCAGTACCAAGTGCCTTCTGCTGACTGAAGAAGCACAGCCAGAGTGTTGAGTAAGTAAGAGATTTCTACTTTCACGTCGGAGAAGAGAAACTGCAGCTCGAAGTGAAGCCATCTGTGCAGGTGGCACACGGCTAGGAATTGAAGCAATACTATCTAACCCTACATGGCTAAGTTCCAAGTAGCACTACAATGATATCACTCTTTGAAAACACTAGCATTGGACAAGCACTGTGACAGAACATCAGGCCGCAGCTTGGATACTGCCACTCCACGGTGGGGTATCTGGGGTCAAACCCTGTCTCTGCTTCTGACCAGCATCCTGACTATGTGCCTGGAAGCAGCAGGTGATGGCATGTGCACCTGAGCCCCTGCCACTCACAGGGTACACCTGGACGTAGTTCTAAGCTACTGAGTGGACCTGGTCCAGTCCTGGCTATTGTAGGAATTTGGTGGTTAGGAAATCAAGTTGATGGAAGATTTCTTTCTCTTTCTATCCTTTATCACTCTACCTTTCAAATAAATGAATCCTAAAGAAAAAAATTATACTTATCTTGTTAGATGATTTTTAGTTTTACTATACCTGAACTATTGTGAAGAAATATATATATATATATTTTACTCAATATATATATAATACCAGTTTTGGTATTTTTTTAAATAAACATTTGCTTATTTATTTGAAAGACTTAAGAGAAAGAGAGGTATATCTCATCTCTTGGTTCATCCCCCAAATGGCCACAATGTCCGGTGTGAGGTCAGGCTGTGGTTGGTGGCCAGGAACCAGGAGCTTCCTTCAGGTCTCCTATGTGGGTAGCAGGGCCCAAACACGTGGGCCCACCTTCTGAGTTTTTCCAAGGCCATGAGCAGAGAGCTGTACTGGCAGTGGGACAGTTGGGACAGGAGCTGGTGTAGCAGGCGGCGGCTTTACCTGCCGTGCCGCGTTGCTGGACATACCTGTACGGGATATCCTAACGCCTGCTCCCTTCTTCCTACCTTGGTGGATTTGAAGGTGCATTTACAGAAGCAAAGTAATCTTGGTTTACTTGGCAGCCTCGAATAACTTCTGATACAGTATTTATGGTCTGTTAAGGGCAGAAAAAAAAAAAAAGAGAAAAGCATGAGAAAGTTAAAGAAGCAACCCTGTTTAAAAAGAAAACGTTAGATACTGTTTTTTGTTTATAAATGTCAAAATTCAGATGCAAAAAAGAAATCAGTAACAGAATTACAATCTTGTAGCATTTTTTCAAGTTAAAACTTTAAAATACTAAGCATGGGCTGCCAATTAAAAATAACACTGGATTACATATATTTAAAGTCTCAAAAGAAAAAAGTCTCACCAAGATTAATATGAGAATCTATTTTTACTAAAGAAGAAAATGATGCTTTCACAAATTTAAATTGTATTCAATTAAAATTCAATTTAAGGATGAAACTGAAAAATGTTTAACAAAATAAAAGCAAAGCTATATTTGAAAGCAATATGCTGTACATGATGAATATATATAATTTAAATTTGTCAATTATAAAGGAATGTTTTACAAAAAGACAAACTAGGTCCAAGAATATCCACCCATGTGTTAGAAGAGGCACAGAGAGAAAAGAGAATTAAGGAAGATTGAGACCATCCTTGGCCGCACGACATCAGTCCTCAGCTGAGATGGCTTTGTGAGACGCAAACATAACCAATGGTGGGGAAGGAGTCTACAGCACGGTATGCCATCAGTAAATTGCAGAAAACCAGAAACAAGGAGAAGGAGTCAGGAGTCAGAGTTCCTAGGAGCGCCCCTGGAATGAAGCTCTGGGAGCTGTGGTGCCAGTTTCCAGCCCCGAGCTGCATACCCAGCTCTGAGGGTAAAGGAATGACAGTCAGACAAGAAAGGGCAAAAGAAATTTTCCTTTCACTCTTCCAGGAAATTAAGGAAAATAATGTAAAGGCTGAAAGAAAAAGGTATAGAAGCCAGATAACCAAAGAATCCAAGTCAAGAGACAGGCTGAAAGGAAACCCTAGGAGGATGGCAAAACAAAGTCTCTGGGTGGGAGAGGAGTGGCAGGCGCGTGGGCCGGACCGCTGCAGAACAGGAGGGCTTGTGGGAGGCCCGGGGTATGATGGCCCAGTCACACGCGCACAAACAAAACCAGCCAGGTGAAAAAGAAGCCTGACAACTCATGAGAGACACAGGGACTTATGTGGCTTAGCAGGAACATTAAAAACATAAACTTAAGTAAGAACCCCATAAAATAACTGTGGGGTGATACATGGAAGTAAAGCCGAAGAGCCCCACAGGAAGAGGGAGACTAAGGCTTATAGCAGGCAGGAGTGAATCCAAAGACAATTGTTCTTATCACAGAACTTAGTCTTATTTACACTTTAAACGTGCATGTGTAGATTCAAATAAATATTCCCTTTTCTTTAATCATCTTCTTTTCTTACAGGTTACATTAAGAAACAAACAAATGAACTATCCTATTCATTCAATTGTAGAGTAAATATATTACCTTGCTATCCACATTAAAAACAATAAACTTGGGCACAGCGTGGTAGCCTAGTGGCTGGAGTCCTCCCCTGGCACATGCTGGGATCCCATATGGGTGCCGGTTCCAGTCCTGGAGGCTCTAATTCCTATCCAGCTCCCGGCTTGTGGCCTGGGAAGGCAGTTGAAGACAGCCCAAAGCCATGGGACCCTGCACCCACGTGGCAGACCCAGAAGAAGCTCCTGGCCTCAGATTGGCTCAACTCAGGCTGTTGTGGCCACTTGGGGACCAGCAGACAGATCTTCCTCTCTTTCCTCCTCTGTGTATCTGACTTTCCAATAAAAATAAATCTTTAAAAACAAAGAAATAAAAAAACCAAAAGACTGTACTAGGTACTCCTGTTAAATACAATAAAAATAATGAGAAATTCTCATTCTGAAGTTCTGCTGAACTTCAGCATTCAATACAATAAAACTGGAGCACTGTGGTACATCTTTTGGAATCAATATCGCCATCATTATCACTTGATTTCATCACGGTGGAATTCAGCACACGAAACAACTAACTACGTTGCCTTGTCCTCAGCTAGAGGCCGACTTGCACACAGTGTGGCCTCCCCTGAGCCATGTTTACCTCGGTGAGAATATCAGCAGGAACTCCGGTGGCCATCAGGATGGTGCAAAGCTGCTGCAATAACCCGCACTGGAACATAGCCTTCTGGCAGCTGCTGGTCGCACCAGGAGGGTTGGTGGGAGATACCAGGACCCGAACAAGCTGAGAAAGAGAGAGTAAAGGAAACAGGTTCTTACAGAACTGAAAGGCCTACGTGAACAGCAAGCCTGCGCGCAGCATCCCTTTCACCCTGCACAGGCAATCCAGGCTCTGTTACCCCTGGCAACAGCTCCATCACACTGCGTGATCTGCTGCAGGTTGTCTCCTTCAGGTAACTGTCAACTCCAAAACAAGCAACGCAGTATTTACTTATTTTTTAAAGATGTAATGGAAAGTCAGAATTACATGGAGAGAGGGATAGACAGAGAGAAGGATCCTACATCCTCTGGTTCACTCTCCAAATGGCTGCAATGGACGGAGCTGAGCTGAACATAAACCAGGAGCCAGGAGCTTCTTCTCGGTCTCCCACATGGGAGAAGAGTCCCAAGTCCTTGGATCATCCTCTACTGCTCTGTCAGGCCACAAACAGGGAGCTGAAAGGGAAGTGGAGCAGCCAGGACACAAAGCAGTATCCGTATGAGATCCTGGTGCATGAAAGGCAAGGACTTTAGCCACTAGGCTACTGTGCTGGGCACCCCCCAACACAGCATTTGTAATGCACTATATAATCAATAAGTGAGGAAGTCAGTTGCAGGTGAGATTTGTTACCAAAGAAGAATGAAGCATCTAATAACATAGTGGGTCTGAAGAGAATGGCCTGAGGTGTGCTAAGTTTCCTCTGAACTGGAACTAACCACTGGAGGCAAGGTAAAGGACTTGTGCATTTGCCATGGGGTTAGACTCATTAACTGAGTGCTCATTAATCCCCAGGATCCTAGAGATACTCTGAGACTGAACAAGAAATGTCAGAAACACAAGAAAAGTCATGTAAAACAACGAGAACCCTGCAGAATGTCCATGGGACACTGAAATCAGAAGGTCAGCTTATTCTGTGCCAAAAGATTTTAAAATTTGTATGTAAGCTCTTCCTACAATATTAATTTTCAGTGAACTTTTTGGAGAGCTCTCATATTTAGATATAGCTACATCTTCAGCACTGTTTTAGGGGCTGTCACTGTGATCCAGTGTGTTGTCACTGCCTGTATGGCTGGGATCCTCATTAGAATTTAGCTGTTTTGCTTCTTTTTTTTTTTTTTTAAAGATTTATTTATTTTATTGGAAAGGCAGATGTACAGAGAGGAGGAGAGACAGCGAGGAAGATATTTTGTTCAATGACTCACTTCCCAAGCAGCCACAATACGCCGATCAGAAGCCAGGAGCCAAGAACTTCTTTCCCGGTCTCCCACACGGGTGCAGGGTCCCAAGGCTTTGGGCCGTCCTCAACTGCTTTCCCAGGCCACAAGCAGGGAGCTGGATGGGAAGTGGAGCTGCCGGGATTAGAACTGGCATCCATATAGGATCCCAGCACATTCAAGGCAAGGACCTTAACCATTACACCATTGTGCCGGGACCAGAATTCAGCTGTTCTGCTTCTGATTCAACTCCCTAACGTACTTGGAAAAGCAGCAAAAGCTGGCCCTAAATGTTTGGGCCTCAGTACCCAGAGAGATAGAGATGATCCTCCTGGCTTTGTACTGGCTCAATCTTGGCTAGTATCTATCTGGGAAGAGAACCAGCACAAGGAAGACCGTTTTTTCCGTTCTCTCCCTTTCTCTCTGTAACTTCTTCAAAGAAATCTTTATACAAAAAATTGTAATATAAGCCAAGTGCCAACACACTCACGCTGACATGGCAGTTATCAGTAGTATGAACATGCCAGGAAAGCTCATCATGGCGGCCGGTGCATATCACAGATCATGATTCACTGAAGAAGGGGATGGGGTTGTTTGTACATGCGCATGTGTATGTGTGCACGCACACGTGTCAAGCTAATCACAAAAATAGATGTGGCAAACACGGGATACAATTCGAATGTTATAGAATCTCTAAGATATATTTGATTTTTGAGGTGACAAATACATTTAACATGAATTAACTTAATTCCTTTGCTTTGAAGTATTTGGTGTTCAAGACAGAAAGCTTTACTAAGCTAAGCAAAACTATTTTCATAAACTTTGATGAAAGCTAAAGTTTATTCATGTCTTTCAAGAATATTGTAGGGTGCCAGCATTGCGACACAGTGGGTTAAGTCTCCACCTATGACACCAGCGCCCTACGTTAGCTATGGTTCCTGCCCTGGCTGCTCCACTTCCAATACACATCTCTGCTAACAGCTTTGGAAAAGTAATAGATGGTCCAGGCATTTGGGTTCCTGCAATCCATGTAGGAAACTGGGATAAAGTCCCTGGCTCTTGGCCTCGGCATGGCCACCACTGGCTCTGTGGCTACCTTGGGAGTGAACCAGAAGATGAGGATCTTTCTCACAATTTGTAACTTTCAAAATAAATAAATCTTAAAAAAAAAAAAAAGAATAAAACAGGAGAGGGAGAGTGAGAATAAAAAACCTAATTATAGAATTAGAATGCTTTTCTACTAAAATACTTCACTCAAAAACTATTTTGGTAAACATTTCTTCATCTTCAATGATTCTTATACAGTATCTTAAACTACATAATACAAACAGGCCTCTCAGGTAGTTCAAATTTTCTCTGTTTGGCAGGAAATGTTTATATATGTTTAGACTGTCTCACTCGTTCTAAAGGTATTTTGATTATTACTTTTCTAGAGGAATTTCCTCCAAGTAAGCAGTGCTGAAAAAAGCATCAAACTCTCCACTTGGTGAGGTTGTTTCTAGGACATAAAAGACCTGCACTCACGGAATGTATAATAGTGATATGGGGAACAGTAATGATGGAGCTAAGAAAGTCAATCGGACTCGGACTTATTTTCTCCTACAGGACATCTCTTGACAGTTTCCTGGCATATTCCTAACAGGGTAATCACATAATTAATAATCCAAACTGGGGCATTGTAAAGTGGAAGAGGACACTGCTAGAAATTACAAAGTGAATGCTGACCCAAAAATTGGGGTACTGGGTCACCCTAACTAGCAATCAGACAAGCCCCAGGGCAAGGGACAGTATTTAGACTTGGATCACCAAAGAGGCTAACTATCTTGGTTTGAGAGCTATAGTCTTAATACAGACATGGCTGAAAGAGCATGGAGGTGGCTGACTTAGCCCTGAAGGGCTGGAGAAGGCACTCCAACACCAGAGTGTACACTTTAAGGCACTCCCCGTTGTTCTCAGCTACAAAAATCACGTGGGATCTCACTACCATCTCACTAAGCTTTCCCATAGAGCTCAACTACAATTACAGCTGATGTGTGCGTGTTTGGTCTTAAGACTCACATGATTAACCTTTGGTGGGACATTACTCATTTTTTAGCACCCAAAGCCTGGTTTTCAGTAAATGCTTACTGAATTTATTTGTTGAACTTAATATTCTCAATTAATATTCTTAATATTATATTAAGTACCCTAAATGGATAAAAGAGGGTTAGAAAATAGTCAAAGCAATAATGTAACCTGTTAGTCTCTCATGTAGCCCAACAAATGACTGTATGATTATATTTGCCTTAAAAGAACATAGAAGAGGGTCCACATGATAACCCAGTGGTTAAGTCCTAGCCTTGTATATGCTGGGATCAATTTCAGCCCAGTTTGTATCCTGGCAGCTCCACTTCCCTTCCAGCTCTGTGTGGCTTGTGGCCTGGGAGAGCAGTGGATGATGGCCCAAAGTCATGGGACCCTGCACCCATGTGGGAGACCCAGAAGAAGCTCCTGGCTCCTGTCAACTAAGCTCTAGCCATTGTGGCCACTTGGGGAGTGAACCAGTGGATGAAGATCTCTCTTTCTGTCTCTCCTCTCTGTAAATCTGACTTTTCAGTTTAAAAAAAAAATCGTAAAAAAAAAAAATTTAACAAAGATGGGCCTAGGCGCAATAGCCTAGTGCCTAAAATCCTCATTTGCCTGTGCTGGGATCCCATATGGGTACTGGTTCTAATCCTGGCAGCTCAGCTTCCCATCCAGCTCTCTGCTTGTGGCCTGGGAAAGCAGTTGAGGACAGCCCAAAGCCTTGGGACCCTGCACCAGAGTGGGAGACCTGGAACAAGCTCCTGGCTCCTGGCTTTGGACCAGTGCAGGACTGGCCAATGCAGCCACTTCAGGAGTGAACTATTGGATGCAAGATCTTCCTCTCTGTCTCTCCTCCTCCCTGTATATCTGACTTTTCCAATAAAAATAAGTCTTTAAAAAAATTTTTTTAACAAAGAAAGCATAGCAGAGGGTTGGCATGGCAGCCTAGCATGCCAATTCTCCATTTGTTGACGCTGGCATTCCACACAGGTGCCAGCTCTTGGCCCAGCTGCTCTACTTCCCATCCAGATCCCTGCTCACAGCCTAGTAAGATAGCAGAGAACGGCCCAGAGTCCTTCAGACTATACCCGTGTGAGCCCAGCTTCAGATCAGCTCAGCTCTGAGGACTGTGGCCATTTGGAGAGTGAACTGGTGCTTGAAAGACCTCTCCCACTTTCTCTCCTTCTCTCTGTAAAATTTGCCTTTCAAACAAAAACAAATATAGTTATTTCAAAAAATAACACAGCAGGACAAGAGAAAGAAATAGGATAAAATGCAATGAGCAGGTGTTAAACAGTATCGACGCTGGGATGCGGGGTGTGGGGGATCTCCAGCTCTGAGTCACAGCTGTGCCCGCAGTGAGGGGGATCCTGCAGCCTCCTTGGAAGCAGCCGCGCATGCAGCACTCGCCACACGGAGCTCCCCTTTCAGGAAGGACCGCTGGCCGTACTGCTTGCACTCCTGACTGAGGGCAGTATACCTGCAGCATCAGATGTAGGTTCGTCGCTTTCTGTGCAGACCAGCCAGAATTATCATCTCCAACCTCAAACCAAGGTTTCATACGTTGAATATATGAGCCTTCTTTAAAAAAATTTTGGTTGGAATTGTTGTTCTTTAACAAGTTTTGGAGCAAAATCAAGCAATCTTCGACTACTATACCTGGGGAGAAAATGTAAAACCAAAGCGTTAGGTCTGATGAAAGCTGAAATTCACAAGTGTTTTCACAGGGCCCGCTGCAGGCTCAGCACGTCCTCTGTCTGGCAAGCCAGGCCGTTGGTCCCAATTCCTGACAGCCACGGGTTGTATAACACGTTCTTCTCTCCAGCGCCGCTGCCATTTCCTGACTTTCATATTTAACTATTCATTCATCTCAGTAACTCTACCATTGTTTCTTCAAATCACAGCTTAAATACTTCTTCAGAATTGATTCCCAAGAACCCAGGTGTTCATGTGTACAGTAGCTAGTTACTTGTAGTTTTAGGTTTTGCTTGCCTTCTTCACTAGGTTTTTATCTGTGAATATCCCACTCACCTCTACCTATGCTAGTAAGACAAGGTTTTAGGTCAACATGCAGTAGCTAACTATGAAATCTTTGCTAGCCCAATCAATCGTGTCCTCCTTGACCTCTGAGAGGCCCTGGACATGCTTCCGCATCCCTTCCCTGAAGGCCCTCTGGCTGTGCTTCCTAAAGCACACCTCTCTGGACCGCAGCCTCTCGTCCAGCTCTCTCACGGTTCCTGCTCTCCATGGTTCCATCTTTTTCCCTCTGTGCTTACAGTCCAGCACTCCAGGGCACTTTCATCTACACCATCTTCACAGGGAAAACTCTCCCACTCATCTCAGTTTCACCACACACTAGAAAAACCAGTGTTCCACTTCCTCTACAAAGCGGACTGGCCTGATGCTGGGATTTCACAGCTGGGAGGCTCCTCTGGCACTGGCATAGCCACACTTTGGAGTTAAGCTGTATGCTTACAGCAATCAATTACTTATTTACTTTGATAGGCACAGCAACTGAGGGAAAGTTAGAGAAAGCTTTCACTTAGCGGTTCAGTTCTTCCATCCACTGGTTCAGTTCCCAAATGGCTATGACAGCTGGGGCCGGGCCAGGCTAAAGCCAGGAACTCCATGTGGGTTTCCCGTATGGATGCCAGGAACACAAGTATTTAAGCCATTACTTTGTTGCTTCCCACACATATTATCCGGAAGCTGGATTCAAAACGGAATATCTAAGACTTGAATTGGCATTCACATACACGATGTGAGTACTACAGATGATGGTCTAATCCACTTCACCACGCAGCTTGCCTTCTCAATTACTTTTTAAAAGAGCAACAAATAACTTTTCAGAAAAACTGAGAACATACTTTCCACATACTCTCCCTTTCTGACTTTTCCCAATTAAGTGATGCCTTGGCACTGAAGTGGCAACTTTTGTACATTAGGGTTCCCTTTGTGCTGTAAGGTTTGGTGGGAATTTGACTCATTTACAAGCATCTGCTGGCACTGGGAAGAAAAGACTGAACACCCCTTCCACCACTGACAAGCCTCCTTCCAGCACGCACCTAGTGAGCTACCTCAGTCACAGCAAGTCACTTAGCAATCTTCAAGACTAAATCTCATTAATCCGATTTTTTGCCATACCACGCTGTGTTCCTCAACCACCTGCAACAAAAGATGCTCTCTGTGCTTTTTCAATGTACATTCTTTCATTTTCTCATCTCATTATGCTTTGGTTTCTTTATTCCCACCTTGTTTCCTTTCAAAGACTTTCAGGATCCCATCTCAAACCCTCAAATACTAGCTGATAAAAAATACAATAGCCTTGGTTTGTCTTGTCAACATTCTCAACTAAAGTTAGCTGATGCTCTCAACCATGTGGACGCTGGAGTCAGGATGCTGCAGCTAAGATCCTGTGTATTTTCCAGAGACTCCAAGTCCTCTACCCTCATAAAAAATGTCTGGGCCCCGAAGGCTCAGAAAGTTTGGCTACAGCAATTCTTACCTCTCCTTGCTGCACTTATAATAACTTCACTGTTGCTACTCTTTCCTCATGTAACATGTCGGTGCATTTTGGTCATTCTTGGGGCAGACATTTAGCGTAGTAGCTAAGATGCCAGATTCCAGGTTGAAGTGCCTGAGTTCAAACCTGGCCGAGGCTTCCGACCCCAGAATCTTGGTGCTGCAGATCTCAACAGGCAATGGTGAGGGAGGAACTAAATGGGCTCCTGCCACTCACCCGGGAGCCCTGGGCTGAGTTCCCCTTCATGCTCTGGCCTCTCCCAATTCTGCCTGTGGCAGGCACTTGAAGAGCGGGCCAGTGCATGGGAGTGCTCTTACTGTCTGATTAAAAACAAAAAAAACCAGACGTCTTTCTGTCAATCCTGTCATTCTTGGCTATTTTAATGCTAACAACCATCTAAGTAATACCTGGACTTCTCAGTTCACCGTCCCACTTTTGTGATAATCCTCACCCTCTGACTAAATCCTCTACCCTTGTGGCTCACTTTTCTGTTTTAAGCTTTCCCTGAGACGTTCACACCTCCCGAGAGATGCCTTTCTCCTGCTGGAGAGATTGCTTCCGGTTGTTACCACCTTCCCAACTCAGCTCTCACTGCACAGATTGGTACTCTCTCCCAATACCCTGCGGTAACAGGCCCAACCCTGTGAAAAGCCACCTGCCTTGTTTAGTGTGCCTGCACCAAAGCAGCTCAGTATTGCTGGAAGGAAAGAGATCGCACGGAGGCTGTCTGCATCGCTGTCGGACCACGGGGAACACTTTCACCGAGGCCCCCAACACAGGAGACAGGCAGTTCTCCCCTCCCAAGAAGACTATTTCTAACTTTCTGGTAATTTTTAACTGTGTCCTTTCCCTTCATTCTTCATATACATTGAGTCTGCCTTCACTTCAAATTCTTGTCACCAAATCTGCAAAGTTGCATCTTCTTTAATCCCTTAGAAAATGTGGCAGAACAGAATTTGAAAGGACGCAGCTAGGACATTCCAGAAAAGAAGGATGACACCAATTCAGTCTGCAGAAGCCTAGCAAATTTCAAAGAGGACTCAACAACAAACCCATATGCAACATGCCCCAGCGAAAGAAGAAAGAATGTCAGCTAGGCCTGAGCCTCCACTTCCCCTTCCCAATGCATTTCCTAGAAGCTAACAACGGAGTGCACAGAGATTCTCTTCATGCTTTACCTCCATCACTGTTCCCTTCCTCTGTAATAATATCCAGTAGTCTTTCAAAAGCATTTTCAAAAGCAACGATTTTCTGGATTGCTCCATTGCTTCTTGTCAATGCCTGCAGTAGTAAGACACCCTGTGGAGAAGAAAGCCAATGTTTAGCAGAGCCTAACATTTACAAGACATTTAAAAAATACTTTAAGAAATCATGGAACTTCAGGACCTGTGAGAATTTCACAAGTGTAACCCATTCATTTTATATTTGTGAAAAACAGACTGGGAGATTAAGAAATTTGCCTTGGTCTCTCTAACACTACAAATTTCAAAGAGACAGAACCCAGAGCAGAATTCAGGTGAAAAAACTGATTCAGTTTCTCTTTCCATTGTACAATACAAACACACACTTCTTTCACACTCTTCAATCACTACAGTTTATACTGAAGCTGAGAGTTGAACACGATTATATCTGCCTCGGGAAGTCACTACACACGCTTCATAATACCAACAATGGGAAGGCTGTGATTCGGTAACCTAAATCAGCAAACATCACCACAGTCGGGCAAAGAAAGCTCAGGCATCCAGGTCAGTATCTGGCCCCAAATCTTACCCTAAGCCATAGAAGATGAAAATCTACACGCCATGAAAGGCAGATGCAGCATGAGCTGCATTCAGCGTTTGCCTCTTTCAGTTTCATTAGGACCTGTTAAGTTGGGTTTAGGTACACACTTTAAACTTACTTATCAACTAAGAAAAATTCACTTTTCTGCTTATTATGGATTTCTTTTATATATAGCAACAAATACTCAATGAATTCCTAAGTGCCCAATGATAGTGAAAAGCTCCCAAGTCCCAGAGTCCCAGTAGCTCCCGGCTGTCATTACTGCACAGGTATTTATACGAGGCAAAAAGCACCCACAACATTTTTGGGCTTCATCCGTTCATTTTCCTATCAAGTTTCAAAACTTGAGACTTTAAAATTTGAAACTTGAGACAAAGAAAAAGGGAATGTGGTCATTTTTAGATATCCAATTTTCCTGTTTGATGAAGCCAACTTGCACTTAACTGAAAATCTGGCTGTTTTATTTAACAGCTGTACAACATTAAGCAAACTACAAAAATTAATTGTTAGCATACTCATGTGTAAAACAAAGAATAATATATTTCTCAAAATTATTTTTTAAAAGATTTATTTATTTTTATTGGAACGGCAGATCAGATTAACATATGCTAATAGCTATAAGCCAACAGTGAAACACCTAGTACTGAACCAATGGGATTGATTTAAGAGGGTGATGTCTAAAATAAAATAAAATAAAATTGAAAGTTGCTTAAAATAAAAGATATGTCTAAATATTAAAGAATAAAAAAGTCCTTCTTGGAAGGTACATTTCTATATAACTTCATTACCTATAAATAACACTGGAGTAATGCCTACACTACAAAATTTTCCTGGCTCAGTGGGTTACTGGCCTACCCCATGGGCTGCCTGTATCCCATACTACGGTCCTTCATTCAAGTCATGGCTACTGCACCCTCGCACTCCAGCTTTCTGCTAACACACCTTAAAGACAAAGAATAAGGCAGAAACACTGAGTTCCTGCCACCCTTGTGGGGCATTCTGATGGAGTTTCTAGTTTGTGTCCTCAGCATGGTCTAGCCCTGACAGTGTAGGGAAGTGAACCAGCAGATGGATGGAAGATTCCTCCCTGTTGTTCTAACTTAGAAAACCTAAAATTAACAGCAAAAACCTATATGGACTGCAGGTCAACAGCACTTCAGTTGTGAAGATAAAAGTAATGCATATGGCATTTCCTATAGCTTAAGCTGAGAAAGGAATAGAGCAAGCAAGCACAAAGGCAAACAGGAAGAAGACATGACTAACAGAGACTTGACCACTTGATTTTATGGTTCTTGCACTTCCCATTGTAAATACTGATGCTGCAATAGGACCTTGTAGCTAAAACATTTTTAAAAAAGTACTTTCTCCCACTCTGGTGCAGGGTCCTAAAGCCTTGGGCAGTCCTCGACTGCTTTCCCTGGCCACAAGCAGGGAGCTGGATGGGAATTGGGGCGGCCAGGATTAGAACTGGCACCTCTACAGGATCCCAGCACATGCAAAGCAAGGACTTCAGGCACTAGGCTATGTGTCAGACCCCAACTAAACCATTTAAAGAGATTTTTCAGTTGTGATCTAAACATTACAAAGTTGAAATCAAGTTGGAGATAATAGAAGAAAAATGTTCACGAAATAAGACAACATAACATCAATACAAAAATATTCAAGTTTACAAGCAAATATTAAAATAATCCAAAAAGGAAGGTAAATCTATAGCAAATTATGTTTCTAATATTTTGAAATACATAATTAATCCAATAACGGAGAAAATCCCAAATGTGATGCTTCATTAAATTTACACAGTTCAATGTTTGAGGACTTCTCTTTGGGAGGAAAAGGTATTCTGGAGATGGATACAGTTTCCAATACAATCACCCAGAAGGGAGAGGAAGAAATCCTAGATGCACGGAAAGATTATTATTTGAAGAGCAAACATGGCTTGCCTAACCCCAAACACTGAAAGAAATAATCTGGGCTTAAAAAGACTTAAAAGATTGTTAGCATAAGTTTTCAAATATAACTTCTTATGACTTGGAATAAGGGTCAAAATTATTTCATTTGCAAAGAAGATAGTTACACATTGCTAGATTTCGTTTTCATATTTAACTTACATCATTTCGTATAACTTCCCTGGAATCTGCCAGTAAGTCCATCAGCCTTGAAACACCTGGAACACACAACTATGTCAAAACTACTAGCAGATCAGAAACAAATGATCCAAATGAGAAATGATTTATTATCACAGCACTCATTCCAGTCTCCTTCTCTAAGACATATTCCTCATGTTTAAAATGAAAATGATAAAATATGTTACTTACCCATGGGGCTAACCAAAATAATCTGTTGCACCTGCGGTCCTAATTGTTTTAAAAGTGAAGTCAGAAGCTTCACACCAGGCCACCGGACATGGAAATCAAACTCCTGAAATATAAGAATATGAAACAGTTACTTCATATTTTTAAGAAAACTACAATTAAAAAAAAGAAGTTAAAAAAAACTACAACTTAAGAAATAAAAGCAACACAAGGAAAATTTGACTCAGGTGGCATAAATGGGATAAAACAGCATTGTGTAAAATAGAAGTGGACAGTACTTTAACATACTAGATCGTTTTTAAAACACGGAAGTTGATCTCTTGCTATGATACAACAAATTTCACTATCTTTAAGAGAATGTTCATGTTGCTTCTTTATTAACACTCAAAAGGCAATACTAAGCTTATTAAGATGACAAAAATAACCGACGTTCTCCATTTACCTCGAGTAAAGATAACAGGAGGGTGACATTTTCATGCTGCTTAATGAAAATCTCGGTAAACTGGCTCCCCAAATCCTCACTCTGTCTTGTGGAATTCTCTTCTGTAATATTGAAAGATAAGCACTTTAATGTGATGCCATGTTATTTAAAGCCATCCTTTCATTGAAAGTTGAGAAGAAATGAGACCATTTTCCTGGTATCCAAATAATTCAATAATGGAATATTGTGGCTAGTACCAATATCACAGTGACAATGTTAGCTTCTACGCTTAAAATAATTTCTGGTGCAATTTACATATTTTTATTCTTCAAATGTTTAAGTATGGTATCTGAAGAAAAATATGTTCTCTCAAGGACAGAGCGAGTTAAATGTCTGTTACGGCATAAGGACACTACTTGGGATGATGGGAATGCTTAATCGTAAATACAGCAGTAGTTACACAATTGTACACTTCTGTCCAAACTCGCAGGAATACACAACTTCAAAGAAGAAATTCTATCGTATTTGAATGATTATCTAAAACTCCAACAGGCCTGGTTGATTGTGCTACTATAAAAATAATTAAGGTGTAACATTAAACCAATAATCTGAAGAATCCTTGGTGTCTTTTAAAAATATATACTACAGGGCCCGGCGCGGTGGCGCAAGTGGTTAAAGGTCCTTGCCTTGCACACCTGGGATCCCATATGGGCGCCGGTTCTAATCCCGGCAGCCCCGCTTCCCTTCCAGCTCCCTGCCTGTGGCCCGGGAAAGCAGTCGAGGCTGGCCCAAAGCTTTGGGAACCTGCACCCGCGTGGGAGACCCGGAAGAGGCTCCTGGCTTCGGCTCGGCATAGTATTGGTCCGTTGCGCTCACTTGGGGAGTGACTCATCGGACGGAGGCTCTTCCTCTCTGTCTCTCCTCTCTGTATATCCGCCTTTCCAATGAAAAAATAATAAAAATAAATCTTTAAAAAATATATATATATATATATATTACAGGGTCTGGTGCGGTGGCCTAGTGGCCAAAGCCCTTGCCTTGGCCTTGAATGCGCCAGGATCCCATATGGGCACCAGTTCTAATCCTGGTAGTCCCGTTTCCCATCTAGCTCCCTGCTTGTGACCTGGAAAAGCAGTGGAGGATGGTCCAAAGTCTTGGGACCCTGCAATCACATGGGAGACCTGGAAGAGGCTTCAGATTGGCTGAGCGCTGACAGTTGCGGTCAGCTGGGGAATGAACCATCAGATGAAAGACCTTCCTCTCTGTCTCTCCTCCTCTCTATAAATCTGACTTTGCAATAAAAACAAATAAATCTTCAAAATAAATAAATAAAAAATAACAATATATACTATATAACTATGCAGCAAATGTCCAACTCAGATGTGAACATTTCTAAGTTATTTAAAAGATTTTCTATTTGCCCTTAAAGCTTAAGCCTTTAAGCCAAACTGCAGTACCCGCTGTTTCTATATACTGTGTAAAAACATGTAAAGAACCACTGAAAATGGAAGCGACAAATATAAGATCAAATCAGCATTTAACATCTTCCCACATCACAAACTCAATTTAGAGGGAAATTCACCTAACCCCCATTCCCTCCCTCACACCAAACACAGCTCATTAGTCATGCTATCCTGTTCGAATATGAACCCTTATTGACCTGCTGCTCCAAGCAGTAATTATAAACTGATGTAGATATCAGTAAAGATCAATCCTGTTTACTATATCCCAGAATTTTAAAATGAGATTAATACTAACGTAACATAGAAATGAAAAAAGAAACACATCAGCAGTTGACTGAAAAAGTAAAGCAGGGCCCGGCCCAATAGTATAGTGGTTAAAGTCCTTGCCTTGCATGCACTGGGATCCCATGTGGGCGCCAGTTCTAATCCCGGAGGTCCCGCTTCCCATCCAGCTCCCTGCTTGTGGCCTGGGAAAGCAGTTCAGGATGGCCCAAAGCCTTGGGACCCTGCACCCGTGTGGGAGATCCAGAAGAGCTCCTGGCTTCAGATTGGCTTAGCTCTAGCTGTTGTGGTCCTTTGGGGAGTGAATCATTGGATGGGAGATTTTCCTGTCTGTCTCTCCTCCCCTGTTTATATCCACTTTTCCAATAAAAATAAATAAGTCTTAAAAAAAAAAAAGCAATCTAACAGCAACAGTGATAATCCCATCAAATTATGTGTAGAGGAACTACAGCAAAGAAAACCAACAATAGAAATGCTTTTGAATATTAACTGCTCAATGACGCTAGGCAAACCTTTTAGAAACTAAAAAACATTTCTCTTAATCACCTTAGAACTATTACTATTCAAACAACACTTTTTCTTTTTTAAAAGATTTATTTTTATTGCAAAGTCAGATATACAGAGAAAATGATAGAGAGGAAGATCTTCTGTTGTTGGTTTATTTCCCATGTGGCTGAGCTGAGCCGATCTGAAGCTAGGAAGCAGAAGCCTCTTTCAGGTATCCCACACAGGTGCAGGGTCCCAAGGCTTTGGGCCATCCTCGACTGCTTTCCCAGGCCACAAGCAGAGAGCTGGATGGGAAGCGGGGCTGCCGATATTAGAACCGGCACCCATGTGGGATCCCGGTGCATGCAAGGCAAGGACTTTAGAGACTAGGCTACCATGCTGGGCTCAACACTTCAGTTTTAAAAGCATTACTGGGCACTATGCTGATAATAGCAGAGAAAGTGAAATAGAGCAATAGGTCAGGAGGCAAGTAGCCAAGTAAGAGATAAAGGCCGTTTTGATCTTAAGGGTCACAATTTTTGTGAAAGCAGTGAACAGTACTTACTGACATACTGTATAGGAAGGTAGAAAAAAAAGGAAGAGTTGACACCAAGGTTTTAGCCTAAAGATCTAGAAGGATGGAGTTCGCCTTTACTGAAAAAGGAAACAGTGGGAAATGCAAAATTCAAGTACAGGAAGAATCCTAAGCTTTGGACATGTTAAGACTGAACACCTTGCAAACACCCATGGCTGATACCAAGGAAGCTGGTGGAAGACACAAGCACAGATGTGTCTGGAGAGGTCTGGGCTGGATGCACACACATCAGAGTGGTGAACATGTAGATGGTATTGTTTTGGAAACTGACCTCCAGGGACAGGAGGTCACTCCAAAGGGCACCAGTTTGGATCACTCGTAATGCCTGGGCCTCGATCAAATCTTCTCTGGAGTTTATACAGAGCAGTGGCTGAGCTGCTCTCAGCACTTGGGGGGTGGGGCAAGCAAGTGGGGTGCAGAGCAAATGCACAGTGGGGGGCTTCTATGCCATCACAGTCCTGGGGACTTCCTGAGTTGTCCCAGTCAGCTTCTCCTTATCTCCTTTCTTCTCTTTACCCGACTCTGCCCCTGTGAAGCCTGGGGTCTTGCCATGTGATCTGTGTCCTGCGTGAGAGCTTGCTTTTTACCTACATGCAGACTGGTTTCCACTTCAGTACTGAAAGTAATAAGACTGGAAGACCACAGGCAACTGCAAGAAACTTACAGCCACCAGCATCCTGTGGTACTGTGGTCATAAAGCCTGCAGAGGCCAGAGACGGGGTGCTCTCTGTCCCCTGAAGATGCCCAGAGGTCAGTTTCCATGCAACACATGTCTTCAACATCCAGGAGCCTAAGTCATGGGGGAGAAAAATCTATGGCCCTGCGAGGGTATGCGTGCTATGTCTCAGGGCATAGCAGACACAGTAATGAAAAATCACATTGTTTGCTTCTCCCCGCATATGGCCAACAAACAGATATGAGCATCTAATGTACCCTCTCTTGCAATTAGTGAGGCAAACCTGTTAGTAATTGTCTATAGCACTTTAGTTTCTAGTGAAGCATTCCTTGACTTACAATGAGGTTGATAATCCCGCTCAAATCTGCATTGTCTGAACCTAATTCAATGCATGCACTCCTGTTAGCCGAAGAGCAAGAGCCTTAAGCAAGCCCAGGCTCGCAGAAGAGCCAGCTTAGGCAACTGAAGGCTGCTTCCGTAGTTCAAACTCTGATTTAATTAGCTCAACAAATTTCAACTTTGACTTTCCAGCCAGACTTTGATTTTTCATCTCAATACTTAATCTTGCAAGGAAGCAAGAATGCCCTCTCTTCCAGTTCTAATCACATTGTATTAGAGATCCCAGTCATTTCTGTATGGCAAGAAGAAAGAAAAGGGACTAAAGCTGGAAAGGAAGAAGTAAAACTATTCACTCATAAATGACCTGTTTCTCTGTGAAAATTCTGTAGATCCAGCTTGCGTTCTGGCTGCTCTGTTTCCCACCCGCTTCTTGTTACTACACCTAAGAAGGCAATGGATTATGACCCAAGTGCCACCAGCATGTCAGACCAGAATCAAGTTTCTGGCTTCAGCCCATCCATGCTTGGCTGTTGAGGTAAGACCGGGGTGAGCCAGAACAGGGAAAATCTTCCTTGCTCTTTTTCTGACTCTCTGCCTTTGAAATAGACAAATCTTTAAAAAACACATCCAGAAATAGGCCTATTTACTAAAATGGATTATAAATCTAACTGTAAAGCTAGAAACTGACTATAAGACTGTTAGCATCTAACTTTCAAAAGAAAACATAGGATATCTAAAAAATCTTAGATTGGGCAAAAGACTCATAAGTGACACAAAAAATCTAAATTATAAAACAAAAAAACCTCATCAAGAATTTTAACTTTTGTTCCTTAAAAGAAAATGTCACAGAATGAGAAAAGTTAATTGTGAACTACATATTACAAAGGACATGGACCTAGAACATAAAAAGAACATTACAACACAAGTATATGTCAAACACCCATTAAAAAAAAGGGCCAGGAAAGATCTTAATAAACATGTTACACACACAAACCCACAAAGATACACAGTGGCAAACAAACAAACAAACAAAATCAAATGAGAAGTTAGCAACTCTTGCACAAGGGACATGAATATTCAAACTATGAGACCCTTGTACTTTGACCATTACAAATCAACAAGGATGACTAAAAGTTTACCAAACAAAAACAAACAAACAAAAAGAATGGATCATACCAACACCAGGTGGGATAGTTCATTGGCTAGTCCTTGCCTTGAATCAGCCAGGATCACCTATGGGTGCTGGTTCAAGTGTGGGCTGCTCCACTTCCCATCCAGCTCTAGGCTGTGGCATAGAAAAGCAGCAGCAGATGACAGAAAGCCTTGGGACCGTGTGCCCATGTGGGAGGCCCAGAGGAAGCTCCTGGCTCCTGATCAGCTCAGCTCTGGCTGTTTTGGCAACTTGGGGGGTGAACCAGTGGGTGGAGGATCTTTCTGTCTCTCTCTCTGTGGATCTGCCTTTCCAACAAAATAAATACATCTTAAAAAAAAAGAAAAAAGAATTGACCATACTAAATGTGGGAAAGAATGTGCACAAAATGGTATTGCTGTTTTAAAAACAGTGTAGAAATCATACAAAGTTTGGAAAGAGTTTGGAAAATCATATATCCGTACTATATCATGAACCTTTCTATTCCCTGGCATTTAGTGAACAGAAATGAACATGTATTTAATCATTAACTGTGCATGAATGTTTACTGTGTTTATAAATAGAACACAAAAGCTTAATTAAAAAATGAAAAACTGATAAAATCAGGTTAATAAAAATGTAATAGTCCAATCTGGAAACAACCTCATAAATACTCAGAAAACTGGAGAACAGAGTTAAAATGGTTATATATTCACACAAACCTATCATCTAATATATAAAGAAATGGAGTGCTTATATATAATACAGATAAAAAATACACTGAGTGAAAAAACTCCCCACACTCTCAAAGTGCAATTATATGACCTCATTTATGTAAGTTTCTAAAAAATACAAACTAAAAACAGGTTTATGACTAAGTAGAGTCAAAATGAAAAAGGATATATTACAAACAAGCATAAGATCCTTTGGATGGGTTCACTGTTTTGAGGTTGAAGAGAAGGTTTCAAGGAGAAACAAACGGCTAACAGAGAATGCTGACAGGTTGAATGGGTAATTGAGCCTAACACGACGAAGGTGTAACGCAGATACCTTCCTGGGCGGCACTAACTGGAGAAGATCACAAAGATTTTTGAGTAAAACTACTTAGTAGTCATGCTACTTTGGGCAAACGCCAAAATATATCAAACCTCAATCTCCTTATTTGTGAAATAGGGGCAGTGTTTGTAACACAGGCTTTTCTGTGAGGATTAAAAATAAGTGAATCATCTGGCACAGTGCCTGGTTAATGATCTGTTCAACAATATCACCACCATCCCTAGATAGATTTTTTCTTTGACTAGTTTTTTTTTTATTTTATTGGAAAGGCAAATTTATAGAAAGAAGGAGAGACACAGAGAAAGCCCTTCCACCTATTTGCTGCTTCACTCTCCAAATGTCCACAGGAGTTGGAGCTGGGTCGTTCAGAAACCAGGAGCTTCCTCCAGGTTGGCCACACTTTGGCAGTCCTCTGCTGCTTTCCGAGGCCGTAAGCAGGGAGTTGGATGGGAAGTGGAGCAGCTGAGATTAGAATCATATGGGATACTGCACTTGCAAGTGAAGGATTAGCCAACTGAGCCATCAGACCAGCCCCCAGTCAGAATTTCTTAAATCTGACACTGCTGAGACTTCAGGCCATACACATCTCTGTGGGAAGCTCCTTGTGCATTGTGGAATGTTTAGGAACAACTCTAGTCTTCACCCCTAAAAGACAGCTGCAGAACTGTTCTAATAATTATTTTTGACAATTTAAAAAATGCCTCTAATAATGGTCAAATACGCCAGGGATGGTAGAGGTAGGGGATACATTACCGTCAGTTGGGAACCACAGTCTAAGATACACAGCATAAGCTGCATGTTTACACTAAGCTTTCAAATTCAGAACTGAACAATCTTCTTTGGATGATTCAGTGAAAAACTTGGACTCTTGCAAGGTTACCATCAGTATGTGGTATCACTGGGGCTGGCGTTGTGGTGCAGTATATTAAACCACTGCTTGCAATACTGGCATCCCATATAGGAGTGGTGGTTTGATTTCTGGCATTTCCACTTCAGATTCAACTTCCTCCTAATGCACCTGGGAAAACAGGAGATGTACCGCTCACACGGCAGACCTGAATGGAACTCCATGCTCCAAACTTGGGCCAGGCATTTCAATCCTGGCCCGTTCTGGCGTAAACCAGCAGATGGGAGACCTCTAGTATTCTATCAAGTAAATAAAAGTTATTTATTTAAAAATAAGAATTATCAGAACTGGTATGGTAGCCTAGCGGCTAAAGTGCTCCCCTTGCATGCGCCGGGATCTCATATAAATGCAACATGGTTACTCCAATTCCATATGGCTACTCTACTTCCCTTCCAGCTCCCTGCTTGTGGTATGAGAAAGCAGTGAAGGATGGCCCAAAGCTTTGGAACTTTGCACCTATGTAGGAGACCCAAATGAAGCTCCTGGCTCCCGGCTTCTAATTGGCTCTGCTTCAGCTGTTGTAGCTACTTGGGGAGTGGACCAGAGGATAGAAGATCTTTCCGTCTAACCTTCTCTCTCTAAGTCTGACTTTCCAATAAAAAATAAATCTTAAAATAAAAAGGGGAGGGGGCCCGGCGCGGTGGCGCAAGTGGTTAAGGTCCTCGCCTTGCACGCCCAGGATCCCATATGGGCACGGGTTCTAATCCCGGCAGCCCCGCTTCCCTTCCAGCTCCCTGCCTGTGGCCTGGGAAAGCAGTCGAGGCCGGCCCAAGGTTTTGGGACCCTGCACCCGTGTGGGAGACCCAGAAGAGGCTCCTGGCTTCGGATCGGCATAGCATCGGCCGTTGCGCTCACTTGGGGAGTGAATCATCGGACGGAAGATCTTCCTCTCTGTCTCTCCTCTCTGTATATCCGCCTTTCCAATAAAAAATAAATAAATAAATCTTTAAAAATAAATAAATAAATAAAAAGGGGAGGGTGCCGTGGTGCACCAGCCTAGTGGCTAAAGTTTTTTTGCCTTGCATCTGCCAGGTTCACATATGGGCACAGGTTCCAATCCCAGCTGCTCCAGTTCCCACCCAGCTCTGTGCTTGTGGACAGGGAAAGCAGTTGAGGACAGCCCAAACCCTTGGGATGCTGCACCAGCGTGGTAGACTTGGAAGAAGCTCCTGGTTCCTGGTTCCTGGCTTGGGATTGGCTGAGCCTGACATTTGCGGCAACTTGGGGAGTAAATCATCAGATGGAAGATCTTCCTCTCTGTTTCTCCTCTCTGTAAATCTGACTTTCCAATAAAAATAAGTAAATCTTTTTAAAAAAATTATCACTAAGAATGCAAATGTATAAAAATATATCCTATGACACTTCCAGAAGCTGATCTGTAAACAAATCTTGACAGTAATATTTTATATTACTTTATTTCTTTCTCATTTCTTTCTTACATGCAATCTACCCCAAAAGTAGTTTTTGAGTGTCCTGAATTCTAAATAAAAATAAACACACTGCAGTCTCTAAACATCGGTAAACTATTGCTTTTTTTGTCCTAATGTTTCATTTCTTTTTAAAGATTTATTTACCTTTATTGGAAAGGCAGGTATAAAAAGAGGATGAGAGACAGGAAGATCTTTCATCCAATCTCATGATTTACTCCCCAAGAGGCTGGAAAGGCCCAAAGCCATGAGTCAGGAGCATCTTCTGGGTCTCCCATGTAGGTAGGTGCATAGTCCCAAGGCTTTGGGCCATCCTCGACTGCTTTTGCAGGCCACAAGCAGGGAGCTGGATGGGAAGCAGGACCTCCAGGATTAAAACTGGTGTCCACATGGTATCCTGGTGAATGCAAGGCTAGGACTCCAGCCTCTAGCCACCATGCCAGGCCCCTGATGTCTCATTTTCTAGGTTAGCCATTGCTTCAGAAGAAACGCTTAGGAGAGTAGCCATTATTTCTATTTTAAGGAAACAATGTGGAGGAGATGACAGAATGAAACAAAACCCCAAAGACTGCATTTCAAACCTATCATCATGTTACTGTACGATCATCGGTATGTTGGGAACATTAAGCTAAGGTAGCAGAAGCTTGAATAAAACGAAGCCTAACATTTAGACACAACTGGAACGGTCTCAGGGGACAGCCTCTGTAATGCATCTGCACAGATCTTCTGTTATTCCTCTGGGAGTTGATAACATTGTGTCTTAATTATGTGCACACCCTAAACATAAAACATTACTAGGCAAATTATGATTTTCAAAGTTCAAGGGAGCATTTATGAGTGGATCTGATAAAATCCCCTCAAGTAGAGCAAGAAAAACTATATATCCTTCTCATTGGATTTGCAAGTTGGTATGATAATGTAAAGAACTGTGAAGAAATTAGAAAAGATAACGAAATTTGTGAACTGATAGAATCCTTTTGAAAATTTTTCCCCTTTAAAAAATTATAAATAGGAATGCTGAGTACCAGAAAATTCGGTGGGTTGATGGCAATATCTTTTTAAAGGTTTATTTATTTATCTGAAAGGCAGAGTTACACACAGAGAAAGAAGAATCTTTCATCTCTGATTCGTTCTCCCCAAATGGTTTCTTCTAGTCTCCTGTGTTGAGTGGCACCTGGAGCACAAGCCCTTTGGCCATTTCTGTTTCCTTCCCGGGCCAACTGCAGAAAGCATTAGTGCAGCCAAGATCTGGACAGGGGCCCGAATGGCATGGCAGCCCTGCAGGCAGTGGCTGCACTTGCTAGCCACAATGCTGGCCCCGAGTCTACCTTTCCTTATGCCACTGCAATGAAAATGATGGCTATACGAGAAATGATAAATACTTAGATAATTCTAATGGAATTCTATATATTAATACACATACATATGTAACAAAACCAAACAAAAAGTGGCTCATTGACAATATATATGTCAGATGAATCCTCTCCAAATACATGAGAGATCTTTGTTCAAAAGACAAGAAACATACTCTGCCATTTAGAATGGTCTTCACCCAGAAAACTAGCATCCCAGCAACATGCTGGCCTTATTGTGGGGCACTGTGGAGCTCTTCTGCTTTGGCATATATTCATGTTTGGTGAATGATATTTGTGTGCACAATCATGTTTTCAAAAATTATTTATAATTTTTTGTTTTTACTTTGCTGTAATAGAAAATGTGAGCAGTGATGGAAGAGAGGAAAGCAGGCTAAAACTAAAACAGGGCAGATGGACAGGACGTGTCCCAAGGGCAGCAACACAGCGATTCAGCTCCAGATGGGTATGCCGGCCCAGGTCGTGCCCGTCTTCACATTTTAAAAAAAGTGAGGTCTCAAATACAGAAAGTAATGTGAAAGTTCCCAGCTTATAATACCAGCAACTATTCAAATTCCCAAGAGGGCTGGTGATGTATAGCATAGCACATTAAAAAAACCAATGCAATACCAGCATTCCACACCAAAGAGACCACTGGAGTCCTGGCTGCTCTGCTTCTCAGCTGGTTCCCTGAACTTGGCCTCAGGAAACAGCAGTAGATGGCCCGAGTGTGAGGGTCCTTCCTACCCACCTGGGAGACCCAGAGTTCCTGGCTCTTGCATTTGGCCTGTAACTGCCTGAGGCAAGGTGGCCATTTAGGAAGTAAAACAGGATGGTGGATATTTCTCTGTTACTCTTCCATTCCAATAAATGTATTTTAGAACTGGTCAAACAATTTTGCCGAGAAAATGCTTGGGTCAAAAGTTTGTTACCTCTTGAGAGAAGTTCAGAATAAGATCCATTTGCTTGAGGGGGAAATACTAAAAATTGAAAGCTAATCCAAAAAGGAAGTAGAAAACACAGACAAACTTGATGGCTTTTTCCTGTTTCTGAAAACGAGGTCAGGGCTGTTTCCTGCTTCAAAGAGACAAGAGTTGATGTCAAGAAGTCAGGTTTATTCCAGAGGTCAGACAGGAAGCCAGGCAGCAGGACTGAGATGGGCTCTCCAGGTGGGACGCCAGCTTTACAGCAGGTGACTTAATGTGCTGCTTCTGGCTAGCATTTTCAAAATGCAAGACAGTGTGACATGTTAACAGGCATGTGGTAAAAAGCAAAGGCCTACAGACAAATATATTAGGATTAAAGAAAGGTGAACAGGCTTCCTCACTATGGGTGTCTCAATGACTATTTTACAAATACAAGTGCTAAAACGCTCTAAAGAGGAATATAAATATTCTAGGTATATCGTGATTATTTAAGGAATGCAGGCTTAATATCATAAAAGGTTTAACTGCTGGCATTGGTACAAACTAATAACTTGGCAGGAAGCTGAGTCAGTATCTTTAATTTATTCTGTAGTTATACCATTTAAATACTGCAGCTTATCACTATATAATAAAAATCTACATTTTGAATTGAACCACTAAAATATAGTCCTGTTTCAAAGACCAAGAGTTCGTTTGGTTTAACACTCTCAATTTTAACAAGTGTTAACCAGGTACACTTCACTTCTTTTGAAAAGTTGTAGATTACAGTAACAGCGCTTCTGATTTTTAATGATGTTCTCCAAATTAGCTGAGCAATTGAGAGACAAGACAAAGTTTTCAGGACAGCAGTAAATTATGCTAAAGCAACTACACTACTTACATCTAAAACCTGTAAACCACGCCTTACACCATGAAGAATTACCTCTACTGCATAAGCACCAGAGTGGTAAAAGCACCGTCTCTCACCTACTATACTTCATTTATGAGTATGAGAAGTGAGATTCCTCTTTCTACAACCTTAAGTGTGAACTTAACGGTAATCTGTGTTAAGACTCTCTCTTGGACAACAGAGAAAACACCAAGCGGCCTCTGTACCGCAACTAGACGGCCTGGCGGAAGAACCTCAAGGCCTGCTCAGGGGCTCAACACCATCCCAGGGGAAGCCACGGGACTTTTTTAATGTGCCATGTAACCCAACTTTTGTCTTCCTCATTTAGAAAAATTGAGTATCTCAGGAAAATAAAGTATCAATAAAACAAAATAATACCTTGTTACTTTCAATAAGAAACTCAATGTTAAAAGAAAACCGAAACATATCAAAGAAAATATCAATGAGTTCTATGATTTAAACTAATAAACATCAGTTAGACATTACTGTGTATGCACTATTTTAAAGGGACAATATCAATAGGCAGATATTTTTCAATTGGAATACTTTCCAGGTCTTCTGCAATACATGTTTTACATGTGCATATAATGTGCATTATATGTATACAGTATACACACATACATATGTCTATATACACACATACCTGTGTACATATTCAAATATTGTCAGCTATCTAAAAATTTTTCCAGGGTGTACACATAAGACAATTGACTAAACTGTCCTATGAAAGTTTTAATTTTATTGAAAGATACCTGGGGATACTTCTTGTGTTCTGAACAAACACATTTAGTAGCCATTAAAATAAAAACTATAAATTATACACCTCTTTTGTCAATCAAAATAAATATCATGACAGCATCCTTTTATATTTCAAGAAATCATGCCTAAAAACATCATGCATATGTAAATGCAACCTTTTACCTTCAACATCATCTGAAAAGGTAGACAAAATAAAAGTGGGTGATGAAGAAAATTGTTTTTATGCAATAATAACATAATTACATAAAATATTAAATCAGCAATTTAAGTCAAACAACAGAGATGTCCTAAAAGAAACACAGTGTGTGTTGTACTTTTACAACTATCAGACAGATCTATCAGGAAAACGTTACCAAATCTCAAGGTAAAGAACTCTAAAATGGGGCTTTTGGGGGGTCAGCTTAAAATCAACTTCTGATGAGTCAGTAAAGAATCAACACCAGAACTGAAAGAAACAAACCAACTCAGGCATCGAAGTGTTCTATGTCCAACAATGTCTTTTTTCCACAGGTAAAATAATGTTTATCCACATAATCTACTTTAAAAAAAATGTTATTTTAGTTGATGTTCATCTAGTCAGCAAGGCCGGGAAGGATCTAAGCTTAGGGAGAAGGTGTGATCGTTGTTTCCAAGCTTTCTATTTCTTTTTCCCATTTCTTGGGGAGAGGGGGGAGAAAGGTGGATAGGTCATACCCAGGTGCCAACCAACACAATCTACTTTTAATTGTTTCTAATACTACTTTTATTTGACTAAAAATATGAGCCAGATCAATATAATCTGTTTACTAATCTGTCAACTCAGAATTTCACAAGTTCACATATCAGTCTGTGTTGGGTTTATAAAGTAGATGACTACGCCCTTCCTTCTCATTTTCTACAATAATGGAAAAGCCAATAAGTCCCACTGTGACAGCCTATTTGACATGAGAAATACACTCAACGGCACTGTGCAATGCTGTTTACTGCCTCGTGCCTGCCGTACAAAGCACAAAATGAATACAGACTTCAATCAAGCACATCCCATAGTGACAATAAAGTAGATGACAGACCATCTTATTTTAAGGATCTTGAAACAAAAGGGAAAGGAGGCTGTGCTCAAGAAATGGGTGGTTTCAAACTGATTCATGTTATCTCACACTGAACAAAGCAAATGGCAAAAACTATTCGGAACTTAATAAACTGTTCCTCTTTGTGATGCAGGTCCTTTGAAGAAAGTATAAAGGCTTATTAGGGAAATAAAAATCCTGTAACTTTGTACTGCTCATCAAGTAATAACATTTACATAAAAAGCTAATCAAGATGTAGCCCAAAATGATTATTTAGCCCAGAAGTAGCTAATAACCATATTGCTCAGTTAAATCCAAAGAGGTTTAAGGTGATAAAGTAACATACAAAGAAAGCATCCTAAAGATACTGTTCTTGGACTATGGCTATCTTCACTGATGTAAAAAACAAACAAATAAATAAATAAATAAAAGAAAGAAAAAATCTTTTAAGCATATTTATAAAATAAAATAAAACCAACTTTAAAACCAGGAAGAATAGTACAATCCAGTTAATATTACGCACAGGAAGCACAGTAAAAATAACCAGAAACTTACCTACTTCTTCTTCTTCCTCATTAGATATTATATTATATAGTGTATCCAAAGCATAACCTATGATTTCTGAATCCGAACTAGAAAAAAGAAATTATTATACTTATACACTGCTAAGTAGAGTATAAACTGTTACAACCATTTTTTAGTTACTAGTAAGAACATATGACCCATTAATTCTATTTCTAAAAATCAACTCTAAGAAGACACAGATACAGAGTGCAAACAACAAAACTGTGTAAAAGCTTATTTATAATCCATGCATGCATTTTATAATATGCATCTTCCATTAAGTTAAGGTAACTTGTTGTTATTCCTCTTTTCTTATCATGCCCAGGTACACCTGGTGGACATGACAGCCCACTGATGTCTTCCAAACGATGTCTTCTGGCAGAGGATGGAGGACAGAACAAACTGGGCAACAGCAAGCACCTGGGGCAGGGGAGACTCTAAGGCGGACCTGGTCAGCCAATGGACCTTGGCAGGGATTTCCTCATCCTTGCAGCAACAAGATCAACAGCTTCTCAGAACTACTAAAACCACTTCAGCAGTGCCCTCGGAACATGCTCCACCTTGGGGATCCTAGGATGACATCAAGCATCCATCCCCCATCTCCTTTCTCTTCATCCCTCTCCCAGACACAGGAAGAAAAAAACCGGAAGCAACTATCTCATCCACTTTTCCCCATACATCGATCCTCCCTACCCTCATCAGCGGTCCACTTGCACATGGGCATACATCCTTCTCAACTATACAAACATCAAAACAAAACAAAATTTATAAAAAAAAATTCTACTTTCCAAACTTATTAAAAACATGTACTTATTTTTATTGGAAAGTCAGAATCACAGAGAGAAGGAGAGACGGGGAGAAACATCTTCCATTAGTTGGTCCACTCCCCAAGTGACTGCAACAGCTGATGCTGAGCTGATCCGAAGCCAGGAGCTTCCTCCTGGCCTCCCTTGCGAGTGCCGAGTCCTAAGGCTTTGGGCCATCCTTCACTGCTTTCCCAAGCCACAAGCAAGGTGCTGGGACGCAAGTGGAGCAGCCAGGACATGAATAGTGCCCTTATTGGACCCTGGTATATTCAAGGTGAGAATTTAACCACTGAGCCATTGCACCAGGCCCTTCCACAAACTTAAGATAACTGAATCCAAAAATTAATGGACCATAGAATGCTATTTAGAAACATGTATGTGAGTTTGTACATATATGTGTGTGCCTTTATATATATATATTTAAATTATAAATGTGTAAAAGAAACTCAACTTTATGAATAGGAAAATGAGCACAACCAGTTATTTCTCTGTGTGCATGAGTTCATGTTTTATCTGTATATATGCTTTAACAACATACACACGTTATCTCTATTTGGACTACCGGAGCTTGTATCCCTTTGACACCTGCTATTCTTTTAAAAAGAATTGCATGATAAATATGTACTATTTATAAAATCAGGTATGATACCATTTCACATTTGTTAACAAATTTTGAAGCCATGTAGAATGGTGAAGGTATGGTGGAGAAGTAAAAGTGAAATCAGCTGTCTCCAAGATTCAGTGAATACAGAAACGTAACCAAGAGTGACAAATGAGAGCAAACATGAAAGACCAAAGGGAATTCCAATCAGATAATGCAAAAATCAAAAGTGAATTAAAAAAAAATGCTTTTTGAATTTTGAGAAACAAAAACACAAGGGCACACTGTATGAGGCTAATAAAACTCTAAAGCCAGAAGTCACTTCCTCAACACACTGGAGAACATCCCAGAGCTAACACGCACAGTGGTAACTGGATCCTGCCCCCAGGACCAGGAATAAAGGTCAGCTCTCTACAGCACTGAACCGGAGGTTCTGACCAGCACAACACACAGGAGATGAACTCAGTTACACGGACTAGGGAGAACAAAATAAAAACCACAGTTATTTAGAGATGATAATTTTATATACAGAAACTCTTGCGCAAAATTATTGAACAAATTCATCAAACCAGAGACAAGCTCTACAAAATCCAATTTTCTGAACAACCAGAAAATAAAATCAGAGCTCAAGTAGCATCGAAAAGGTGAAAGAACACGGGAATACAGTTTACCCAGTAAGTAAAAGACTTTAACTAAAAAAATTATTGAAAGAAATGATCCAAATTGTGCAAACGAAAAGCTATCTGTTCAGAGGAAGAGGTAATAATGTTAAAAAAAAAATACACCTTGCTACATATTCTTGTAACAACACGGGGGAAACCAGGTGGGGGGGGGAATACGGGGAGGGTCTAAGGGAAATCCCAGAGGCCATGGAGTTACAGCGTAACATTAAAAATAAAATAGCAGAAAAAAATGAGGGAATTTTAAGAAAATATACCCTGGCTTATAATAGATTCGATACAAATCCTATCAAATTCATAGATGCCTATTTATTTATTTATTTGTTTGCAGAAATCGTTGAGTTCATCCTGAAAGTGTCACAGGAATGCCAGGGATCCAGAACAGCCACAATAAACAACGACAAAGGTGAGGGAACCACACATTCTGAGTTCAGAACTGTGAGGCGGGGTAATAAAGAAACAAACCAACAGTGAGGGAAGGAAGATCCCGCCCCAGCACACACTGACTGCACTTGGTCTGCAGCAAGGAGACCGAGGACCTCCCCAGGGAAGCAGTCTCCAGCAGACCGCACAGGGTCAGCGGAGGCAAGACGGAAGCTGAGCGTCGCCTCCACCACAAGCAAAAATGAATTTGGGTAAAGCACATGAAGAACTTAGAAAGCTTCAGGAAAAACCAGACACTAATATTCAAAACTCTGGAACAGACAATGCTCTTTTAGACAGGATACCAAAAGTGCAATCAAAGAGACAGGAGAGGATCATCAAAAAGTTGGTGAAAAATGTGTATTTTTTAAAGATTTATTTTATTATTTATTGTTACTACAATTCAGATATATATAGAGAGGAGGAAAGACAGAGAGAAATATCTTCCATCCGATGATTCACTCCCCAAGTGACCGCAACAGCTGGCGCTGCGCCAATCCGAAACCAGGAACCCAGATCCTCTTCTGGGTCTCCCACTTGGGTGCAGAGTCCCAAGGTTTTGGGTTGTCCTTGACTGCTTTCCCGGGCCACAAGCAGGGAGCTGGATAGGAGGCAGGGCCTCCGGAATAAGAACCAGCACCCATATGGGATCCCGGTGCATTTAAGGTAAGGACTTTAACTACTACGCTATTGCACCGTGCCTCCCCCCCCTTAGCTTAAGGCAGCTGCAGTATGGTGGGATTGATGGCATACAAATTCTGAGATTAAGTCACAGAAAGCCTTGTGGCTTTCTCACTTCTCTCTCTGGAACTGCTGCAATGTCATGAGGATGCTCCAAGCCTGAGGAGGAAGACCCAATCAGGTTTTCAGATGGCTACAGTCCTGTCGGGTCGTGACACTAACCTCCTAACAGGGACAGTAAGGCAGCAGCGAAGTCACTCCTCATCTCCGGAGGCACACAACTGCGAGACAGCAAGTACTCCTTATTCTGAGCAGCCAAACTTTCAAGCAATCTGTTACTCAGCTAAAGATAACTAACCCAGTGAATGGAAGACCTTTCTCTCAGTAAATCTGCCTTTCCAATAAAAACAAACTAACCCAGAAGCTATGAAAATGGTGTAAGTGGCTGTTCTTGAGGGATAGAAATATCATTGACAAAGGCAATGGTGAGAAAATTACGGATTCCAGCCGTCTGGGGGTGTACAAACGTACAATGCTTTAAGGAAGAGGATGAAGCAGGAATTCTACAGTTTTGGCTTAAACAGAAGGACACTGCTGACTGGGGGTAAGGACTGAAGGGGGTGATCGTTTTGAGAGATCCTGGTGGGAAAAAAATGTCTGATGAGCAACTAACGCTACTTTAACACCTATTCGATCACACCTCAGAGCTGAAGCTGGCCCTGCAGTTAGGAACAAAGATGCAGTCTTTAAGTCCTCAAAATAAACTGAAAGAGCAAAAAACAAGGTGAATTACCTTCCCCTCAAGACTTGTTCAGTTAACCTTTGACTTTTAAAGCTGAAATTTATTCCCCCAAAAAGTAAGTCTACATAACAGATGGACCGCAGTAGCAATTAGCATCAGGGCAGCCACTGGCCGACTTCAACCCAAAACACCTACCCGGTAAGCAGCAGCTGGCTCTTCCACTGTCATCCGGACGCTTAACACAGCAACTTGCAACTAGAGCCTAACAAATAGTCACTCAAATGACAACTGAAGTAAAGCTCAAGAGTTTTAATATGTCAATAACTTCTGAACTCTGATGCCGACTTTAAACAATTTAAAGTTCCACAAAAAAAAAGAAAACATTAAAAGGAGACTTACCGATCTGTTTGTAAAACGTGGATGAGATGTTCCATGGCTTGGATGCCCACTTCCAAGCGATATTTCTGCACATGAAATAAAAACTGATATTGAAGTAACAAACATTCAACTAAAAATGACTTCACAAGTTATAAACCTTACAGACCTTGGACAACGATTTGAGAGCACGCACGGCATTCCTTCGATCATCCAGCAGGGTAGATGAAGCCACTCTGTCACAAAGTTTTTGAATCTGTCAAAGAAAAACAAGGTCCTATTAGGAGAAGAAAGAAGAGACTATGTAGTTCCCCCAAATTTAAACTATTTAATTTGGAAAACAAATTAGTAAAGGAGATGTTGGACCGATGGTCTTCCATGGGTCTGACACTGTGGCATAGTGGGTAAGGCCACAACCTGTGACGCTGGCTTTGTAACGGCTTTGGAGGGGTGGGCGTCTGGCCTGGGGGTGAAGCTGCTCCCAACAACAGCAGAGGGCCTGGGTTGAGCCTCAGTTTCACTCTTGCTCACAGCCTCCTGCTCCGTCCGCACCTTGGGAGAGGCAGACGGGTCTGCTCCTCGACCCAGGAGACGGGGACTGGGTTCCCTGCTCTGCTAGCTGCAGCCACCGAGGCCATCTGGCAGTCAGTCTGTTTCTCCAGTGAGTAAGGAAATAGAACTTGAGAAATCATTTTAGAAACCTACAACTATAAAACTACTATGAGAAGGCATGCAAGAGGCTAGTGAGGGTTAAGCCACCGCCCGCAGCGCTGGCATCCCATACAGGGCCTGGTTCGAGTCCTGGCTCTTCCCTGGTGTGCAGCGGAAGGTGGTGCAGGTGCTGTGGCAACTGCAGCATGCGGAAGACCCAGAGGAAGCGCTTGGCTCGGTTTAGCCCAGCCCTAGCTGACGTGAGTTACCTGGGGAGTGAACAAGCAGATGGAAGATTCTCTTTCCTCCTCCTTTGCTGTCTGTAACCATCATTTCAAATTAACAATAGCACAGTGGAAATTCACTGTAATTTTTTTTTTTTAAGATTTATTTAGTTTTATTGGAAAGGCAGATACACAGAGAAGAAGACAAAGAGGAAGACCTTCCATCCGTTGATTCACTCCCCAGGTGGCCACAATGGCCAGAGCTGAGCTTATCCTAAGCCAAAAGCCAAGAGCTTCTTAAGGGTCTCCCATATGAGTGCAGGGTCCCAAAGCTTTGGGCTGTCCTCGACTGCTTCCCCAGACCACAAGCAGGGATCCAGATTGGAAGTGGGGTTGACAGAACATGAACCACCGCCCATATGGGATCCCAGCATGCACAAGGCAAGGACTTTTAGCCACTAGGCTACTGAGCTGGGATCCCTGTAATTTTTAGATTTATCAAATGCATTCAATACCACATAAAAGACCAAAATAAACTTGTCTTCATCACTTCTCCTCAAGACATTACACTAAGAGCAGGAAAATGGTAAGCCACATACTGGGTGAAAATATATGTAAAACATCTTATAAAGCAGATTAATTTAGAGCCCAGCATGGGATTTTCAATTGGCTAATCTACCTTATAAGCACCGGGATCCCTGGGCACCAGTTTGTGTCCTGGCTGCTTCACTTGCATCCAACTCCCTGCTGATGGCCTGGGAAAGCAGTGGAGCATGACCCAAAGCCTCGGGAGCCTGCACCCACATGCAGAAGCTCCGGGACCCTGGCTTAGGATCAGTTCAGCTTCAGCTGTTGTGGCTACCCGGAAGTGCATCAGCGGATGAAGACCTTTTTCTCTATCTCTCCTCTCTGTATATCTGACTATCCAATAAAAACAAATAACTATTAAAAAGAGAGAGAGAGAAAATCTAGAGGCCAGTGCGTGGTGTAGCAGTGCAGGCATCCATACGGGCGTGTGGGTGCTAGGTCAAGTCCTAGCTGCTCCACTTCCTATCCAGTCCTGTTACTGTGCCTGAGAAAGTCTTGGGCCTCTGTACCCACAGGTGAGACCCAGAGGAGGCCTCAGGCTCCTGGGTTCAGACTGAGCCAACTCCAGTAGTTGCAGCCATTTGGGGAGCAAAAGGCTGATTTCGCTCTGTTCTTCCTTCTATGTAGAAATCTGTCTTTCAATATACAACATTATGGAATTAATTGACATAGTATTGGGTAAACAATATGTTAAAAATGCAAGTTCCATTCTTCGAAACATCTGGGTTGAGACAGTATCAATGACAGGTTCAGAGGCCTTGTTGGGGCTTTTAACTGACTGGATCTTTACTCTGTTAGACCTATCTTCAGACCAGAGAAGGTCTCCCCAAGAGGCCACTGAACTTATCTGGACAATAAGACGCTGAACTTTATGCTAGGCATGTGTTTGCAAGGAATGAATCTCAACTGAACTTGAACTATGGTTATGCAACAAGGTGGAGGAATCCACCATGGGGGGAGGGGTATGGGAGGGGAGGGGGGAATCCCCAGCGCCTAGAAAACTGTACTACATAATACAATGTAAGCAACAATAATAAAAAAAAAAATCTGTCTTTCAAATAAAAACAGATGAATCTTAAAGTATAAAACAGCTTTAAAGACCACTGGTCCTTTTAGGTCAGATATTCCTTACGAGTTCATTCGCATCCCTTAATGACAACTCTTCTGAAGATTCTACAAAGTGAGAGTCTGGCTTGTCACCCAAATGTCTGTACCGAATGTAGAAACATTAATGGTGTTCAAACACACACAGCAATTTCCAAATTATGTTTAGCAGACTTCTAGTGTTCCAGAAGATATTAATAGAAGTTCACAGAGCAAATGACAAGCACGGTTATATAAAATCCACAAGCAGGTCTCTGCGCCGTGGGATTTCTCGGAGTCTTTACTATGCTGATAAAGCAGGCAGCCAGGCCTCGCTCCACGTTCTCATTCAGCCGAACTGCTCACAGTCAGAAATCATCCTTCCTAAAGTTGGATTCACTGTCATGACGATGATGTTGTTTTTTAAGTAGAATAATAAAATTTTCTTTACAAAATAACTCATCAACTTTCTCTACTACATTTTAACAATTAGAACTACTACTCAATCATCTCTGAAAAGCATTAATGCTATCACTCTGTTTTAAACAATTTCTTCATCCAAAAATTGTTTTCCCGAGAAGCACCACAATTTGTTCCACGTGGTTCTAGAACAATCTTTGCTTTTTCCAAGGTCATTTGTAGCTGATATTATGAACAGAAAATTTTCTCTAGGCATTTTTGTTTTGTTTTGTTTTGTTTTTCCTGGAGTACTGGTTCTAAAGTTTGAAACTCGTACCTCCGCTGAAAACCTTATCCAAGTGCCACTCAGGGTTTGCACTCTAACCTCAGCCCCCTTCAGCTAGCACATGCAGCAGCAACATTAAAACAGTGAATTTCCAAGTGTGAAAGCTCTTCAGTCAGTGAACACTAGTATCTAAGCCTAAGTGGTACTGTCGGTGCAGAAACAGCTTTAGGAATGCTGGAACGTGGGGACCAGATTCCTAGCTTGGAGTGGCATGGGGGTGAGTGTTTTGTTCTTATTTTCAGTTCTAATAAAGCAAGTATTTGATTCCAGCTAATTTTGTAAAAGCTCTGACATACACAAAGAAAATTAATCTCAGTCAAATTGAAGGTAAATACAAGTTAAAATAGCAGTGAGATTTTTTTTTTTACTCTATCAGCAGCAAAGTTAAGACCACAAATGAATACATGAACTAAATGCTTCATTTTTGTATAATAAACAAAGGCATCACAATCAAACCATGCCAGGAGTCAATGCAGTGGAGCAGAGAGGGCCCCCTAGCTGCTGACACTCAGCTCCTCACCCAGAGCGCCTGGAGTGATATGCGGAGGCTGTGAACATCTTCCAGTTTACAGAGCTGTGTACTGTCAAGGATAAACAAAGATATAATGAGCCCACTCATGTTCCTTCAGAGGGAAGGGAATGAAAAGGGTTGCAATTTGGCAAAAACTACTGAAACTAAAAAATGTTCATACACTTTTGGCCTGGCATTTCTACATGGGAGAGTTATCCTTTAAAAGCACTGGTGGGCAGGGCACTTGGCCTGGTTCAGATGCTGCTGTCCTAGGCTCTGCACCCCGAGTCCAGCTTCCTGATAAAGCAGGCCACATTCCTTCCTCCCTCCCTGGCCTATCAGCCAGGCACATGGCCGTCCATCCACTCTCCGCCAACCTTCCTGAAAATAGGAATGGACAGCAACACCACTCTGCTCAATGAACTGTTGGAACCTTCAAGGTTATGACCTTAAGAGGAAGCTGGTTGTTAACTCCTTGTGCCGGGAACTTCAACCCGGTGACAGTGAGGAACTGTGAACAATTCAAGTACGCACAGCATCCTGGAGAATAAGCTGAGAGGCAGTACCTGGGCCTCCGGAGCACCCCAAACAATAGATACAGCACTGCAGGGATTGCCCGCTAGGTCGGACATGAACCACTAGTAGAAGCCAGAATCAGCAGCAGAAGCTGGGAATCAACACTGGTACATGCTGGGTCCGGCCGACGCAATGGCTCTGTGGCTAAATCCTCCACTTCTAAGTCCTGAGATCCCACATGGGCACCTCTTCGTGTCCCGAGAACTTCACCTCCCATTCAGTTCCCTGCTTATGCCTTGGAAAGCAGTGGAAGATGTCCCAGAACCTTTGGACCCTGCACCCGCAAGGGAGAAGCTTCCGACTTGTGATCAGCTCAGCTTCAGCCACTGTGGCCATTGGGGAGTGAAGCAGCAGGTGGAAGATTCGTCGGTCTCTCCTCCCCGTAAAACTGACCTGCTTTTCCAATGATGACAAAGTGTCTGATGTGGGACACAGGTGTTATAAGTACTAATCTAAATGCTCTCTCCTACCTGACTTTTATTTGAGAAAGACATAACCTTGTATTGCAGTTGAATCTTCATTTTCTGGCCTCTGTTACGCAATCATAACGAAGCAACACACTCAACACACTGCAGCCAGCTTGGCGGCAGAGTGCAGACTGAGTTACAGAGGCTGGCTCACCCCCCGAAAGGCTGCAATGGTCAGGGTGAGGGCAGGCCAAAGCCAGAGCCCCGAGCAGGTCATTTGCAGCTGCCACCACAGGCGTGTCAGCAAAGAGCTGGATGAGGAGCACAGCAGAGCCTCTCAGTCAGTGCTCTGAGAGGATGCTGGAGTGTTCTATCCCACTGTGCCACATGCTGGCCCCCATCAGCAATTACCATTCTTTTCTTTTGTAAAGATTTACTTATTTTTACTCAAAGGCAGAATTATAGAGAAAA